CTATTTTCAATGTGGCTTGCAAGGTAGAATCGTAACTTTACTTCACAAAAGTTTACAGCTTATAAGGATATTCATCTCCAGAACTAAGTGAATCTTACCAGGTATTTTTTGAGGACGTTTGCGAATCATGTTCCTTTCTCAAATAGAAATTTTTGAATGTTGATAAACTGACAAACTAAAATGAAGTAATGAATTATAGTGTACCGAAGTTAGAAAGTAAATAAAACTAGAATCTGGACTTTTGGCGTGCTTAAATATAGTCCCAAAAAAGTCCCTTAGATGTTTCGAACGGGACTAAACTAAGGACTACTTTGGGACTACTGAGCATCGGAAAGTCATAAATCAGAAAGTAATGTGGCCAGTCAGTAAAACGAAAGTCAGTAATTAACTAGAATCAGTCCATTTATACCGTGGGGTTGATTGTGTTTTACGTTGTTTCCTTAATGGAATCAGGAGTCCATACCTGCACTTTCTTCTTGTGATGATCAGCTCGAGTTAGTTAGTTGCTTTATGTATCTCGGGAGAATAGTAGCAGCTACAAATAGTAATTGGTAGGGGATCATATCAAAAGTAGTGAGAGTAAGATCATTTTTCATCAACCTGTGATATTTGCGACACCTGAAGTGCCGCTATGGCATCCAGTTCTCTCGCTTAATAAAAGGGCGTACATCATCGTGGTTTGTAGTGTTTTACTCTAGTGTTGTGATACCTGGCCTCTCCACGATTAGGGTGCTTGACGTCTTTTGTGTTTAAAAACCAATGTCTCCAAAGCATTACTTGTGTCTGGTTGGGAACATCAAGTGAGTAATGACAAGTACGTAGTCGTGTAATGGGCACGGATAGTCATCCTATCGACGAAGTGATCGCTCTACATCGCCCCCGGTGGCCCGGTCATTTTTTACGAATGCTTGCCCATCGTCTACTTCTCCTTGCTCTATTTGTACGTGTTGGGCAGGGCTGGAAGAAGCAAAGCGGCCTTCAAATTATGACTTATCTTAGGGATATAAAGAAGCTCACCTCATGATTGGCTTTGGTGGGTTCTTTCCACATCTTTGGTCAAGGCCCTAAGAGACGAGGACCATAGCTGGTTAGAGATGTTGAGAGTTATAGCTGGGAATAGAAGTCAGTGACGCGAACGCCTTGAAATGTCTGATAAATTCTCGTAACCCCAATCAAAAAAGTCATTCTGGCGAACAAAATCACGAAAGAAACGGCAAAAAGTGTACGGGGATAAAAGAAAAGACTCAAGGCATTTTAGTTTTTCACCATCTGTCTCCTTTAGTGTATTTTTCCCCCTGTTTTTGTATTTGCTACTTACATTGGCACCATGATTGTTCTCAACTGAAGTTTGATATGCCTATACATATATATATATATATATATATATATATATATATATATATATATATATATACAGTGTAATATTTCAAGATATTGAGATAAAAATTGTTAAATACATTTGAAAACATTATTGTCCCTAGTGAACCCATTTCATCCATCACCAAATAGGGAACTTTATTCCAACTCATCAATAAGTTAATTCAAATAAAGTGTGGTGCCTAAATAAAGCAAGAAATCATTAGATTTCATTTGGGGAAATGAAAGTCAGAAATAGGAAAAGTTGGGTGCCCATCCGGATCCCAGCATGGTCTCAATAGCGGTGCTGAGAATTTTCGGTGAAGCTGGCCAGCGGATGCCTGGCAGTTGCCGATCTGGGTCCATCCGGACCCCGAATGGGTGTGCTGTTTTGATTTTTAGTCAGTTGTACTATATATATGGACTACCTGTTCATTGTTCTAGCAATGGGCAGGCTGAAAATACGGTCACCAGTACAATATTCTTCATGACCTATGAGAATAAAAAGACGATAGGGAAGGAAACTACTTAGTGAGTACTTGCGACAGCGTTCAAAATTAACGTGTAAAAGAGGCATGTTAGATCAAAGGTTGAACGGCCTCTGCGCTTGGAATTCACATTTCATTCGAACAACAATTTGTCGAAAGAATTAATAAAGTTGGGTCACGCTGCAACACTTCATTACAATTAATTCCGGCATAATTTTAAAATACTTGTCCGTTTCAGAGGATTTGGTCAGTTTTTCCGGTCGCGTTTGGCTTCCCTTTGAATACATATTCATTGTTTTACCAAAAGCAACGAGTTGATGAAGAATCAACTTTAAAACAATTTACGTCATTTGCAGTGAACGCCGGTGTTGAGCTCCTAAAGTCATTTAAGTGAGCATTCTCGTTTTATTCGTCAGCCTGTGATTTTTTTAAGGGGAATGGACCGTCTGTATGAGCCTCATCAAGGCAAGCTCTACTGCTTTGGCTATACGTCCGTGCTTAGCGGATGGTTCTAGAGGAATATGTGTACCTTTAGCTTGCTTTTGTGGTCACTGACCCCCCTCTCTCATCATGTCATCAGGAAGGGCTTCCCAGAGGTAGGTCACCCTTTTGGATCAAAGGTATATTGACGGCAGACCGGAGTATGATGGTTTTTGGAGGTTGAGCACATGCTCTTGCACATGGTTGGTATTCCTAAACGGGAATCCCAACTGTAGATTAGCACAAACATAACTTCGAACAGTTTTTCTTGAATGGACTAGGTCACAGCAGATGCGCAGCTAGGCATTAAAAAAACCCAGTAGCCCCCGGCCGTCCATCATATCTCATCCGGGGTATTACAGTGATAAGACTTGTGGTGGCTCCCTGTACCTTTTACACTTTGGTTACTTTCGTAATCACACAGGGGTTCTCTTTCACATGCTCCCATGCCTGTACTGAACACCAGATTAAACTCTTGCTTTATCTGGCAAATCTCCTGACGATCTTATGCATACATTGAAATTTCGCTAACAATTCGAAGAGATGCATCTTAGGATCATTTCAGCTTTTCAGTTTTACTTCAGTAACAAGTCAGCTCACTTCACATTTTTTCATCACCTCACGCCCTTGCGTTCAAGATACCGTTAGCTGTGCACCGAATGCCGTGGTTCTGGTCTTCATTTCCCAACAAAACCTTACTAGAAAATCGAAATAATTAGACGGATAAAAAGTACTAAGAGGGCGGTGGGTTACAATATGAAGTAGGTGAAGAAAATCTATGGATACACGAGCGCCAATTCTACTGTTTCGAACCGGTAAGGTCATGGATCCCAAGTAGGAAGTGCAAATACTTTTAGATAGACAAGCACACTGGTTAAGGGTTTCATGTCTATAATTCACGGGCTGGCCACCATCGATTCTAACATTAGCAGACATTGCACACGAAAAAGGTCTATCTCGCGACATACCCAACACACTTTTCAACCCGCTTTGCTTCAGGTAGCCTAGCTCTTGATAATTCCGGCCAAGTCAAGCCACAGAACCAAAACATACCCCGAACATGGACATTTAGTCATTTATGCTGTTCACCAAAACTGAGATCGAATACACAAGGATAAAGTTAAAGGGGAAATGGCTGATATTTTCGTATTCTTTGGTTCTTTGTTCAGTTAACGTACTACGCTGGTTCTGAAACTTGCTATGTTCACTGAACAACAAAAGTAAATCTCGTTTTCTCCTAAAATGTTTCGTAAATAAAAAGGAGAATGGGAATTTCTCACATTACGTAGTAGAAAGTTACGATGGGTTTGGACCGTGGACTTTGTCGTATGCGGTGCGTTAAACTCTCTGAATGAGGTTCAAGAGAATAACTCGCATGACTGTTGCAGACAACTGGTGAAGGTCACTGAATGTTTCTTCTTTATAGCCTAAAAGTGGCTATTAGAAAACCTGTCCCAAATGCAAAAGAGAAATAACGTGTATCACCAGTTCAGAAAAGTGAATGTCTTATTATCAGCTATATATTATGGCACATGCAGGGGCCATGAATGATGAACAAAAAGTCAGAGGTAGAGCACTTAGTTTGCAGAGTGTCTATTTATGAAGTTAGTTATTATTTTGACATTTTTCATGATTATTTTGTCTGTAATGAACGTAAATCAAAACTATTAAAACCTATTATAGGATCAGTGATTTGTCGAACTTAACTTGACTGATCTTATCCCTTATCGCTGGCTCTGGGAGGAGGGAGTACTGTTTCGCGATCTGAATATATATATATATATATATATATATATATATATATATATATATATATATATATATATATATATATATATATATATATATATATATATATATAATACACCGAACCTGGAGACGGACATCAGGCTTACATCACTAATACAGAAGGGGATAACAAAGAAGGAAAGGTGAATATAAGAGACTAAGTGCGGTTTTAACACATTTGCGTTGTGAAAAACCAAGAAAACCTAACGTTTACCCCCTCTTCCAATCGATAGTGTTATTGTTTGTTTACTTATAACAAACTTCTCACTTTGCTGGATACATCGCCCTAAATCTCTGGAAAACGCGAGGCAAGTAGTGAAATAAAGCGCGGTTCCGCCTTACTCACGTTTTTGTTTCTGTTTTTCTTCAAGGACTGACCATTCTAGATGATTCTTATTATGACTTAAACTAGAATTTTAAATACTCCCTCGATGAGCCAAAAGTCTTTTCTTCCTCTATGCAAGAAATCCAATCCACTTTAGTTGTTTTGTTTCTGGAATATCCAATACAACGATTTCTTTTGCCCTGTCATTAGCAGTATGGCCAATACATAAAGAAGCCTTGTTTTCATAATGATTATAAATAGGAAGATAGACAGAATACTTGAGAATTCCATATCCTGTATGGCTATGCAAATCTATATAATGAACAGGCCACCAAATTGGCAACGCCGGCCCTGGTATACCGCTTGGTTTATTCTTTTTCCTGCAAGTTTCCTTTCATATCACCGAAGAATATGATCAAACGGATGGAGACGAAGTCTTTGTACACTAAGATAACTTTATCGTAACTTGAAGTTTCATCGCATAACCAACTAAGTCCTATTACTTTCCTGCCTTTGATTCTACTCCATGAACTAATAAAGATCGACTTATGATTGACAGGAAAATGGGTAAATCCCGAGCACAATGTGAAGGGTTCGAGTTTGATTCCGAGCTCGTATGGGCCGACTGGAAACCAGGCATCAAATATGTGAAACACATTGATGTGCAAAATTTGAACGCACGAAGTATGGAACTTCAGTACAGGTAAGAAATATTCTCAGTTTGCAATTGGAATTACCGAATACTTTTTCTAGTCTTCCAGCCACTAGTGAATTTCAAACAGTATATCCGAAGACCCGGAAAATTGCTGCTGGCGCACTATTTCGTCTGCCGATCACTTTTGCACCAGTTAAAAGGAAATTTCACGAAGATCTAGTGACCTTTAAAATCAAAGTTAGCAACTCTCACTCGATTTATAATCTGAACAGAATGCAAATACATTTTCTGTACACTTACGGGCCACCCTACCCGAATACGCAATCAATATACCGAAAAAAATGAACTTTGGTTTTGTTGCAGTTAATGAATCCAAGTCACAAATATTTTCCATTCGTAATCTGAGGTAGAATCCTAGCCTAAATTTCTGAAAATTCAAAATTTTTTTGACTACATAGCTCTCTGGAAACACCGTTTTCATTGCGCATTCAATCCCCATTTGGAGCTAATATTGTCGAGGGAAATTTATCTTCAAAGGAGAAACGTATGATCGAACTTAAATTTCAACCACAGGTACGCCGAATATTCAAAAGAACAGCCTGTTATCTTTCTTACATTTTGCCTACACTTCAGAATCCAGGGTTTTTCTGTATGGAGGTACACTTTGATTACGGTCAATCTTATGAACGGACAGCTTCCATGTCTCTGTGTGGCACAGGTAGGCCTCCCATCTGTCATCCTAAACCTCTATCTTAGCCGAATACCCGAAATTATCTGTTATGGCATGCAACACATTACCTCAGTCAGAATGCGAAGATCCACGATCCATCATTTTGGGATTTCCAGTTACTGCATCAGGTTCAAATTCGGAGAGGATTATTGTGGTTGAAAACTCTTCAAAGGTATGGTCACTTCAGAGTACGATTCAGCTTCCCATTTGGCTACTCGTGAGTAGCGTGATCAAATATGCTGATCAACTTACAGTGTTCCGTGTGCCGAATAGTTGCAGGGGCTCTCGGATGTTACTATTGGACTAACGTAAATGAACGCGTAAAAGATATTTGCTCGGAGTGGTTGAACTTATCATTGGGCCCTGACAGATAACACGACTGAGCAGGTGTCTAACTTAAGTAACTAAAGGACCATGTGGACACCGAAGTTTCCATGAATGGCATTTTAGCATTTATTTGATGTAGTGGTGACTACGTTTAAGTGAATATCTAAAATACGGAATGTACTTTCAGTTACAGCAAAAGAAACATTCAGGGCGTGTAGCTTTTTTGAAAAAATCCAGTTCAATGAGTGATACTTCATAGAAGGAGAAACCTCGAAGACGGAGAATAGAACAGCTCAGAAAATAAACTTGCTATCAAGGTGATGGCTAAGTTGCGACTATTTCTCATGACCATGTAGGATAAACCCTGACTAAACAGTATGAACCTGCGTTATAAATATGGAATTTACAGTAATTTCTAGAGGTTTCATGCAGATATCAAAATGACATCACTTTTTAACGGAAGGCGGGTAAATAGGCCCTGCTGCTCTTTCACTTGTTTCTGCGTATTGCACAGCGATACATTGTCAAATAAAAATTTCCGGATAACCTTGATTTTGCGGAAAAGAGACTATCAAATGGAGCTTCGCGTCAAAAAACACGCAGCTACATAATTCTTTACGGTGTTATTCATGCGGAAGATGAAGGTGACGAAGATAAATGTGATGGTATTATTGAACTTTCGCCGTTCGCAGACAGGTTTATTGTGCATCAACCGAAATCAAACCAGCGATGTGGCTATGTCTAATCTGTTCTATATGCAATAGGATCTTGCGTCCTGAAAATATTTGTGAAGATTTTCTTTTTAATTCTCTATAAAAAGACAAAACTGCATCTTTCAGGATGTAAAGATGTCATTACATTCTACCGTCTCAAAATAGACACGGAAGATGATGTAATTTGACTTCAGGAAGAGAAGTGTCTTCATCAAGTGAGATGTTTTGGTTTAGTTTGACTCAGTTCAGTTCATTTCAGTTCATATAACGGTTTGGTTTAGTTAACTAATGCTGTGATCTGGTTACAATACTTGTACTTTAGCAAATTCAACAACTGCACAGTCAGTGGACCTGTAAATAAAAGCTTCTCTGTCGACTCATAAATTCTTCCCAATAACTGCTTCAGTTCTTCGCGTGAGCCAAGTTTCGATTTTGGTTGGTATTTTGGTTTCAAATGGAACTGAAAGCCATCCCACTTTTCCAGCTCAGCGAAAATTTTTAGAAGTCTTTCGAGAGCGGCTAATGAACGTGTCTTCTATACGGTCTCACAGCGAAATACCAACGTAATCCCCTCTATCGGACGGATAAATAAGACGTAAGTTGGTTGGCAGATGCAAAGGTGCATTCTGTAAATCGTGGCACAGAAACAGTACCGATACGAGAAATACACTGAATGAAAGCGAACGCAATAGCTGAGCGGAGAGCAAATCGCGGGCGCGTTCAGTCGGCAAAGAACCAAAAGTGAAAGAGATTCAAAGACGAGGTCGGCGGAAACCTCGGAAAAGTCAGTCCAGTTAAACGTACGCAATCGAACAAAACAGTGAGGTCGAAATCAAACGTGAGAAAAGATCGTAGAGAAAACAGATCCAAAATGGTGTCCAGAAAGCGGTCATTTTCACAGAACGATCGAAGTCACTACAAACTCACTTTTTATTAATTTTCAATAATCAAGTTCTGCTCATGTAAGTAGCTGGTCTCTAAACTCGGCTTTAATGAGGCAGACATTTCTTCATCGCTCAAATGGACATCAAATGAGAGCAGGTGTTGATGTCATCTTGATGGATATCGAAACGGCCGAAACTCCAAACCTAGCCACCAAAGGCTACAGTAAAACACAAACACTTCCAGTACTGAAAGTATTTCGCAGATCGGTATTCAATGACATAGCACATTTTTCCCCTTTCCGTTACACTAAGGTTGACGCAGCTGCCCGGGTATCGCCAATCAGCAGTGAGGTCGGCTTTACCAGAGATCAAATTTTTCGTGTCGGACTGACCACATCGATAATCAGACCGGGACAAAAGATTGATATTCCGGTAAGTAGTTCTTTCGATGAGGATCAGTTGTGTTTCGTATAGCTCCGATTGACTACACCATGGTCGTGTTTCTGTTTACACCTCCTCAGAAATACTTGATGGAATTTCAATGTTTGAAATAAGCTAGTTTTATTGGGAAAATATCCGCCAACAAAGTGGCACCTCATAGCAAATATGTGGTCCTATCAGAGCTTGGATCAATAGCAGAATTAACTCAGTCTACATTTTTGACTATCCTTTTGTTCCATGCTCATGCATACGCACACATCCTGTACTTCTCAGAACCACTTTACCCAATCACATTTCGGTACACACCAAAAGGCCTTCCTTGGCCTGGCTCGATCGTATGTAATGCATGGGAATGCTCGTGTACAGCAATTCTTTGCTGACGAGCAAATAAAATGAAATTTTGTAAGTATCACGTTCTAGTACCAACTGCGTATTCAACAATAACTTAATTTTAGGGTACGCGAAATCGAAATCCACTGCATACGAGGTCATTTCGTACTGTTGAGGATGAGGTCAGCACATCTACAACTGAGATCACGCGACGAGACTGCATCTTAGCGTGGTGTGATGGCTTGCGTGCCTCCATGACCCAAAAAGCATTGCAGGACGGTTTCCCTAAGCCAGAGATGCAATTATGCCTGACAGGTAGGTGGTTAGAGGCCAGACGAAGTCCAGTATCAGAACCAGTTGAAGGGCAACATCTGGTTCTATTCACTATTCCCCTGGAGAGGACACTCTAGCGATTGAACACGGAGGAGAACGGTTAACCGATCAAAAATCTCCACTAGATGGACGTAGGAGTGGAGTGCTTGGGGTTTCTCTCGACGGTGGGAGAAGTCATTGCACTTCATTGGGCAGCTATCGCCCGCCTAATCTGGGTAGCCCTGGACCCATAGGATGCTGTCCCGTCCACGTTCCGCTTGCTCCATTGGGTGGGCTGGGCGAAGGACTGAATCCGAAAGGCGGGTCGATAACAAAGCATCAGCGACGACAAGACAAAACGCATGCATTAATCAGGTCTCACGTGAAAGACCACGAGAAGTTCCTTCAGGGGTGCTTCGGTCACGTTCCTGTGCTGAGTTAGTGCCCCACTACCTTGTGGGTCCGACTTTTGAGTCAAATGTTCCGGTTAGGGTTCCCAAAGGAAAAACTCTTCTGCGGTGTGGGCAGCCACAAAATGTGATGTGCTCAGAAACCTTGAGTATCTTTCCTGTAAATGGCCTCGCCAATTTTATCTCTTTTAATTCAAGGTCGATGCAAAACGCCACGGGTAATTGCAGCTCTGATGAAAGCAGTAGTTTAGGTGTTGGGTATAAATCAGATGCGCTTCTCAAGCCTAGATGTTCACTTCACTTGGCTGCCTTTAAAGTCCGCACACTACGTCAGATAGGGCAACAGACTGCCCTCGCTAGATGTCTTGACACCTTCATGACAGATGTGTGCTGTGTCTCCGAAACACGCATACAAGACCCCACTTCTGTGATCACTCTTCGCACCCCAGATACAACCTCAGTCTCTTGCTCCACTCTTCGTGTGTTGGGTGATTCGGTATCTAGTTCTCATGGAAATAGTAACAGACTAAAACGTTGATGCTTGTTCGTTGTGTCTGTGTATGCGCCCACCGACTGCAATTCATCTGAGTCCAAGGATGAATTCTTTCTGGATTTGTCCCAACTGCTTCGAAGTGTGCGCTCTACGGACGTGGTGGTCATTGCTGGTGATTTCAACGCCAAATTTGACTACTTGAGGATTCTGAAAGGCATATTGGTGGTCCATTTGCTATCTCAGCCGATCGCACTGACAACGGCGATCATCCCATCCAGCTGTGCTCTGATCACAGATTGTTTCTGGCAAGTACGAACTTCTGCAATAAGAAGCGGCATAAGCTGGCATGACGTTATCCTACGTCTTCACGACGTTGGACTTAGATTGACCACAATGTCATTAGTCGCCGCTGTTGTGGATCGATGGGAGATTGTCGTAAGTTTTGGTCTACCCCTGTGGACTCAGATCACGCCCTGATACGTGCTCGCTTCCGTTTACTTTTCGTCCGTGGTCACACCAAAGTAAACGCCACGCTTTCCGCGCAGTTGCTTTTAGACGACGCAGTTTCCAGATGGAGCTGTCTACGCAGTTATCGATGCAGCCAGATGTTCAGGACCTAAATGGACAGTGGCAACAGGTCAAGGAAGCTTTGTATGCCGCTTCGAATGCCACCCAGAAGTCTGGTTCAAGTCGATATTACAAACAATGAATATCTTCGACTTCAGTTGCTTTGTTGGATGTTTGCAGATCTGTCCTTCTGGATGCCACATACAATGAAGTGCGCAAGTCCCTGAGATGCCAAATGACTAGAAGCCTGAGGAATGACCGTGAGCAGTGGTGGATTACGAAACGTAAGGAATTGGAAAAGGCTGTGTCCATTAGCAACGCTCGCAACCTTAGCCGTTTGATTAGAGGTACCGGCCGACGAAAGCCTGGTGTAAGTGAGTTAATTACGGAATCCGAAGGCTCACTGATTCACTCTCAGGGACTTCGCCTGGACCGTTGGGCGGAGCACTTCAAGGAACAATTCAGTTGGTCCACTTCAACGGCGGACCTTCCAAATATACCAGCCAGCGAAACGATGCAGGCGGATATCAGTCCTCCAACAGAGATGAGGATTAGCCCGGAAATAGGTTACTTGAAAAGGTACAAAGCCGCTAAATCGAGTGGGTTGTCTTTGTCTTTTTCCAAGGATGGAGGCGAAGTTTTGGTTTCGCAGTTAACAAAACTCCTCCGTATTATTTGGGACAGTGAGCAGATTCCCAGGGAATAGTGTGAATCGGTGATTGTGCCGATTTACAAGAAGGGTGACAAGTCCTCTTGTGAAAACAACAGAGGAATTAGCTTGGTAAGTATCGCGTCTAAACTGCTCACTGGTTTTATTATCTACCGATTATCCAGTGCCCGAGAAATGTGTACACATGAAAATCAAGCCGGTTTCAGACCCGGTCTGGGTTGTATCGACCACAACTCTACTCTTCGGCAAATCTTAGAGCACAGACAAGTCTTCCGCAGACCCTTAATCTGTGTCTTTCTTGATCTGAAAGCGGCGTTCGACTCAGTCAACCGCCCAGTTCTCTGGCTCTGCCTCTCATTGAAGGGTGTGCCAGAGAAGTTTATTCCTCTTTTCCAACGCTTGTATGTGAACAGCCGAAGCCGAGTTCGTGCTTGCGGCGATCTTTCTCCCAAGTTCACCACCGAAAGTGACGTTCATCAGGGTTACCCTCTTCCGTCCTTCCTCTTCAATTTTATAATTGAGCTGATTCTTAAGATTGCTCTGTCCTCGTGTGAGAACAGCGGCGTCAATCTTTGCTGAGGCAGTAAACTGTCTGATTTGAAATATGCAGACGGTATTGTTTTTCTGAGTGAAGATCCAGGTAAGTTGCGAGCTCTTTTAGATAGCTTTAACAACAGTGTAGGAATGTTGGGGATGCAATTTTGCACCTTCAAAGTGTGAAATGCTGTTGCAGGACTGGATTGGCCCTACACCAAATCTTGTCTTGACAAGGGAAGCTCTAGCTGAAGTAGATCAGTTTTGTCACCTAGGCAGTTACATTTCACTAGGTGGACAGATAAAGGATGAAGTGTCATCGCGTATACAGAAGGCGCGTTTGGCTTTTGCAAACCTCCGTCATCTGTAATGTCGGCGTGACATCCGATTGTCAGTTAGGGGTAGAGTGTACACCGCGGCGGTTAGGTCCGTTCTTTTATACGGCTCAGAAACACGGCCGTTGAGGGTAGAAGATAGGCGAAGATTGTCGGTGTTCGGGCACCGATGTCTCCGTAGCACTGTCCGAGTACGGTGGGAACACCGTATCAGTAATGCTGAGGTAGGACGTAAGGTGTTGGGAACCAGAGGTCAGTCTCTGGATCAGGTGGTTGGGACATGTGTTACACATGCCAGACAATAGACTTCCTCAGCGTACGCTCTTCTCCGAGGCATGTGGTGATTGGAAGGTACGTCGAGGTGGTCAGTCCATGACATGGCAAAAAGGTATGAAAACCTTGATCAGTGGACTTGGCCGAGTAGGACGTGTAAGACTTCCAGGTCGGGGTCCACGTGATCCGCCTACTAAATGGTTGTAGACATTAAGTGATATTGTAACAAGGACGACAACACATAGCAGGATACTTGTATTCCCACGGTCACACAAGTCAAGTCATGGAACACATATACTCGTTTATATAGGCCCTTTTCCAGACTGCGCGGCACCAAGATTGCTATTGCCGCTGCTTGAGCGCTTCGGCTGCGTTCTGTCCAGTTGCCCGTGGCCGGTGGCTTGCTTCTCTTGGTCGTCATTTCCCTTCAGTTGGTCCGACTGTCTCAGTTGGCTGCTCGATCGGCAGCTCCTCACCTGGGCTATCTTTGTGGTTGCCGGAGATCCCGCTGCTTCCTCTCTGATAGTCCGCATGTCTCCTTTTGTCTGCTTCGGGACGCCTCCGACATATTCGCCACCTGTTCTTTTGTCTGTGGCCCTCGTTTGGTTCGTCTGTTCGCCTTGATATTCACGCCGTTCCCTCACCCCAGCATCCCCTGTTACAATATGGCTAGGTGTCGCGGTAAGTAGCGTGGTTGCATTCGTGCTTTTTCCTTATCGTCTTGATGTCCCCTTAGTACTTTGACTTTTTGGATCTTTATCACTATGCTTCTATTCTTTTCGCCATTTAACGGACGATTCCGGAAGGTAGCAACCGAAACCGGAGCATAGAAGTGCGCGGTTAATGGTTGAATAAACTGAACTGAACTGAACTGAACTGAACTGAGGTCACGCGAATACTCAAGAAAGCACAATCACTTAAACACACCTAGCCTAGATCGGTTGAACAGAGTGGGCACGAACGTCATGCAGACAGGCTGGAGAGAGCAAGCTGACGGTTGGAGGTGAGGGAATTATTAGTCAGTATCAGACGAAGGAATCATGCAATTCAGTCTAAATAGAGACTGAAATCAGCACCATCAGTGGAAAAGCGTTGTTGGAGTACCTGAAGAATGAACATGAGATGTTAGAGGAACTCGTATGAATCTCCCACCCAAGCTCTAGCTTTAAACTGACCAATCCCTTAATACTGCCATGGGTTCTGATTGTTGTGAGAACCAACCCTTTTACCGTTGACATGTTCAGGTACAAGAAAAAAGGAACTTTACAATTTCACTGAAAGAAGTGTACAAGTGTAAGCTTCGATAAGCTCTGACGTTCCGTGTTAGCGGCATGGAAAACTGCGCAATATATAAACAGTTTCAACGAGGAATTTTCAAACGGTGCTGGATATCACAACGAACGTGCTGTAAGTAGCCCATCCCCCGAGAATGATCAATGGAAGCCACGGATGTCACATCCACACTGAAAACGACGGAGACAATAAGACATGAGTTTTACTTACGCCCCTATGTGTGAGGGTACGTGCTAACTCATGGTCGATAGTCAGCCATGTCCCGTCAGCAATCAGCATGTCAGCGCCTGTCCAGTATCCAGGTCAGTGCTTGTGACAGTGGTTACGCCGGTGACAAGGTAGCGGATCGATGAGACGAGAACGGATTCCCGCCAAGCGGTAGCTGGTCATGTAACCAATCAACCAATCAGAAGACAGGCTACTTGATGCAAGTATGAATCAGCCTGTTCGTGTTGCAACGACTGATGTCAGTGACTGTTTTTTTCCTGCATAATCCATGCGTTTTATGCCAATAAACTGGGATGATTCGTGGGCGGAATAGACTTCTCACTAGAGTTGGTGGGACGGCCTGAAACATCCATGCGGTGTTGACTGCCCTCATTTTGTTGTACGGTGTCATTTGTGCTCATTGGCCAGAAGAATCACTTAAGTTAGGTCCAGCAATTCATGAGGTAAACGGCAATTCTCAATTCCTAGCTCCGCTGGTCATCTTGAAATAGCAGCTGCTATGTCTACTCAAGTCTTGTTTAAACGCATGGCACTTCATGACGGAATCAAAGTTTTCAAAGCAGAAAAACGGATTTTTTACGTCTTTTATGTTAATCGACGAGAGAGTTCAGATAAGCCATATGATCCCTAACGTGAGATACATTTGACATCGGATTTCCGATTTGAACTAGAAACTAATATCTAGGTTTGTGTTGTTCCATGGCCCGGCACTGGAGAATAGATTTACTCCCAAAGCTGACAATTTCACTGTGCTATCACATTACATAGATAGGTCACCGGCTTGCTTTCTTTATTAAAAACAGCGTTGTTCAAATACTGACTCACTGCCCGTCTTCGTACATGTGAGTTATCGTCAGATATATTCACGAATCCAGCTCAGTTCTTTTGGCCAGCAATCTCATTTAACCACTCTCCGGTTTTGTATGCCACCTCACAACATCGTCCAAGCAAAAGTGAAATAACTTAGAGTTTATTGAGCAAAAAACAACAGAAAAGAGATCCTTGAATGAAATTCATGCAGGAGAAGAAACGGGTTGAATTCAAATACACCACAAACTGCGGCATTTTACCTTGCCGCCTGATGTCTTCGACCATCCGGCCGCTGGGTATCGTGGACTTCAAATCTGGTCAAGCAGGTGGCTAAAATTGTTACGTCTTTTCATCATAATAAAGATTGACCTCAACCTCTAAAAGCTCTGGAAACCAGTGCAAACGGTGTGCTATTTCCGTCTCCTGGGAAAGTCCAGAAGAATCCACATAGTGCTCAGATCATGACTTGGCATAGGTATGACGAGGTTGAGGTCGGCACTGGCCTTAGTTGATGCATCTCGACTCCCTTATTGAGGTTCAAGGGATGAGGACTGTCGTTGGTTACAGACGCTGAGTGATATAACTCAGAACCAAAGCCAGTGACGCGAATGCTTTGAGACGTGCTTAGAAAATTCCCGGCCTCCATCCATATCGAACAAAACCTCCACAACATCATAAAAACGTGCGCAATAAAACGACAAAATGACAGTTTTGAAATATCCTTTTTTGACTCCTGATTACTCGTTTCTGTGTTTGTGGTGTTCGCACCATACCTGACTAACGGCTTGGTGTATATTTATATAATATACTCTTCTTAGGTGTATCCAACGCGGACCAACAACCCTCAATTGTTTAGGTTAGATGTTTAATCTAAAAACTTAACTCCAGTTCCGAAAACTTTGACCCTTACCTCAGAATTGTCGATATGGCGTTTTAACCATGTTTGAACAGTTATCACAACGCGTCAATGCACAAATATGGACAGTCCTCATGTGTATGCTAACCCCAATGGCCACTTTTCTGAATCACATAAAAGGTTTGATCTGAGCTCCACAGTGTAACTCGACGGTTGCTAGACAAACAGATGTCATTTCGACGTGTTTCATCCTATATCTGACCACCTGGTGGGATGGAACTTTCGGGGTGATAGAACTTAGACAGACTAAGGTATTCTTTGTTAGAATCGGTTGTGACATAAGATCAGCCCAGCTATGTAATGCCATTTTGCCCTTTCAAGTTGCAAATCGTCTAGGGTAAAGCACATAGTTGCGGTGTTTCAGAGTTTGAAAAGATGGTGTTTTCTGAGAATTATTACTTTTCTTCTGGACTATGTTCATTGAATTTTGACAACCAATGTCATTTTTTCAGTAAAAATGAACAAGAAACCTACTGTGTTATTTGCTTTTCACCTCAAATACTATTCACATCATATTTCAATCTCCAGCACTGAGCTACTGTCGCACAACACTGATCTCAGGGCGAACAACGAAAGACTCAGTTATGCATTCATCTGGATTTCATCAAATGATCATGAAAATATCATCAAAAGTAATTTTTCCAAATAAGACCAAATTCAAGAATATTCTATCCAGTGAATTCTCTGACCAGTTACCTACTAAAATTACCAAATATAGACTGAGAAAGAGCGGTCCTTGGAATAGGACACAGGCATATCCACGTAGAGCATCTATAGACACTTTTAGGAATGGGAACCACCTCCTTTTTTCGCGTGTAACCAACCCTTTTTTCGAGCTTTCAAGCTTGAGTCTGATGATTGTTGTCCTAGACATATCTGTCCGACACATTCAAATGCTTCTTCGTAGGTTCATTGTCACTGAGTTTTTCGTTTAAGTAGTACGTAGTTAATTATCGTCGAGGTGATATCACCGGGGCTTAGGTCTCCTTGATAGGTGATGGGGCCTGTGTGACGATTGTGACAAGTTCAGCTGTCAAGATACGAACAACACCCATATTCAAAATGCTCAAATGCTCTTATGCTTTGAGACTCACATGTCCGTGCTTTGCAACACGCACCCACACAGTCTTTTTTATGCTCGTTCAGTGCTCGTAATCGATTTAATTGAAATCCCGGATACGCAAGAGTACTGGAACAAAGGCACAGTTTGAAAATCTACCAGGTCCGGGCTTATGCGTCCGATTGAGTTCAGAACAGGATAAGTGAAACACCATCTTGCTCTTCTCTTGGCTAAGCGAATGGGAACAATGTTGAAACATTTCCTCAACGAAAGCAGTCAAGATAGCAACCGTCTTGCAGACAATATCCCACTGAATCATGCACTTATTCCGCTGTTTCAAAACCGGTCACCGAGAATTACATGGTCATCCATCTATCATCAACCCTTGTTTCCATAAATATAAACAGCGGAGGTTCTCCTTTGGAGAATGTTTAAATCAGATAGAAGATACCCAAAAGTAGAAGACTGTGATTGGTCAATGATCTGTTGAGACTGAAACAACATGTAATCTTATGGCTTATGCAACAAATATTTTTTCACATGGATATTCACTTACGGAGCTCGATTGTTAGGTCAAGGGTTTGCTGTGTTTGACCACTTCCACTTTTTAGTCGGATGTACAACCTCATAAGAAAATCAAATCAAAACCGAAGCATACAATCTGCACGACTAAGGGTACATTAGGTCAAAAAGTTGAAAAAAGCCCTACAAGGACAAATAACATATTATCAGGAAAATAATTAAAAGTGAGTAAAATTTGCCCATACTAGTTATCCACTTCGAAATCAGATTGACTCTTCAATAGGCATAGAATATACCAATTTGGCAAAAAGCAAATTGCAGCCGTTTTCACTGAACTAATTTTTGTTACAGTTATTTCAAAAGGTTCAGTTTATCGTACCGCCCTATTGCAGGTATACTATCAACCAAAGGAGACTGGACGAGATCACGTAGGCTATTTCAAAGTGATCACATCGGAACTGTTTGGTGAAACCATGGTTAAATGTACAGGACAATCTCCAAGTGAGTGGCTTCTTTGTAGATGTGTTTCCTAAACCAGACCGACTTCACGCGATCAAACAACCGTGTGACATTTCGAAAATACTTTGTCCCACCTCTATGCGTGAGTGCAGTGAAAGGAGTATACGCTTTAGTCAAAGCGAAGCATGAAGCTTGGGCGGACACAATAAACAGAAACAAATAAGTACAACCCGTTCCCTTTCCAGCCGTCGACTTCTACAGTGGACTATTTCTCTGTAGGTTCTAAGTACAACGAAGACATTCTGTTGATGAGACCAAGATGCAGAGATTAGCTACTATATGTATTTGAGTGGTAGGAGATCAGATTTATAAAACGTGATTTGTCATGTAGTATTAACACTCTACTCACAACTGGAAACCATGAGAGCACTGTACAGCTGTTTCATCCTTATTAGGAATCATCAGCAGTGCGCGTTCACCAAACCCCCACAGGGGACTCGAACCTGGGGTGAACGATTGCGAGTAGGACATCCAGCTACCAGGTTATTTGTGCTGGCTCTCAACGGTTTGGTGAATATGTATACCACACAATACCAGGACTATCCGCCACTGATTTTTAGCGAGAAACCAGTTATAACGCGTCGTTGACTCCAGTTTAGTAATACGAACTATCAAATTTTCTGCGCACGGATCGGTTCGTTAAACTCGAATTCTCATTGACGGTGTGTGTGGTACCTTTTTTGGTCGTATTCACGATATTGTGTGCCGCCACCTGTTCTGTTCCGTCCGGCTGACTTTTGTGAGAAGACCTTTCTGGTTTCGAATCATCTCGGTTTATTAGCTCAGAACATATTGTTTATATGAGAAGATGTCAAGTCAAGTTAAGCCATCAGTCTTTGTAACACATTAATTGACTCATACCTGCATTAGATATTGTCTTTTCTAATTATTTGATTGGTGATACGGCCAGCCACCACTCGACTGCAGTCCTTTCTCATCTTATCAATCCGCCACTCTGTCGTCCGCGAACCCGTTGGGTCAAGCCTCAATCGGGATTCGAAACAAGTGCTGTCTGCCAGTGAGAATAGGCCCTCAGTCTAAAGATGTGCCGGACCATACCCTGGTACCACTTGTTAGTCTTTCAGTGAGAACGTGTTCCTTTCTGAATGGGCAATCTCATCGATCAGCTGCCATCGACTGACTGGTTGTTCGCAGCGAAAACGATACGAAATTCTTCCTAGTTTACGGAAGAACTCTGATAATATGAATATGCTTGGTTTGCTAGATGAGCACGGGGTTGCTTGGACACTTGTTCAACTGCGTGCCCCTCTGAGTTTAGGGCTTTCTATTGGGTGGATCAGTTAGATTCCGTATAAGAAGCCTTACAAAGTGGAGACTAACAATGGTGTATGAAAGCTGCCATATTTTGACATCTTAATATTGATTTCCCCATCTTTCAAACTGTAAAAACGGAAGCAAACATTTTTTGTTCCTGCAGTTACGGTGCACCGTAACGAGAACATCATGATTTTTGGTCCTCCAATTGATATGATGTGAGAACAATTTAAAGCAATCCGATTTTGACTTCAGCGATTCAGTTACCACTATGAGTGCACTGTTTGTTTGTTTTTTATTCCATACTTTTGCATGAATAAATTGAAAGGGTTCTATCTTATAAACATAGTGGCCCATTAATCCCACCAAAAAGCGGAGATCATGAACTTTGAGACTTGAGGTTAAGAATCACAGAAAGACGCTTTTGGCTGAGCGTGAAGCGAGCCGGGCCACAGCAAAATGTTATGTATAGCCATAGTGAACCGACTTTAGTGGGATTCAAACTAGTCACTGCAGACTTTTAAGCCAAATGACAGCATTGCTTTCAAAACACTGGGGATTACACAAGCTTATTTATCAGATCTGATCAACTTATCGGCGAATAATTCCAGTACAATACCATCCTTTCTCTTTCCCGTTCATTGTGCTTCTCCCGTTTCGTTTTGTTTTTCGCTCTCATCCATCATAGAAGTCAATGTGCAGACATCCGTGGACCATTTAGTGTTTGATATCGTCCAGCTGGGTCAGTACGATCAGCGTGTGTTACATATTCAGAACACCTGTGGTTTACCAACCTCCTATCAACTGGTAACCAATGCTAGTACCGGTAAACCAGGCGTATCGACCAAAGACCGCCAGGAACGATTTAGCGCTACCGTGTTCCCGATCATGGATGGATCCGCTACTGGGATTATTTCGAGCGGGGATGAAATTCGCGTGGTTATTGGATTTGTACCTCCTTGGACTGGTCATTATCATCGTCGATTGGTGCTATTAGTCTCGAACCAAGTAGGTGACTCCTAATGTGGTTCTTTTCATGCCCTTTTAATTGGGTAGTGTGTCCAATCAGCTGTGTTTGCGTGATATCATCAGATTCATACAGACTACAAATATACAGGGAATCCTCTGAGGCTGGTAGTTTCAAAGGTTTCAAAATTAGTGCTATGCTTTTCTTATTTTCGAGGTATTATCTGTGAAAAATCGTACAATTCTGTCCCAGTTTACTACGCTTTCTGATCAAATGGCTTTCTGACGATAAGTGTGGGATCGACGTAGCACTGCTCATCTTAAACTGAAGGTTTTTCTTTCGTCGCCCAGTCCTGTCTTCCGCAGGTCTTGATCGCTGTGTGGGCTGCAGGACGTTTTTATTCACTACCATCGACGGACGGACGCGGAATGAAACCTCTGCGAGTCAGCTCGATTAGTCTGATGTGTACCGTCGGTGAATAACAATCCTGCATTTTGAGTTCCAGTCTCAGTTGAAACTCAGTGAAAGAGCGCTTCTGATACATCCTCAGAAAGTTGTTTTTATTGATCATTTGAGCAACGATACCGCGTGATGTATAGAGAATCACTTCAAAAAACAGTTTAGTAAATTCGGTGAGGTCCGGTGACTCACTCACAACTCTGCAACGCTGATTAATCTTGGGAACGCTGAGTAGAGCTCATAATGAGTGCGATATGTAACGTTACATTGGTTTCCCACAGCGTTAGAGCTATTGCGTTTGTGTGTTCTATGTTTTATTTATAGATACAATACGAATACGATACAGAAGTTTTGTGAATTCAGTTTTCCTATTCATAAATATCGACTCCCTGTGTCCATGGTTGGCCAATCAGTTCCATTTTCGAAGTTCATTTGAGTCAATTTCAGTCTCGATGTACAGGCACTGGGGCTGAATAGGACAAATCAGCTAAGAAAAGATACAACAAAGCCAAGTATTGACGGAAATACCCGTTGTTGTACTTCTCGATTTTGTTCTCATAGAATGAACAGTGGTTCATTTTGGAGAAATCGGTAACGGTCGGAAATTTTTAAAAGTATCACGTTTTTCTCTTTCGGCTTGGTAACGTTCATATTTAGTGGTTTTGATTTTGACGGACAACTTCCACTGATGTGACAGTACATTATATATATATATATATGTATATATATATATATATATATATATATATATATATATATATATATATATATATATATATATGAGATAATCATTCATTTGCTCCACCAAACGCATTCGAACGACAGGTAACTGATACTTGGTCACGGGTCATTGTTATTATCATTAGCAATGTCATATCACACTACTGCCCGGCAAGAATTTCATAGTGTATTTCGTACATGCGTCTATTCAGTTCTAGGGCATTGTATTTCTTTGAACACAGCTTCATTGCTTTAGGTGTCACTTCTGTATCCTATGATTGTTATCCAACACAGACTACTCGCGTCGTTGAAGCAATGCCCAACACAGTTAAACCACTCTTGGGCTCAAGCGTGGTATTTCGGTCCCGAAATTTCAATACTTTACCTTCAGAACAGCAATTTGCCTTCCATCAGTACCGCAGGATATAACATCAGTGAATCGCCATCTGCAAATGTGTTCAATTTTCAATGGAATGTTCACAGATGTTGCTAGTAATGAGCAGTATGAACGTTATGAATAGTACCGCAGCACGGTGCCGCAGAATGTATATTGGCGAGGGGGAAGTTTTCCGAATGCGTGGTATATAAGTTTCTTAAGATTTGGAACATGATACTTTACAAACTAAACCCTCTTAGTTATACATCTGAGCCATGCCAAACAATCTCTTCAACCAAGAATACTGGTAATCTCGGATTCCTTGACCAAATAGGAGCCGGGTGCCGATGGTAGCTAGCTTCAATGCAGACGATTTCATAAATAGAAATATTTTTGTGTCTTGCTCTCAGTTGTGAGAGTCAGTCACGTGTATCACTGATATTCGCTCACGGCATATACCTTCGCATTTCGTCTTCTGTTTGAGTGCTAATGCCTGACTTTGCAACTTGATTATCTGTTCTAATAGGCCAATCACATGCGGACATGTATTGATAACGCAGCATTTCATCGTCTATTCCACATTGGTCATCATACGTCTATGCCTGGTTTCTGGTACATTTCACGCCTAGTGTCCCTTTTTAGACAGTCTTGCATTCCCATCGATCCACCGGATGACATTTGGCGTATAGATCCGTTACATACTATTGTTTTCCGTTCAACCACTTTCAGGTTTTGGTCAAGCCAACCATGAGATGGAAGTATGGTACATGATAAGTGAATCCTTAATGTGGTTTAGAGATAATGCTTCTAAACCACTAAAACTGGTGGGATGAAATAAATGATCCACTTAAAAATAATGGTAAATTCGATTCAATTTGTAAGGTAAGGAACTGATTACATAACAGCCACTAAGGATTCAACAAGTTTGACTGAATCATAACTAGCGCCGATACATCAGTAAAGAGTGACTGGTAATATTTTTTCTCAACAAGCGGTTGTCTGAAGAAGGTCACTGAACCTATCAAAGAGACACGTAGTTCTCATTTTGATGGTATGCGTTTGAGGACGATGTGTTTTCGTATCATTCAGAATACCTACCCCTTGTTTCGGCTGTACTCAGGCTGTTTTTTCCCCCATCTAAAACCGCTTCAGGCTCCGCTTTTTATTGACTTGCTTGGGACGTGTCACGATTTACACGAACAGCCACATCATTTAAAGATGCAACATTTGCGGATCAAACAGTCACCGTATGACGTTCAATCGGTTCCCTCAGAAAATGAAATACAGGTACGGCTTTTTTCCTGCATCTGAGGCCCAGTTTGGTTCATTTGCTATGACATTTGTAAATTCTGGGACAATACCCCACTTTAGTTGGTGAAAATCATGCCAATTTTCAATTATCGATGGGCGGAAAACTGGGTTGAATAGTCTGCTCTTCATATTTAGGATCGTCAAACGATTTTCGACTGTTACACTGTGTGGGCTTTTGTCATATAGACATTAGCTGCCAAAAGTAATAGAATCTATCTAGAAAACGGAAAACCCACCTGTACTGTTCAGATCCAAAAGACCAAACTGACAGCCGGAATCGAACCGACGGCTTTAGGATCTTCCTGCCATCCATAAATCCTACATACACACCACAACGTCTTTTGTAACTTATTTAGTTGTGCTGTTGATTCTGTTGAGAATTTGTTGTGGAGGATAGCCCAGTGAAATCAGAACAATTACTATAAATGATTGGTATACTGATTACGCATCAGTGAATATCCATTTACGTTATTCGCGTCCCATCAACCGTGCCAGTCAGATGGTGGAGCTGCTGCCCGGTGAGCGGAAAGTTACCGGTTCGATTCCGGCTGGAGTCGTGAGGTTTCGGGTGAGGAAAAGGCACCGGGGTTTTCCATTATCAATTTGATTTCCACTCCTCATGATAATAATCGGTTTTACACGTGTATCTATTTGTTGAATATTGGCCTTTCCACTAGTCAGCAAAACTCGGTACACCGTTTCAAGCTGGTGGGTTCTGCAGTCCTCACGCGACTATTTTACCAACAAATTCCGTATTCGTACCACTGCTACCACTACTACTATTACTACTACCAATGATAATAATATTAGTAATGATAGGTGTAGACCTAGTAATTTTTGGGCGTTAGGCATGCACCCACAGTTGATGGGATGATTCTAAAAGACTGAGGCAAGAGTTTCAAGATAATTGTGATGATAAACTGAAAGCCTTCATGAGCCTTTCTATCCTCCAAAACCCTAAAACTGCTTTCGTCATGTTACAATTTGATAAACCACCGCGATAAAACTGCACCTTGGAGTGGTGTGATGGCTTGTTTGTCTCCATGACCCAAATAGCTATGCGGGATAACTTTATTAAACCAAAGGTGCAGTCATCCATGACAGTTCAGTGGGTAGATGCCAAACGAAGTCCAGTCTCTGAATCAGTTAGCGGACAGCGTCGTGTTCACAAATTCGGTAACAGAAAGGAAGCGCACGTGCATGCATAAACGCACATGCCGTAGCAACGCTCGGTAAGCGCCAGTACAAGCGAGCAAGTGAAAACGCAAACGAGTACGCAAGTGCGTAGGTCAGCGATGCGTGTAATCAGAAACGTAAGACAACTGTACAATCGGATTAAGTCGTGCAAGGTCGTGCAACAAGCACTACGATCTGATTGGTCAATGCTGTCCGAGGCGAAGCACGACAAACGTCAACTGTGTACGTGTGTGCTCGATTGCATACGTGCGTCCATGATTGGACGGGGTGTATATCACGCGTGCGTGCGTGCGTGAGTATATGACTGCGCGAGCCAGACACAACAGACAGCATCTGGTTCCAACCCCTATTCCCCTGGAGAGGAAACTCCAGTGATTGGATACGGAGAAAAGCGGATTACCAGTCAAAAATCTCCACTAGAAGAACGCAGGATTGGTGTGTCTGGGATTTCTCTCAACGGTGGGAGAAGTCATCGCACTTCATTGGGCAGCTATCGCCCGCCTAATCTGGGTAGCCCTGGACCCATAGGATGCTGTCCCGTCCACGTTCCGCTTGCTCCATTGGGTGGGCTGGGCTAAGGACTGAATCCGATGAGTGGATCGACAACAAATCACCAGCGAAGACAAGACAGAATGCGTGCAACAATTGGATCTCACGTGACAGACCAGAAGAAGTTCCTTTACCAGGGATTCGTTCACGTTCCGGTGCTGGGTTAGTGCCCCACTTCCTTGTAGGTTCGACTTTTGAGTCAAATGTTCCAGTCAGGGTTCCCAAAGAAAAACCCCTTCAGCGGTGTAGGCAACTTTGAAGTATGATCCACATAGAAAACTCCAGCATCCTTCATGTGAAGAACCTTACTAATGTATCTTCTCTCCTTTAATTTAAAGTCAATGCAACATACCGCGGGTCATTGCGGCTCTGAAGAAAGCAATAGTTCAGAAGCGGGCATATATCAAGCACAATTCTTAAGCCTAAATGTTCACTTAACTTAGTTGCATTCAAAGTTTGCACACTATACCAGGTAGGGCAACAGGCTCCTCTCACTAAAACTCTTGACATCTTTCAAATCGATGTGTGCTGTGTCTCCGAAACACGCATACAAGACCCCACTTCTGTGATCACTCTTCGCGTCCCAGATACAACCTCAGTTTCTCACTTTACTCTTCGTGTGTCGGGTGATCCGGTATCTAGTGCTCCTGGTCAGGCCGGCGTTGGGATTGCTTTGAAAACAAGAGTTGATTGTGCACTACTAGCCTGGATTCCAGTCAGCAGTGGTTTGTGTGCAGTTCATTTGGACGGTTTTGTACGTGTAAAAAGTAACAGACTGAAACTTTGACGCTTGTTCGTTGTGTTTGTGTATGCGCCCGCCGACTGCAATTCATCTGAGTCCAAGGATGAATTCTTTCTGGATTTGTCCCAGCTGCTTCGAAGTGTGCGTTCTACGGACGTGGTGGTCATTGCTGGTGATTTCAACGCCAAATTTGACTACTTGAGGATTCTGAAAGGCATATTGGTGGTCCATTTGCTATCTCAGCCGATCGCACTGACAACGGCGATCATCCCATCCAGCTGTGCTCTGACTACAGATTGTTTCTGGCAAGTACGAACTTCTGCAATAAGAAGTGGCATAAACTGGCATGACGTTATCCTACGTCTTCACGACGTTGGACTTAGATTGACCACAATGTCATTAGTCACCGCTGTTGTGGATCGATGGGAGATTGTCGTAAGTTTTGGTCTACCCCTGTGGACTCAAATCACGCCTTAGTACTCGGTCGTTTCTGTTTGGATTTTGTCTACGATCGCGTCAATACTAAAGCCTCCGGTGGCTCCTAGACAATAGCCGAAGATTTGCCTTCCTGGCATAGCTTTGTACGCAGATATCGGTGCAGCCGGATGTCCACGATCAAAATGAGAACTGGCAACAAATCAGGGAAACTTCATATTGTGCTTCCAATGCCACACGAGACTCCGGTCCAGGTGAGCCACACAGACGGAGGATATCGCCGACATCCTTTGCACTGTTAAATGCTCACAGATCCGTCCCTCCGGCCGCCACATTCGATGAAAAGCACAAATCATTGAGATGCCAAATGATTAGAAACCTGAGAAATGACCGTGAGCACTGATGGACTGCGAAATGTGGGGAAATAGAGAAGGCCATGTCTATCAGCAATAGTCGAAACCCTACAGTTTGATTAGAAATACCGGTCCACGGAAGCGAAGTGTGAATAAGTTAATCATGGAATCCGAAGGCTCACTGGTTCACTCTCAAGGACTTCGCCTGGACCGTTGGGCGGAGCACTTTAAGGAGCAATTCAGTTGGCTCACTTTAACAGTGGATCTTCCAAATATACCTACAAGAGAAACAATGTAGTTAGTAGCATCACTACTCCATCAGAAATACAGGTTATGCGAGAGATAGGTTATCTGAAAAGGTACAAAATTACTGGACCATATCGGTTATCTCCGTCCCTCTACAAGGATGGAGGCGAAGCTTTCGTTCTGGAATTACTAAAACTCCTCCGAGTAATTTGGGATAGTGAACAGATTTCAAGGGAATGGTGGTAATTGCTCATGGTACTGATTTACAAAAGAGGTGACAGATCCTCTTGTGTAAACAACAGAGAGATTAGTTTGGTAAATGTCGCATCCGAACAGTTCACCGGGATAACTCTTTACCGAATATTCAACCGCCGTGAATGTTGTACGCGTGAGAATCAAGCCAGTTTCTGCTTCCTTCTGTTCTGTTCTGTTCTACCAAACTACCTCTAGTGAGAATACTATTCTGCCTTCGAATCATCTCGTTTTATTATACAAAAACAATCAGTTTATATTAGGATAGTAGGTGATCACAGTCGAGATGATGGTACGAAGCGCGTTGGTCCAGACCCGTTCCCATGGCCAGGTCTTTTGACTGTCTCTTTTGGTTACGCCCCTGACTGGATGATTTTGTTCCGGCATGTTAACTCAACTGTTGATAGTTCATCGATTGATTTCATTTCGTTCTGTTATAACAATTCTTTCCTGCTGATTGGTTTATTCTCCTCGGTTCACTGAAAGTGACTGTTGGCGTCTGATTGGACGGTTTCGTTCCTTTTCTTCATGAACTGATTGGGCAATCGGTCAGCTTTGCTGGCATCAGATTCACCATCGATTCTAGGCCGCCAGCCAATACCGCACATTCTGAGATCCGGTCGGGCACAGACACATCTTCCGTAGGCCCACAATATCCGTCTTTCTTGTTCCCAAAGCGGCATTCATTTCTCCCTTCCAAAGCTTGTATGCAAACAGCCGAAGCCGAGTTCGATTTTATGGCTATCTCTCACCCGAGTTCACCACGAGAAGTGGAGTTTATCAGGCTTTCCCCCTATCGACTTTTCTCTTCACTTTTGTACTTGAATTAATTCTTGAGATATTCCCACCTAGTTTGAGAATAAGGGTTTCGATATTTGCTTCGGTAGTGAATTGCCTGACTTAGAATAAGCGGACGACATTGTTCTTCTGAGTGAATATCCAGGTAAGTTGCAAGCTTTCCTGGATAGCCTAAGCAACAGCGTAGCAACGTTTGAGATGCAGTTTGCACCTTCAAAGTGTAAAATGCCGCTACAGGACTGGATTGGCTCTACCCCAAACCTTGTGATGGCAGAGGAAGCTCTAACTGAATTAGATAAGTGTTGTTACCTGGGTAGTTACATCTCACAAGGTGGACAGCTATCGGATGAAGTATCATCACGTATTCAGAAGGAGCCATTGATTTTTGCCAACCTCAGTCATTTGCAGCGCATGCGTGATATCCACTTGTCTGTCAAGGATCGAGTGTACACTGCAGCGGTTAGATCTTTTCTTTCACAGGGTTCAGAAACATGGTCGTTATGGGTAGAGGATAGGCGGAGATTGTCGGGGTTTGAGCGCCGACGTCTCCGCAACATTGTCCAAATATGGTGGGAATACTGTATCAGCAATGCTGAGGTAGGATGTAGGGTGCTGAGTACCAGAGGTCAGTTTCTGGATCAAGTACTGAATCTAAATAGGTTAAGGTGGTTAGGACATGTGTTAGGTTTGCCCATCGATAGACTTTCTTGGCGTACTCTGATTTCCAAGGTAGGAAGTAGTTTTAAGGCAGGTCGAGGTGCCGAGTCCATGACACGGCAGGAAGGTATGAAAACCTTGATGAGTGGACCCGGCCAAGTGGGACGTATTGCACTTCCAGGTTGGGGTCCCCGAGACCAGTCTACCAGGTGGTTAGAAACATTAGGTGATACGGTTAGGTGTCACAGCCAGTGGCGTAGATGCATACGAACTACTTCTTTTTCTTCATAAATTTCGTTTTGTTGCCTTTTTTAGTCTGTTTCTCACTTTATGCTTCTATGCCCTTTTCCCTCGACTCGAAGGTGCTGCGAGGCAGCAACCAAAACCGAAGTACAGAAGTGTGCGTAACACATGTCCCAACCATCTTAGCCTGAGGAGCTTGAGAGTTTCATTTAACTATTTGATCCTCGAACCTAAAACTTTCTGCCGAACCTCAGCATTGCTGATACAGTGTTCCCACCAGATTCGGGCAATACTGCAAAGACATCGGTGTTCAAATATCGAAAATCTTCGTACGTCCTCCACTCGCAGTGGCCATGTCTACGAACTATACAGAAGCACGGGCCTGACTGCTGCAGCGTACACTCGACCCTTAATAGGCAAACGGATGTCATGTCGAAGCCACAGATGACTCAGGTTGGCAAACACGAAGTGAGTCTTCTGTGTACGCAGAGACACTTCGTCCGATATTCGACTTCCGGGTGAGATCCAGCTCCCCAGATAACAGAACTTGTCTACCACGTTTATAGTCTCCCCAGACACTGAAAGGTTTGGCGTTGGACTAACTCTGTCCTACAACAGCATCTTGCACTTTGAAGGTGCAAGTCGCATACTGAACATTGCTACGCAGTTATTATCATCATCCTTTAAGGGAAATTTTAGCCAAAACGTCGTGACCGCCCATGTACAAATTCACAAAAGGAAACAGGTAGGAAAGAGTAACCCAGGGATCTCATAAAATATATTATTTCAACCAGTCGTTCTCGAAACTGATCCGTACTTGTCACAGGACCAGCAGGTGGACATGACGGAAAAAGTAAGACTGAAAGACGACTAGCTAATGTGTGGGAAATGCGGGTATAGAGGTAACTCTCCTCGAAGACTTTGATACTGCTTCTAATAACTTTCAGTGCAAATGATGAAGTACCTAAAGTGAAGTTTAAAATGATGGGATTGCGTGCAATGAAACTCTGATTGTCACTAAAGCTTGAAAGAACGCTGTGACTTACCGAACTGTTTAAGGAAAAGTCATTTCTTGTTGAGTAGGCACGTTAAACAATCGGTAAAGTTGTATCCCCATGACTAACTTGCTGGCAATCAATTTTACTGGACCAACCATACTACACTATTCAGCTTTTGAGCTTCAGAATCACGGGCGTTTCAGCTCACACACGGAGAGCAAGAGGGTTGACTCGATAAATTAGATGCGTTACTTTATCTTAGTTCAAACACTTGACAAATTGGGAATCGATAGAAAAAGTTTCCCGCTTGTATTTCGAAGTAGTACATTTTGATGGTTTTCGACTGACTTTCGACCCCGAATGAAATTTCAGTAGCCAATTTTTTCTACCTGAAAAATGAACAGAGAATAGATTCGACTTACGTGAGAACAATGTTTATGAGTTCACACTACCGATCCTAGAAAGAAATACCCAAATTTGCCTACAGATCTTCAGCGTCAAAAGGGTATTTCATACATGTACATACCTTTACTACTTGCGTAGGGAACTGTTACCTTCAGCAAGTTGCCAGCAATCCGGAACAAATCATAGAAGTATCAGTAAGCGGGATAAACCATGCAGTTCCTGTTAGGGATCTTGTGTGGAGTGCAATAGATCCCCTCTCCCAATCAACGGTTAAGTACGTCAGAGGATACGGCTGGGTGTAACGAGCAGCGGAATTTTGGTATTCCCAAACTGTCTAAAATGACTAAATGCCTAAATTTTCTAGTTTTCTCCTCACTCCTTTTACACCCCTTGTTTTTCACCATATATCTCCGACTGAAACCACAGCAGCACTACCGCACACTGAATGATTCCAAACGAGGATCAGACAAATGTGCAGTGCTTCCAAAATTCTCACTAGTGAGTTGAGTGCTGATACAGCATGATGAGTCATAAAGTATGATTGAAATAACCAATATTTACCAGTACAGAAACGAGGCACTTTGACAATTGTCAGTCACTTTCTTTGTCTCTTGTCACTTTGTCCACCTTTGATCGATATTTTCAGCCCGCTGATGACTATTGTTCAACCAGTCAGAGTGCCTTCGAGGAATATGCCCGTGTGAAATACGTCCTGGAAACTGTGGTAAGTAGCATTTTTGACCCTCGTGAGCAGAATTTTCATACGACCACTTTCCTCTGTCTGTGGTCAGTTCATTCTTCTTTTTTCGCACAAAAGAAGCTGCCCGGGAAACCTGTGTTGTCATCCGAAGATAGGATGAGCGTTTCGCTATTCTTATTAGCTCTTGACACTCGTGTTAGACCGCTTCGAGTCGTCCATGGACAAACAAGTTCCCGTTGCCAAATTCGGGTCGAATTAATGAGGCTGGGGTTTTCTATTTCTGTTTGAACAGCCCCTCAGTCATGTACAGAGTACGGCCGTTCTCGTTGATGTCTCCCATGAAGAATCTCAGTCGGAAACCAAAAGTGTGAGCTTGAAACAATTGATAGAGACCTACAAATGTCAGCCGGTTCGTTTTTTTTACTCTCAACTAAAAGAAGCTGTGAGGTAGCAACACCGGTCTTTTGAAGTGCCGGTGGCAACTACGCTGATGGTGGGCACTGTGTGGCTGTGTTGGTCAGGCATCAACACTTGCCCTAACTGGGGAACTATTTGCCGAATCAGACAAGTTTTATCGTTTGGGAAGCTCCATCTCGCCTTAAAAAAAAACAACGAATGAAGCGCTTGAGCTCTGTCCATCACAGACACACGTGACTTTGACGTAAAATTCACTAGCCCATAGAGGGAATAGCGCACTTTGAACCCATTAGATCTGTTCTATCATGCGGCTCAGAAACCTTGTCGTTACGTGCAGAAAGACTAACTAAGACTAGCGGTATCTGATCGGCAACTCTGTCAGAGCATTGGTCGAAAATAGTGTTGGTCGAATAAGGTGTGAACACCGTAGCGGTAGCCATGTGAAAATAAATCAAGGTATTCAATACACGACCCTGGGTGGTAGGTATAAGAACCTTGGTCAGCTGGAGTGATCATGCAGGACGTGTTGAATTTGGTCCGTGGGCCCACGAGACCCGCGTACCGAAAGGTTCGAAACGCTGAGATATCATCGAGTGCTGTGGTAAGTGGTGTACTTTTTTCCAATACTTTTCTCTAGTCGCGTTTCTATTCACTTGGTTTATTTGTGCTGCAGAATTTTACGGTTATATGTAAGTTATAATATATTCCAGTTAGTTCTTTTTTTGGTTCAATGGTCACTCATCCGAAATGTATCCTTACTGAACTGTGATTTGACTTTTTCCACCAAATATCTGGAATTTAAGAACTGACCGTAGTTGATAATTCTGAGTGGAACACGAATGACTCCGTTATCAATCGAATTACGAGGAACGATATGAGTGACAAATGATAAGTTACACAGACGAAGACGACACCCGAACTTCATCGCATGGGGCTTCCCTGACGAGGACCTATTGTCGACCTGGGCGATACTTGTTTGTGCCATTATACTTCAGCATAATCGAATAAACGATGAAATACTGTTCTTAAAATACTTTGCCTTATTGCGCAAAATACTTTTGAAAATCAACAGAGTTATAGCTTCTCGGTTAGTTAATATCTGATGAAGGAGATAACCTAAGTGAAAGTGATGAGAGAGAAGTCACTAATTCTGACATCAAACAAGTCAAGAGCTTCTGTTTGACGATGTCTCAACCACATTACTCAGCCTGTGCGATCGTCGATGCTGGGGCTGAGACGGTTCTTTCTCAAGTGCTACATGGGTTTGAAAGAGTCGTAACACAAGCCTAACGGAAACTGTCACACACACACACACACACACACACACACACTCACACACACACACATGACAGCTGATATTCCGACCGTGTAAATGGATCCCCGCCTGGGCGGAGATATTACAATTTGTCATTTGTCCCTTTTTGGTCGTTTCTACACGGTGTGCACAGGCCACGTAACACCAACGACCCTACTCAGTCATGACTCGCACACTCATCAACCATGCAGCATTTTTACCCAGTTTTTCAGCAGGACGGTTATTGAACATTACAAATTGTCCACTTTTAGTTTCACCATATTTCTCATGCACAAAGTTTTCCATAGTGGAAATTGACGTACAATGTGGATTGCAAAGAGTTGGTTTTTTTGGCAAGATGCCACGGGGAAGTGGTTATCGGATTCCTACTATTGATCGTTCATCGAGTGTACAATTCATTTTCTATCGTCGTTACTGTTGTAATACTATTCACCGTATAACTAAAAACAGTGACCTGATTTCAGCGAGCCCAACCAATCTTGCTCATCGAGAAGACAAAATTAAAACGGAACTCAGTTGGGAAAGTGTTGAGAAGTATGCGGAATGGTAAGACATCGGTAGTCAATTCATACTCAAAACGTCTGCCGTACCCTGTCTTGGTTCAACTCCTAGCCAGTCAGATAAGGAAGACTCATATGAGAAGCGGTTGCACATTTGGCCGGGTGTGTAAGCTCGTGTGGGTGGAACGCGCCAGAACACCCGACTCGGCATGAATGGAACTGAGGAGAAAATGATTCCAAATACCAGCCTCGTTGACAATTAATCCAGTCACCCAGACTCTAGATTTGTTGCTAAATTACTGCTGTGTCAATAGTTTTGTCAGACCTTTACAAAAAGGGTCACAGTTGGCGCTGATTGCCTATTTATTATCGGTGGATATCTACCTTTGCAAACATCAGGTCTCAGCTGCAGCGAAGAAGCACAGAAAAATGGTATAAAAATACAACAATCTAGATATGTTGGATTGATCCAATTGTTGAAAGTTGTCTGCACTGATGGGTTCCTAAGTCACCCATGTTCATCATTTGACGCTTTGGTACTGGGTGTGGTCTATCACCTGTGACATCGTAGCTCAGTTGGAAGGTTGGCTGGTGTTTCACAGAGTCCGTCCAATTTGAGCATAGAGATCAAATCCACACGAACCAAAATTGTCACAACGAAAATCATAATTTAATGTTACTTACAAGGATTTCAAGTAATACTCAGTGAAAGAAATCAATTCCTAGGATCTATTATTGGCTGAAGGAGCTTGAAAGTAAGCTGGTGGGAATTCATTTGTATTTTCTGCATCTAAAAGCCGAACACCGCAAACCGGTTCGATTCCGGCTGGCGACTTTAAAATCTGAAGGCAAAAAAACACCAATGGGATTTCCAAAATTTGAAATCATTTTTGGAGAAATATTTAAATATCCACGTGTTTTGTTTAACTATTGACTAAATTAAACTGTCTGCCTCCTTCAAAAGCTCGCAGAGCATTCATCTGACACTTTTCTACAGACAGTGTTTCGAATGAATGTTTTTTTACTGTCTTGAACTACCGGTTTTGTAATTGTTATTTGTTCAGAGGTGATGATGATCATTCTATTTCTCTTGACAGATTGAACCTCCGCCAATCTCTATCGATCCAGCCTACATTGAATTCACTCCGAATTCGGAATGCGTACGACACGCAGTACGATGTGCTCAGTACCAGATTGATACGGAACGACTCGGTTTGCCACCACAAGAAAACGGAGCAAGCTACGGACTGACCCGGACCGTAGTGGTACAGAACCAGACAACAGACGTTATGCTCATCCGATGGACTCCACTGCGTTCAATTCCGCCTTTGATTTGGAATAAATCGATAGAAACGCGTGACGTGGATCAACGGAGCGCAGGTGAACGCTGGACGCGGAAAACCACGGGTGCATTCTTCATCGAACCAATGGAATGTGAACTGGCCGGTGGGGCTTCATCTAACTTTGTGATCACATTTGTCCCAGTAAGAATTTCTTTCGAAGTTTCGGATTCATTGAACAAATCACATTCAGTTTTTAGTGTGAATCGCTCCGATAATATCGTCATACAGATAAGAAAATGAGACTTGAGGTGATGAGAATTGGCTATTTCAGCAAAAATTGAGCTTATAAAATGGTTCAGCATGCATTGCCAACGCCCAGTTAACCATTGAAAATCCATGGAATGGGGGAACAGTAGTTTTACGTGAGTTGTCAGGAAGCATCATCATTATGGTAGAATCCCGAGCGTCTACGACTCCTACAAGCATTGGTCACTCGATCTCACACAGACCCAATATGACGACGGCCTACGAGAAACCGTGAATAGGGATTAAATACATTTACGAACGGCGAAACGACAGTAAATATAGGATTACAGCAGGTCAGGTCAGAAGCGGTCAATAGACTGTTATGGAAGTTGGAACTGGTACTGAATGTAAGCATAAACATAATCTGAAGCAGAACGTGTGATCAATAGTGATGACACAACAGTCTTGGTCAGAAAAAGAGAGCGGAATCAGTCCAAAAATGAATGAATGCAGAAAATACATACAAAATGAGAAGACGGGCATGGATTACAGAGGGCGGTGGACAGCGTGTGGTTCTGCGGTGTTTAAAATTTAAACTGCGCGCTTGCGCTAAGCGGAGATCAGCAAGGGAGGCGGATAAAGACCAGTGGGGTGTTTGCACTCGTCCACATGACAGTACACGACCGGCCGACCCTCCTGGGTGGCGGAACGTTATAGTGTAAGGCTAGGGTCAAAAAGGTTGGGGGTTCGAACCGCAGATGGAATCGCTCCATGTAAACGAACATGACATTTGAGCAATGGTTTGTTCATAGAATACCATGCGAACGGCGACAGAAAATAGGCGAATATACAGCCAATGCTATGCGATGCGCAAATCCAAGGACGTCAGTACGCATACAGGGTTTGCGCTAAGAATAATGGTAAATTACGATCACAAGTAATCATCAATCATCATCATGATTAGCATTATCATCCGAATTGTCATCATCATCATCATCGTCACCACCATCGTCACCATCATCCTCCATTTGCGAAATCCGGTTTTCTTTTCAACTATTTCTTTTGGGTATGTTCAAGTACACCAGCCAAATACAATTGCCGAACTCTGTACACTTGGTGCTACGCAGACTTCTATTCAGCCCAATTCAGGAGACCGTTTGTAAATCTAAGCAGACATGTTTCATTGATACTTGAATACCCCCATTTAAATACCTGAAAATATGACTATTTGACAATATGGTCATATCTATTCTATTTCTGATAAATGTTTCACTTAAGATTACCGAAAATAACTTCCTCTCTTCCTATTTCAACAAGATCTCAAATAGTATAATGAATTGCTGTTTCTTGGATCACATTCCATAAGGCTAAATAAAAAAAACATGAAAATAACAAACTGATTCCCACGTACGAAGAAAATTTTGCATCTTTTTCAGTGGAACTTTTTCAACCCGTTCAGCAGCGTGCCTAGAGATTTATTGAGCAAATTAGAAGCCTACTATTCGTGAACAGTTTCGAATAGTACGACGTGGCTGAATAACAACCAGGAAATTCGTCACCAAGTGTGCACTACTTATCCACCAAACCATAGACCACTCAGGTAGCCCGATATATGCATATATCCTACTATCATCTGATTATTATCATTATTAGTTGGATGATTAGGAATACATTCTTACGTCTTATTCAGTTGAATAACCAGCTTGGTTTTGTGTCAAATCCTCATCCAAATTCAAGTGTGTTGTTAAATACCAGCCGCACAGATCTTGGTTGTGCTCCGTTTTATTCTCAAGGAGGTAGGCACAAAACCAGGCCGTAGAGTGTGTGTGTGTGTGCCAGACTGTATGTTTGCGCACGTGACTAGTGAAGCTGTAAACAACAAAAGGACACACATTTTCAGTTTCTGTTACACCCATTCCCAAGCACTCATGAAAATCTCAAAGAAGTAATACCCAAATGCGTTAGCAAGATACACTAATGAGACGTAGTGACATTCGAAAGAAGCTGTGAAGACTTCAATTAGTCCTTTCTGGCCATACTTTACTTGTGAGACTATTGCATTCTGTGTTGACAATTTATGTTTTACTCAGTATACCGTCTGACTGTTATTCCTTTGTACAGTCAAAGTGAGTGTGAGGAGTTTCGGATGCACATGACCTAATCAGATGTTTTGTTATTCATGAAGCAATTTACAATTTTACCTTGATCAGAATATCATTTTTATTTTGTTCTCAGAATTGTTTAGATCAATTTTTTCATCACGAATTCGAGGGTTTTGCAGCCTACAAAATTCAAAGGGATTGCAGTCTATGCAGTCCGGACGTGTTGCGTGCGCCGCATTGTATCGCTGTCAGCTGCATTGGTAAGTTTACAGACAGCCAGTTGATTGAGTTCGTTTGTGACAACGTATCCGCCGAGCTGGACGATATAAATTCATAAAACATGAATTCATTATTCGATTGGTTTTTGCCAACTAGGATGGCCCTCATCCAAGCTGTCTTCTTTTTTTTATTCAACATATCACCATCGTCATTGTAAACTGGGTTCATCGAAGACAGCTTCATTGACTGGAAGTGTTCAACCAGTCTTCATAGCGGTCTAATTACCTTAATGTCCTGGGCTTGAACATCGCAACTCCGGCTCATCAGCAGTGTCTTAATTTCTGTGCTCATCTTCAACGAACAAGAGAAAGGTCCTTCAATGATTCTGTTGTTTTAATTGTCCGAATAATCCCACAGGGCATATGGAGAACAACACAAGGTGGCGAACAGGCTCGTTTTCAGTGATTCGTAATCATGCCATTACATCACATTTTATATGAACAGTGTTAGGTGAACAGAACAGAAATCAAGATAAGGCGATGAGTGAAAATGTAAGTGGGGGAGAGGGGATCAAATATCACATGCGTGACCTCGATCCGTCTCTGGACCGTGAATGGGTGTCTGCGGTGTCATTAGTCGGATCAACGGATCTGTGGTTAGTTTGTGGGTAGGGGGTGAGCCAAGGAAGCCTTAGCGCTTGCACGAACTGTGTTTTAGGCGCACAACGGTGGATTGTAGAGACGATTGCATACCGCTTCCGCTGTGGCTAGAACACGGCTCTTCACCAGTCTTGATTGCCCACTTCGGACTTTGTAGATTGGCCGGAATGCTTTGGTCACATTCACTGAGTGGTTAGACTGAACAAGGTGTGAACACACAGAGCTCGTAATTACTTTGATTGCTCCAGTGTTCAACCAAGCTGGGTGGTGTTCACGGACTCGTTCGGATAACTGTCTCGTCGTACGGCCAATGTACGTTGTCCCACAGGAACAAGTAAAAGAGTACAAACACGGAAAGAGGCCATAGAATCTGACACCTTATCCTTTAATCGTAAATACACACACGGCTTTGATGTAAATACAATATGGAGCTTTGCTGCGTAAAATGTTTTGTCGACGGCTCCTGATAATCTGCGATGTATAATATCCGCTGGGATATCACCTTTGAACGGCAGGCAACTGTGGTTTTCGCTCATTCTTCCACTTGTCGCATTGTCTTATCAATGAAACGATCCGGATATCCGTTTTTCAGGAACACATTGCGCAGAGAACGAAGTTCGTTGTCCAGTGTGTCCTCAGTACAAATTTTGCGCGCTCTATTATTCAGGCAACGGATTAAGTGGCGCTTAAATTGAAGTGGCACGAAACTTTCGAAGTGAATGTACTGCCCATTCCACGTTGCTTTCCTGTGCACTGATCGTTGAGCTGAGCCATCCACTCGCCGGCTTAGGCACACATCTAGAAAGGCTATTTCATTGTTTGCCTCTTTTTCCATCGTAAACTAGATATTAGGATGGGCTCTGTTGAACGTGTTTAACATAAAGTTTATGTCTATGTTGTTGTCTGCCACACACATTATATCATCCACATAGCGTTTATAAAGCACACATTGCCTGATGGTGGACTGCAGTTAATTGTTCTCAATTTTCGCCATGAAAACATCGGCGAACAGTGGTCCCAAGGGTGACCCCATTGCTACTCCGTCTTTTTGACGATAGATTTCGTCATTGAATTTAAACTGCACGTTAAACGTACAGACAAAGAGGAGTTGCTTCAGTTCGTTCATCGGAAGGCCCACGTCGATGTTGTTTTCTTGAATATAGTCGCAATCAAAGTAATTACGAACGCTGTTTGTTCACACCTTGTTCAGTCTAACCATTCAGTGAATGTGACCAAAGCATTCCGGCCAATCTACAAAGTCCGAAGCGGACAATCAAGACTGGTGAAGTGCCGTGTTCTAGCCACAGCGGAAGCGGTATGCATTCGTCTCTACAATCCCTTGTTGTGCGCCCAAAAACAGTTCGTGCAAGCGCTAAGGCTTCCTTGGCTCACCCCCTACCCACAAACTAACCACAGATCCGTTGATCCGACTAATGACACCGCAGACACCCATTCACGGTCCAGAGACGGATCGAGGTCACGCATGTGATATTTGATCCCCTCTCCCCCACTTAAATTTTAACTAATCGCCCTATCTTGATTTCTGTTCTGTTCACCTAACACTGTTCATATAAAATGTGATGTGTTGGCATGATTATGAATCACAAAAAACGAGCTTGTTCGCCACCTTGTGTTGATTCTGTTGCTGTTAACAAATGGCTTTTATTCACTGAGCTAAGTCCCACTGAGGAATGAGCTGGCTTCGCGGATGTCACCGAAAGCATTTGTCCCAAAACGATTATCGGAAAGCAAATTGAAATCGGCCAATATCTATTTCAAATTCTAACGATAAATCCTGAGAGCTCAGAGTTCAATAAGCCTATGATTGGCACTTTTCTGAGCTCGCCATTTAGTTGACGGAGTCCCAGTGCATATATTGTTCTCTTTTGATAGTTATGAAGGCTCTGCTCTGTGATTGTGGAAAGGTAAGAATGAAGAACAGGTTAGAAATCACGACTGGCGCTTTCTTTTAATCAACTTTTGGACTTGGTTATGAACACCGAAATAAAAACCGTCTGTTGTCTTGGCAAAATGGACACATAGTGGTTACATTTTTCAACTTTAGTTTCATAACAACACTGGAAACCTAATTCGAGAGACAAAAAGAATAACGTCGACTTGGTGTTATCAATGAGCTAATGCGTCTCAATATAACCCCTTCCCCAGTCGTCCGCCCGCCGTGCTTCACCCTCAACGGTAGGAAATATTCAAAAAGCTGACTTCCTTCTAGGCTTCGAACCCCCGGGGTAGGTTTGTCGATGGGCTTGGTCTCATTTTATGGAAATTCAATATATATATATATATATATATATATATATATATATATATATATATATATATATATATATATATATATATATATCAGTAGCTGCTTCTAACATTTTTCAAACCCCCTTTGTGGCCGTAACCGTGCCATTGGTCTTATTATCAAATGTGGAATGTTGTGCTGACATCCAGCTGCACGAAGGCTTGTTGCTTCTGAAGTAAAGGATATATCAGACTACGATGCTATCCGAGACAATTTTGGATGATTCTGAGACACTGTAGGATCAGTTCTAATGGCAAAAATATGAAAAGACTTTGCCAATGTTAAGGTGATGCCATTCATCCCCGAATAGAGGGATCACGTAGTAACAAGACAGAGGGAATGTGATCTTGAATATCTTACGGAACCACTGAAGAGAGAGAGAGTGAGTTTACCACTTATGCTAACAACATAATCAAAGCATGGACTGAGGGAAAATGAATAGCGCTGGTTCAGACGTTAAGACCGAAACCTCCGATGATTGTCTTCCCATAGCATGCGTTCGTGAAAAGGCTGGCATTCCTACTGGAGCCCATAAGGAAGGAACTGGCTAAAAGAAGTTTATATGACACATTCGCATTCGTCGACATCATCAAAGATCTCAACACTGAAAACTTTACCATGTTTTCGTTGGATATACCATTGCTTTTCACAAATATCCCGTTACTGAGAACACAGAACAGCGGCAATTAGTCGACGGACTTCCTGCATCTTATTTGAAGGAACTCATCCTTCGTTGCACGATGAACATTCAATTTTTGTATAATGGACAGTTTTATTGGGCAAATTGATGGTGTCTCAATCTGCTAACCAAGTGGCCTGTTACTTGCGGACATTTTTCACTGGGGAAACTTGAAATATGACAGCTAAGCAGTAGGATAGCAGAGGTGGACAATGTACTACCGCCACGTGGATAGCGGTTTTGCAGCACGTTAAACAACAGAAGATGCCAACTAGGTGCTGAGGTGCTTCAAAAGTACCCGTTTGTCATTCCAATGCATCATAGAAACCTGGAGTGAAGGTTGTATGCTGTGTTGGATATACTTTTGTTTTACCACAATAATGGAATTTCCTGGTCGGTCAGCAGCAGACCTTTGGTTGGCATATTCTAAATCGGACAATCTGATTGGTGCAAAAGGCATTATATAGCATCGAAACATTAGCATTGATTGTGATTTCCTTGTTGCATGCTGTACCAATATACGGATTGCTTTCCCCGAAGAAGTGACTTTGTTTCTAACCAAAAGAAACGGTTACCGAATGACTCCTTTGACTCTTTGGTGTTGTCGTTAAGACAGCTGGCACGATCATGCAATTTTCGCCCCCACCTCGAAGGGAGCCTTGTGTAAGACCTGATAGTGATAAGGTAACGCAGGCTCACTGTGATTAAAAGTGTGCGGAAGATTCCGAAATTAACATTCCAGTATTGCATCGATATCTGCCAAGGCAAGGAGACAGATGAACAATGCTTGAAGACGTCAGAATCTCATGGTCTACATAAAATAACACCAGGGACGCGCCGGGAGCCGAAGACAGTGTCGATTGTGACAGACTAAACTTCGAGATAATGAACAACTGTCCCGCCTGGTGAAAATCTTGTGACAACTGCAAGAAGGGCAATGATTTTGCGTCCAAAGGTTTTCCCAAAAAACAGCGGATTCATTCATTCATCATATATCTGACGATACCGAGTATAACTTGGAAAAACGTGCCTCTGTTTTTGATGAGAAATTCGGAAGGCTTCGGAAAACAGCAACTGTACACGTGTTTGAATCCCCGGAGCATGTGATACTACCGACGAGGCATGTTCTGTACGCAGTCGTAGAATGATTTGAAAGCGAGCTTGAAATCTCCAAAAACGTCTTGGTTGTGACAAAAGTATCCGGGGGACTTCGAATTCGCATTGATCTCACACCATTAAACAAGGCGCCTAGGCGACAGTACTTTTCTTCACCCGTTTTTCATTATATTCTGCCCGATTGTTCGAAGGCCCACTGCTATGCTTCAGCTTTTTGCCATTTAGGGTTCGATGAAGCCTCGAGTTATTTGACAACGTTTGCTGCACCGTATGGCCGTTACCGTTCGAAGCGAATACCGTTCGGACCGAAGGTATCGAATGAAATATTTCAGAAGATTCTCCAAACAGTGGAAGACTTACCTGGAGTAATCTGCGTAACAGATGATACACGGATTTTTGCGAAAATATCGATTCATTTCTGAAAAAAACATATCCGTGATTGAATCAAACTGATACGGGACAAGTTGACACTTTGTCAAATATTAGTCAAGTTCCATGGCCACATTCTCACAAAGGCAGGTATCAAACCGGATCCGGAAAAGATAAGCACGATTGTTGATATGTCTGCGCCAACCGATAAGAAAGGTATCTCACGTAATAATGGGACTATCACCTGCTTGAACAGACTCTTACCACGTAACGCGTAATGGATAAATGTCGATTTAGACAACAGAACAGCAATTAGCATTTGGTCGCATAAAGCGGCTTATCGTGAACGCCCCAGTTTCAGCAAATTATGACCATATCTTATCTGTATGCATATAATATATTAGTAGTCAGCATGGCTTAGGAGCCGTCCTTTTATAAAGTGAACGCCCACCTGATTATCGCAGCAGGGCGTTAAAAATTCGTGAACAGGAATATGCGCAAACCAAGAAAGAACTACTGCTGTACGCTCTTGATAAACTCAGCGATTACCGACTCGGCCAACTTATGCACATATGCTCAGATCATCGACGACTGATCCCCATCGTAGTTAAGCCGTTACATGGAGCACCTAGGGGAATACAGTCGACTCTAGGACGTCTCCAATAAGGCAAACAGATGATCGTAGCCGACGCACTCTCATGAGCCAACTACCAAACGAAGAAATGCAACGGTGCATATTTCACAGGCGATAGAGGAATCTGGACTGTCTCAAATCCAGAACGTCACGATGACAGATCCGTGTCTAAAATCCCTGAAAAAAGTTATCAATCAAGTTGGCCGGAAGATAACAAAACTCTGTTAGCAGAAGTACTACCTATTTTAAATTTGGTGAGAAGTTAACAACACAGGATGAACCGATTTTTCAAGATGTGCGTTTGGTGGTCCCACTGCCATTTCAAAAATACGGTATAAGTTTGTTACAGCGTTCACACACAGATACCACCGGATGTGTCATCCGGGCCAGAGAAAGACACTACTGGCCGGGTATGGCAGAACAGGTGAAACAGATGGTGGCAAATGGTGGACCATGCAGACAGCTCGATCCACGATAAACGAAAGAACGGATGATAATGTGTCCAATACCCGACCGGCCTTGGCAAATTGTAGTATTGGATATTTTATATCATTGGTAGGACAGTTATCTGGTAACCATTGATTATTACAATGGTTTCTTTGAAATCGACTTTTTGAGAACAGGAAAACTGCAGAAGTTACCAACTAAGAGCGAGCCAATTTTGCACGACATGGAATCCCAATTCGAGTGATTTCCGATGGTGGTCCTCAGTTTCGGCAATTCTTGGAGATACAGCTTTCCAGCCATCAAATCATCAGTCTTTATCGGAGTCGGTCCGACAGTAAGGCTGAGAGCTTTGTCAAAAAAGCTGAAAAAAGATACTCAAGAAATGCAGGACCGAGGGCATTGATCCCTACATCGCTCTGCCTGAGCATCAAAATATGTCTTCTGCAACAGTGGGAACAAGACCGAAAAAACGTCTATTTGGAAGACGGGCGTGCAACACCCTTCCCGTTACTGGACCCACATGTCGTAGCACCTTCATTAATCAAATTGAAATTGAGAAAGTGAATGGCGGAGCAAAAATGGCCTTGTTACAGGGACAGTAGGCCATTGCAACCCCTTCAATTAGTTGATATGGTCTGGATTCGACCAAAACAAACGACAGAAAAATCCTGACCTAAGGGAGAGGTGTTGTCACGCGTAACAAAGAAATCATAACTCATCTCTAGAGTATGTGGGATAAAAAGGGATAAAGTTCATTTGAATAAATCAGAGGAAGGCGATGATGAAGGAGATAGAGACTATGGAGGAGATAATGAAGGTGTAGAGAAGGAAACCGAAAAGAATGGAAAAGTGGCTCAAGCAGATAGCACATTACAATCACCTAGTCGGGGAGGAGCATTCATCGTCTAGAACTCGAACTGGGCAAAGTTACTAGCCGGTATTCAAGTAAATAATTTTCGAAACAAGAAGGATATGTTAGATATACTTTTGTTTTACCGTATCACTGGCGTTCCCTGAATGGTCAGAAAGAGACTTATGTTCGCACATCATAAATCGAGCAATCTGATTGGTACAAGAGGCCCAATAAACAACCGAAGAATTAGCAATGATTGAGATTTCCTTGTTGCACACTGTAACAATATACTGATTTCTTTTCCTGAAGACCTGACTTCTGAAACATCCTATTCTTTGATATACTGATATCGAAGACAGGAGATGGATAGATTCAGAGACGATTATATAGAAAACTAACCTGGCGGGTTAGTACATCAAATTCCACGGTGCCGTTTTAATCAGTTCCGAACGGAAATCAATAAACTGTATGGTCCAATGAGCTTAAAACGTTTTATCTCCCAGGATACTGGATAGTGAATTGGATCGTCTGCGCAATACTTTCCGTGGAAATGAACGTCAGGACAAGCTGATCGGAGGATACACGAAAAAAGTTGCATCGAACATCGAAAATTGTACAGTTTGCCAAATGGAGGCGTTCAGTACTTTTCCCTTCACAGGAGACGGTATAGGTGTTATCTTTTCAGGGCGCTTCACAAGGTCCATAAAACGTTCAATGCAGCCGGGCTGAAAATATTCTACTCAGGCAATCCGGCCATTAATGAAAGATACAAAGATCGACCACAGCTGTGAACTTCATCTATGTGTGTCTATGTAACATAAACAGTGATAAATGCGCCGTAACGTTTTCCCGAACTTTGTCGTTTTTTCCCCTAATTGTACGAGTTCTACTCTATTTAATATTGTAAAAGCTTCAGAACAAATAAAGGAATGGAATCATCCACTCCATTTGTCTCCTGTCTGAAGATATGAGTTTGTACTTCATCTGGAAAATTTAAGCGGTCTTCAAGTTTTGTGCATGGCTACGCAATAAATCCACCCCAGGAAGGGAGCAATAAAATGTCCAAGTTGTTTATTATGCCCTGAAAACGCCCCTCTTATGTTTTGTTTTCGTTTATTTGTTCTCAAGGTCACACATTTGCTCCATCAAAACAACCCTTCATGCCAGAGTTTGGAATAGATCGTCGCAGTATTCGTTATCCATCAATGGATGCCGGTGAGACCAGATTTGAAACATTTTGTGTGCGCAACAATAGCGCGCAGCCGTTAGTTGTTCAGCGGAACACGCTTTCGAAACCTGTAATAGAACAGAAAAATTTCATGGGAAATAGGTGAGTGATTATTCAACTACCTCTTGTGCTGATTATTATTGTTGTTATCATAAACTGCGCCATAATCGTCACCATTGTCATGACCATACAAATCAATATCATCATTGGCGTAACCATATGAACCCGATAATTACCTTGCAGAGCGATAATCGTATAATGAGAAACGGAGAATCACATTATTCCATTATTCGTTACTTTTTACAGCTTATGCAAAAAACTCTACTCGTTTTTTGCCAAATGTCTGGTGCATGAGTGAGGGCGAATGAATCCCACTTTAAAAAACCACTGAAGACACGGGATTCATCTCTATGTGCTTGAGATTGTCTTCCATCGGTCAACTGAAGTGCTGTTCAGATTCATCCCGAACAAACGCTTGACATGAACTGGGTGCTGTATCTGAGAGAAAATCACGACTGGGAATCAAGATACCAGGAATGTGTACGTGGAGGGGGCAGAACTTTCAACGACGGTACCAACTAGATCGAGTAGATCAAACAAGTGTGTGACGACGAGAACATCGACCTTCGCCACACTTGGGACTGAATATCCCAATTTCTCCTAATAGTGGGTGGTTAGATTATCCAAGGCTCACACTGAAAGCCTAACAAACAGAGTTTCGAATTGACTGCGTCACTCAAGCAAGGAGACCATCCACCCCCGAATCACTTCATTTATCAGTGCAAAACACAATGAACACGAGATGCTGATTCATGGACCTGGTCATTGCATTTAGTGTGCTGGTCCGACTGATGTGGAAAACCAAGCCTTGAGGTTTAAACACGGCTGACAGGATTCATCACTCATCCTATCGATTCACACCACCAAGTGGCTGTCCTGCCACTCGAGATTCCGTTGTCTCAAGCCTTGGGCTTGGTACCGCATTATTGCTGATTGCCACCGTTATTTGCCTGTTCACGAAAGATGAGTTAGCACGCATCTTCACACACTAGAAGGTAATGATCGATGATATATGTGGTGTATCATGCCATGGTATTCCAGACAGACCACCTTAGCTCGACTTCCAGCCCCAACCCGTTTTACCGAATTCTACATACCAAGGAAGGCAAGCATAAGACAAGCCCAAAACATGGACCAATCTCCGCAATCCAATGGGATTTATTCTTTGGTCCAATGACTTACTACGATTTTTAATTCCGAGTGGCTATGACCAGCATTTCTGATGCGATTTTTTCATCGTACCTGATCGATACTGTTGGGTAGTCAGCTTGCAGACGTCATCGTATAATTCAAAATACCATACTCGGTGACTTAAAATATCCTTAATCCTACGTCACTTCAGGAAGTGGTCATTGGTGTCAAACATCCTTTGCCGTGTAAGTCGCCTTTACGCGGACTTTGGTCCAGTGTAAATCTCGAGTCATATTGTAAAACCAAACCGCTTTCAGTCACCAAATTTCCATTAGCAGTAGCCTCAAAAAGGGGTTGTTTGTTTCGAGTGGTAATTGCACTTCTCTTTCCCGATAGTCATCCAAAATATCACAACAAGCACCAATAATTGTGGGTAAGAAATTACTGGTTCGATCGATCTATGAGCTTTCAAAACGGGTAGAATGAAGTAAAATCAGTCTCAGTTTAGTTCTTTCAAATATTAACCTCGCACTTCTATGTCCTGGTTTTAGTTGTTCTGACTCAGCACTTGATCCGCAGATTAACCTCTGGTTCCAAACACCTTACGCTTAACCTCAGCATTAGTGATACGGTGTTCCCACCATATTCGAGAAACGCCACGAAGACATTGATGCTCAAACATGGACAGTGTTTGCATATCTTCTACCCGTAAGGACCATGTTCCTGAGCCGTATGAAATAACGAGTCTAACTGTCACAGTGCACACGGGAGCCTTCACAAACAACCAGATATCACGCCACCGCCACAGATGGTTAAGGTTGGCAAAGGCCAAACGCTACTTCTGTATACACGATGATACTTCATCCGACGTACAACCACTTGGTGAGATGTAACTACCAGGGTAACAAACCATGTCCACTTAAGACCTATCTACTCCTGCCAGAACAAAGTTTAGTGTTAGGTCATTCCATTCCTGAAGCACCATTTTACACTTTGAAGGCGCAAAATGTATTCGAAACATTGCTACACTGTTGTACAGGCCATCTAGAAGATGGGGCATCTTACTTGGATATTCACTCAGAAGACCAATATCGTCAATTTATTCCAAGTCAGTCAGTTTACTGCCTCAGCAAAGATCGATGTCACTGTTCTCACACGAGGATAAGACTAACTCAGGAACCGTTTCAATCACAAAGATGACAAGTAGGGTCGATGAAGCACGACCCACCGCTTGTCGTGGTGAGCTGGGGTAAAAGATCGCTGTAAGCTTGAACTCGGATTCGAATGCTTGCATACTAGGACTGGAACAGAAGAACAAATGTCTCTGGCACACCCTCCAATGAAAAACTGTGTCGTAGCACTGTGCCGTCGACTGAGTCGAATTGCGCTTTGAGAACAAGACATATATTGTGGGCCTACGGAAGGTGTTCCTGATGCGAAATGCATAACACGAAGGCATTACCTTCTAAGCTTAGTGTATTTGTTTCAGTGTAAGATACTTTGCTGAGCTGTGTAATATTCCGTTAGCGCGAATGTTGTGTTCGACTGGAACAGTCATGTGCCCTTACACACGTACGCTTGATCTGAATCCCGTGCAATCGTGAACACACACCTGCAGTCGCATACGCACGTACACAGCTGACGTGTGCAGAGCTCCGTCCCGGACGGCATGGTAGCATGCGTTGCACGACCTTGCACGACCTAATCCGATTGTACAGTCGTCTTACGCATTCGATTAAATACATTACTTACCCACGCACCTGCATACGTGTTTGCGTTCTCACTAGCTTGCATGTACTGGCTCTTACCGTACATTGCTACAGAATACACATTTAACCGTACAGGCGTGCCTTCCCTCTACCTACCGAATGTGGGACACAACAGCGATGAGGTCCAGTAATTTGCAAGTAGAAGTAGAGAGCAAACAGTCGCTGGAACTGAATTTCTTTCTGTCGATCTTCTGACCGATGAGAAATACTAGATGGGTTTCGTGATTGAAGTCAAGGAACTTAACAAATTCTCGCCAGGTTTAGTTTCTCTTATGCTTTCCGAGTCTGTGATTTCTTTACCACACGTGTGTAGTAGATTATGCATACTACTCACTGAATAAGTAAGTGGTTGATTGCTCAAAAACCAATTGTGGTCAGTCATGAACGGATAATGGACGTGATTACGTTTTACAGACTAAATGCAATAAGATGAAAAAAGGCATACAAACCACACAATGGCATCCCCCGATTGGATTACAACTGCCTTCCAATGGACTGGATGCCAAAGACGCAAATGAGCAACTCTGTTTTGCTTGGTTGGTTTTGTTGATACCTAAATCAGTGGTCCCAATCAACGACCCGGCTGTAAAGCGAATTGTGCAAAGTTGGATTCATGACGCCATTGATCGTCACTGATCCATCCCCGCTCGTTAGCTGTTGATCCATCTCATCGTTTATTCCCCCGCATTGTTTTGTGGTGTCAGTTTAACTCCATCAGAAGAAAGTACAGATCGACTTTTTTTGGGGTCCATCAATAAATGTTTTTGTTTTCCCAAATCCGTTTTTCATTTTTTTATGGCTGATAATCAAGCGAGCGATCAGAAACCCGGGCGCCAAACTGATCACTGTTCGATTTATAAGATTCCCCTGCATTCTGCGGTTATGTTCTGGTAATTCGGTTCTGAGGTTACCGTATGTTGTTTTACACGCCAACTTTCATGCCGTTTCTAACTGCCTTTCGCCTCCGATGGTGTTACGTCCACCTGTCCTGTTGCTCTATTGCTGTGCCGGTTGTGTGTGTGTGTGTGTGTGTGTGTGTGTGTGTGTGGTCTCCGCGACCCGAAACTTGTTTCTAACTTCCGAAGATATAAGTAGGCATTGCCATAAATTGGCAGTGCACTGAAAAAAACCCTGCAGCAAACGCGGCTCCGTAGAGGGTGCATCCCCACGGAATCCCACATTGTGTCCGGATCGCTTGTTCTGGTCTGAGCTAGATGGAAACACCTAAACGTTTTTTTTCTATTCTGATCCATATTTTGCATATTACTTTGTTTAAGTACTGTGTACTGCGCTGGGTATGTTTTTGCAGAGCTAGTCGACACACTTGTATCATAATGAAAGATTTGGGAGATATACAGAAGAAGAATGCATTTTGAATTTATTCCTACTTTTCCATTTGTAGTTAGATGACCGTGAGAAAATAGCTTTTCTACGCTCATTGGTCCGAACGCCTAACACTCAGTAGCCTATACGCGCGTAGGTCGTAGACTAGTGTCCCGTGCTCAAATTCGAGTTGAAACGGTGCACTAACAACCAACGTTTCCTGGTACATCAGCCAAGAGGCGAATCAACTAGAGCAAACGATGAAGAATAGGATCACACGTTCATATGGTATCTGAAACATAACATGACTAAAGCCTTCTCAACCGACTATAATCAATCCGAAGCAAACCGGAAAGTCAGTGGAGCTCAACCGAGTCACCAGAACCGGTATGGCTAACCGCTCATCGAAGCAATTCAAATAGGACCAAAGGAACAATAAGGTGAACAAAAGCAGGGAGTAGATGTGCTAGTGATTATTGAGTCATAGAGTTGGGGAAAAAAGGTCCACATCCAATTACGGTGCATCAGTGGCCGTAACACTCATTCCGGAATGATCTGGTTCTGAATGAGATACTTAATTTTGGTTTAACTCAATCTGTTTCTTCTTTCTTTCATTTTAACCGATTTCCAAGTACAGTTGCACTATCCAGCTTATTCCGCCAATTCTACAAATCCCCCCAAAGTCGGAATCTATCCTGGTCGTTCAGTGTGATGCAAGCCCTACGTTGAAGAAACTGAGTCAACCTGTTCACGAGAATCATAGTCTGCAACTGTTGTTCAACAAACGACCGGATTATGAGTTGGTCAGTTGTTCTATTTGATGATAAAATACTTTCTAGGCTTTACCGGTTATAGTTGATGTGATAAAAGCGGCGGTAGAGTTGGAACACGACGGTGAACTTTATTTTCCCCCAGCCCAAATTGGAGCACCAGTGAGGCGCAAATTTGCAATTCATAATATGACGTCATTCAAAACACGGTAGGTTTGGGGATGTGAAATCTTATACCTTACAAAAGACGACACATTTCCTCTCACATCAAAAAAAATTGTTCTCTTATTGAATTCATCTTCCGCGTCACGATTCGCAATGTTTTGCTCATTGGTTGCGAGACCTGGCTACTTCGCTTTGATCATGCTCAGTGGCTTTCCGTGTTTGAACACTGATGTCTCCCAACCATCGCTTATCTCTGGTGTGTACGTAGAGTAAGTAATGACGGGGTTCGTTGTCATGCCTTGGGTTGGGATAGCCGCTTTCTGACCGAAGTGATCGTTCCCGCCTGGATATTCTCGCCCAAGGGATGAGGATTGTCTTCGGTTAGAGACTTTTAGGGGCATGTCTGAGAATATAGTTCAATGGCGCCATGCCGTACATCCCGTTTGCTGAACTGGAATTCACCGTATACACATAAAATCGTTAAACACACAATTAAAACAACAAAAAATCATATAGTTCTCGGTGTAAACAAATAAAAGTTTTCTTTTACTAACGGCACATCCGTACTTCGTTGCAGTTTTTTTCCGTCGAAATTCGGATGAAAAAATATTTTCCGCGTTATGAGCTTTATGTTTACTGTTGATCTCTGATGATTTATTCCAGATTCGAGTGGGTTTTATTGTCACAACACGAGAAGGAACTCTCAGTGACCCCGAAGACTGGTTTACTCCGACCAAATGAAATTCAGGTAGGTGATTCCCTTTGAATGAATAAAATACTCGTAGTTTCAAATGAAATCTGTGACTGGAGACAACCTGTCATCAATAAGTCTGTTACACAGGTTCAGATAACTTGAATGTTGTAATTGCTTTGGGCTTATCGCTCCCAGTTGATCATGGGTATGTAAAACTGTATCACAATCTGGGACACGTGAACTGGGCCTGACAAACTGCATTTATTGCTCACTGAGCTTACAACCTCAGTTGGAACACAGTATACCTGCTACAAATGACTTCAAAGAAAGACGAAACATTTTTTAAATGCCTCCATGATAATTCAATAATGATTGGGGCGTTCACTCTGCATTCAGTTGGTTATTTTCCATTTCAGCGCTATACCGTGGGCTTTCCTGTTCTGGCTGCCCTTTCGTTTTGAGTTTCGATGTCAACTGACGTTGTCATTGTTTCGACCGGTTCGATAGCCCCGTGGTCATTGTTACTTCCGTCCTGAAATCCGCTCGGACGAACAATCGACTGATAGTCAGTCCGTCCATCAGAATGGTTGCAGCCACTGCTGCGACGAAAGCGTGGAGCTGACGCAACTCCCCCCCCCCTCAACAGGCTTTTGCATAAAAATTCAGCTCATCCGTACTAGAACTCGGCACGGTCGTTTGGGGTCACGGCAGGCTTCAGAGCTTTCTCGGGACCTCAACGACCACTGACAAGAGGATCATACATGTGTTTGAAAAAATAGTATCGGTGGGCTCATATGAAGCTACAAATTCGTGCCCTCCGAATTCGCAAACTTTCTGATAAAATCGGGTTAACAATGTGGCTAATCCTTTCCTAATGCCCACATATTTTGGTCGAAGAATAAAATGATGTCAAACCAGATCCGGAGCTAATCGGATACGAGAATACATTTAAAAGATACCAAAAAATATACGGTGAAAAAGAAAATAGTCACAGCATGCTATTTTTGACTAATATTTTCTTTCATTGTTCTAATTTTTGTTCTAATTTTTGTAATTGTTGTTGCTTCGTTGGCACCATGTTTGGTTTCAAGCCGGTGTAATATATATATATATATATATATATATATATATATATATATATATATATATATATATATATATATATAAATGCTTATCTTTGCATGCTAAGCTTTTCAAACAACAAGTGGCTCTACATCACTTTGTCTTTGACGTGACGTGGAACAGTTTCCGATCCACTAGTCATAATTTCTGCTTTTCCTCTTGTTTTATTCTCTCTGGAAACTAAGTATCACACGTGGACATTTTGTGCCACAGAAAATTGTCAACGCGTGTTTACCGCCTATCTACGATTTGCTCGTACAGAGCTGGATCGCACCTTTCCGGTTTGGCCGGAGCACACTGGTCGTGTCCGATTGCGAGTGATCGCCATTGCTGTTCCAGTCCGGTTGCAGATGGAGCCGAACTCGGCCAATTGTGATACAATTCGGATCGGTACCCATTCATCTGTGCAACTGAAGTTGCGTAACCCGTGTCTGGTAAGGCTGGCTATCATCATTGTTTTGGCTGCTTTAATGAAATCCACTGCTTCTTGATTTTACCATGTATTTAGCACTGTATCCTGCATCGAATTGTTTCAAATGACGTAGATCCAGTTTCTTGTAGCCGTTCGCCTTGATTCTCCCTATTCGTGAAGACTTGTGATTTCTCATAGCCGATACGCACTAACATTCGGGGCTTTGCCATTCTGATGCTCATGGGAAATATGAAATAATTTTTTTACGTTAGATTTTGAGTGACTTGTAAAATAGTCTGCGTATCCCTGAGATTGTCAATCGATTGTTTTTAATCTGGGAAATTCATCAAACTAGCTTCTGAGTGCATCGCTTCGTAACCTTCCCTTTTACCTCTTCAAACTGTTGTCATTGAATAGCCAAGAATAAGTGAGTAATAATGCTTCACCATACATGGTAAACCGGAAGTATGAAAGCCTTGACCAGTGGACCTGGCCGAGTAGGACGTGTTAGACTTCCAGGTCGAGGTCCACGTGATCCGCCTACTAAATGGTTGGAGGCAATAAGTGATATGGCTAGGTTTCGCGGTCATTGGTGTAGTTGTATTCGGACTCTTTCCTTGTCGTCTTGATTTGCCCTTGGTACTTCGACTTCTTGGATGTTTATCACTATGCTTGTATTCTTTTCGCCCTTTACTGGACGATACCGGAAGGTAGCAACCGAAATCAGAGCACAGAGGTGCGCGGTTAATGGTTGAATAAACTGAACTGAACTGATACATGGTAAATTACATGTAAATCAATTTATATCAAAGTGATGCTCACTGAATCCATATAATATAAAACATTTGAAAAATGCAGGCCTAAACGAATGGCCTTTAGAAGTTTGTTGGCTTATCGTGCCAAATCATTCCAACCATGAACCAATTATAGTTATATTATAGTTGTATTCAATTAAAATTCACTGACTACTCTTAATCATACCAAATAGATCAACGGTAGCTAATTAGAACAAAAATACCATGCAAATTCCAAAGGTAGAAAGATATAACCGTAAGAAATGTATTCCCTAGAGTAGCTTCGCGTCAGCTTCCCGGTTTTCGAGAAAAGCGGGACCAAAACGAATAAACTCACTAAAACAACGTTAAACTAGAAATCAAAGAAGGCAATGGGTGTAAAAATGAAACCATTTATTACCTGAATTTCCTTGTATCTTTGACTCCAAAAATGTGAGTTTGTGCCTTCTCGATGAGACAAAGGACAAAAATAGTGTTCACTGAGAAAAGTCTGTACACAAAGTACTGCAATCAAAAAAAGCACGGAGTATGTTAGCAGTGTCTTTCGGGGTGGAGGGGGGAGGAGAGTGGAAGAGGGGGGGGGGGGTAGCGAGTTTGCCGAGAGGCCGTGTTGACTGGGTAGGTTAAAGGCGCTGTGTGGCTGGCAGTGAATTGGCCTGCCCCGTGTGATCCAAGTAAACCGAGCATTCCCGGCGTGTGATGTCGGAGTACGTAACACAGTGCACAGTGTTCTTCCGCTGAAAGAGCAAAGTAATGGTAAGGTTGTAGGCCGCCATACTGGAGTTTGATTGATAGGTGTGAGAACTCACGGGGATGCTTGCTAAGATTTTGATTCGTGGAGTTTATTGTGTTTTTGTAGTTTTAAAGTGAACAAGCACAAACTCCCAAGGAAGATCACTTTTTATTCTTTTTCTAATTCTTTTATTTACTTTTTTTATAATATAACCATAGAATACTTCAGGAAGGGGTTTCGCAGTCAGTTTAAGGCTGCCAATTTGGTTGTGACCAGCGGCAACGTGATGATTCGAAACCCTGGGACAGGAGGGTTTGAAGTTCATATTGATTACCGTTTGACTACCGCCCCTATGTACCACATACTATTGGGTCGGGGTAGTGTTCAAAAGAAACGCGTTGCACATGCTCAATCTGCAAAAGCTTACTAATAAGATCTGAACCCAAGGAACGGATATCCAATACACAGAAGAAAAAATGTCAACAATGAAGATCGTAGTCGCGTTGTACAATATGCCAGAATAGATGATTTGAAGCTGATATCTCAACATCTGGGGAATAAACATAAAAACACAGTGAGACATTGCAAGAAGAGATCAACAAACAGGGCTTAAACGAGACCTCAGGAAAAGAAAATTTCGCTAAGCTATGCAACATTGTGGACGAGAATACAGCCAGATTTTCGACAGATTCTTGGAAGCATGTTCCTCGTTGGTGAACACTGGCCAGCCTAATACTGTGGTAGCGTTTATTTTTGACAACACTTCTATACACCGACGGGCACCTGAAGCTTGTTTGGCTATTAGATATGCTTTCCGTTTTTCCCCTCCATATAGTCCATTTTTCAACATCATTGATGACGCATTTAGGCTTTGAAAGTTCGGGGAAATTTTTCTTGGAAGCGAACAGAGAAAAGTTCATGAGAGTACCAGAAGGGCAGTCTGCCATGAAGCACAGGTTTCTTTTATTACGAGAAATTTGTCTTACATCCATTCACGGTATCAAAACAACTGCATGTGCTTCCCACGATAGGCACAATTTAACAGATATAAAGTTGAGTTTTTCTTTGAAAAATAAATGGCCTAACTGGTATTTTTACGTGGAATTCATTTATTTGTGTGAGATGGCTTTCAGACTATGTCGCGTGGCTCGTAAACTGTGACACAAGACTATTGAACAAGGAAAAACACTGGAGATCAATTCTCACTCGTTCGGGGGTTTCCGTAGTGGTGCACCATTTTTACTAGTACACAAACTGCTGAGGATGCGGTCACACATCAGTCTGTCCTGTCGACAGCTGTTTTTCGGATTGACCCAGCTGACTCGGTCGTCGCCTCTTTCAGTTTCATCAGCAGAAATGATTACACAAGGATTGCCAACAAGTCCAAATCATAACTTCATTCTTGAAACTCACTTTCATTATGACGAAAGATACCGAGTTGTACAATATTCCGATGGTTTTCCTCGTCCAACTAGCTTGTGATAATAATAATCACAGTTTATACTGTGCTGCTTTTTGTACACCTTGAGTTGCATCACTTTGAAGGGGATCGAGCTGGGTGAAACAGTGAAAACAAAGAAGCAAAATGAGATATCCATAATTGTCGGAACCAGCAAAACATCAAGCTGTTGTCGGTGATGGCAGTGTTGACCTTAGCAGTCAAACATGTAAAATGGCAAACCAGAATCACCCCTAGAATCAGTTCACAAATCGCATCTCACACTGGCTTCAGAAATCGATGATGGCGTGCGGTGAGCTATTTACAGGCAAACCAGATAGCCTAATGGTTGCTGTGTATCATTCCAAGTTATGCGCGCCGGGTTTGAATCCTAAATGGTACTCGATGAACCGGGAAAGCAACTGATAGTTCCTAACGAATCGAATGAAATTTCTTCCGTAAATTTCAGCGTTGAATTTAATGCTGATTCAAATCTCCCACTGAAAGTGGCGAAGTAACCAGGCTCTGTAGAGAGCCTTCATTTTAGTTAGCCTCGTTCCGAGAAGAGGTCCGTCATAAGACTCGATCGTTGTATGTGGCCGACAAATGGGAGAAGTACAAATATGATAACGAATGGACACTTCTTGGAAGTGGAATATGCCACGTGGAAGTCAATAGATTACGTAGCAACCAGGAATGAGAAAATGTACAAAGAAATTGGGAAAAGTATGTGCCTCACGTCTTCGTGGTTGGGGTCCAAAAAAACCCTCAACCAGTTGGCTGGGGACACTGAAAGATATGACGGCAAACCGTGAACAGTGGTGATCGTCTTATCACTTCTCGTCCAATCAGAATAGTTGATCAACGTGAGCTTGTACAGTAAGACTGCGTATTCCGTGTGTTGGTTACTATGGCGTTCTTTCCTTTACCCACCCCTGTAGGTTCACTCCCCGTCCACCAACATGGTGAGGAAAACAGTGGTCAACGCAGTACGATGATGATGATGAGTTGGTGTTGACGTGGATCAAGCCTTTCCGAACCAGTTTGGTTCATTAGCCTAGTGGTTAACGTATACGTTCTATCCGGTCTAACCAAGCACATAGTCCCAGACACGAACGCACGCATGCACTACGGGACGACTGTTCGATCATTGACAACAATTTTTGCGACACAAATTTGAACACAAAAGTCGGTAACATTAGATTTCACCGCACCATTTCCTTACATCTTCACCAGTGCATAATGCAGTCACAGTGATCATTTATAAATAGAATACTGAACGTTCTCATGAGACCAAAGGCAAAAGCGAGCACGCACACACTAACAACTAACCATCACCACCTCCATCTGTGTAAACAGCAAGAATGGGTAATTACGTTAGCCTTGCCTTGATAGCGTGTTCTTATTTGCTATCATTCGTCAAGTGAGTGTCCAGTCATTCTCAAGTGCACTCAATCACAGAAATAGACAGTGCTAATGTTAGCCATGCTTTGATTGTATGAACTAATCAGATCCGTACATATATCTCACATTGCTTCCGAGTGGTGTGGCCCATCCTGCTTCGAGTTCACGGGACAGTTACAGTATCTCTCTTCGAAGCTGTCGGGCATGGCTGGCTGTCATCCAGCACGAAATCTGAACAATCTTAACTCGGTGATTCGGCCCAACCCGAGCGGAGCTGAGTGGAGTAGTGGCAGTTCACCTGGCTCCGAGGTGAAAAGGCCAGGGTTCGAACCCTGGGTGCGACGGAGGATGTGCAGCACTGATGAGCTCTAACAAGCGCGAAACGCGAGTCTGGTGATTCCAATTGTAGGATTTGTCGGAAGACCTTAGGTTTGTGCGTGAAAGCTAGAGTCCAAAGGACAGTCAGCCAAGCAAAGTGATCAGATCTCGTTACTTATCTGTTGTGTGGTCCTATTATTGGTCAATAAAGTGCCGGCAAACTTATTCATCGGACATTCTATATCAGGTACTATCAAGCACGCATGCACGCACGTACACTCTTCACTGTGACTTCACCCACGCCACAAACGGCTTGTTCTAATCAATCGGACATTGACCCTGAGCCATACATGCTTGTTGACTGGTTGCCGCTGAGCGACCCTGCTTGATCGCAGTCGATCGTATGTACTGCTTGCGCTTGGCAATAGATTATTTCCTTGCTGGCTTGCTTGCTCACTTGCTTGGTTACCACGACACTGCGGTAGCGAGTTGAGGTCGTTGGTGCAAGTAATATGTTTGGGTAGACTTGCTAAGTTTCTCGGAAGCACATGACCGGTTTCGCGGTTATTGCCGCTTATCAGGTATGCGAATCCGATCGTGTGCTACCGAAGACCTTGGTCCATTGATCTACAGATGCTACTTATATCAAATCAGCTGAAAGATTATTTTCCCAGTATTGCACGTGATTAGTTCATTGTAGGTCATACCATGATCATTTTTTCATTTACCTAGAAATTTTTTTATCCCGGTTCACTACTTTGCTTTCTTAAATGTGTCATGTTCACCTGACCGAATGATTGCTTTTGCTTTCTTCCTACTGGTCAACAGGCTTCCACGTATTTCACACTGACAACTCAAGTGACCTTATACGAGGATAGCATCACAGATACACCATCGTGTCCAAGCGCGGGAATCTCACATGAAATCCCCTCCGCTTGTGATGATTTGGTCGGCATTTTGCCCAGCTCAGGTCTGCTAGCCGGACAGTCCAGTTTACCCGTGCTGGTTACTGTGACACCACCGTTAGCCGGATCCTATCGGATTCAATTGTTCTATCAACTTTGGTCGGACGAAACAAGTACGCAGACTGTGACCGTCACACAAACTTCGGACTCGGCAATGACCTCCGTAAATTGTATGTTTTTCATGGTCCTACTTAGTCACGGGATGATCGAGTTTTTTTTTTTCTAATGAACTTGCAAAGGGACAGTTTTGTGACCAGAATAATTTGTGGAGCATTTTTTTTTGAACCGAATTTTATGAATAGATGTGCTCGCGGAATGGTAAAAAACTCTAAACAGTTTCCCATTGGTGCACGGGTTGTGTTTTCACCTAGCCATAGTGATGCAAAACACAGAACGCATGAAAACCGCTTATTAACGCACGCTCGTCCAAGAGCGGAAAACCGAGGAAGCGCAAGCTGTACATGTAATCAGCACGGATCAAATAAGACCATCCGGTGCGTAGCAAAATGCAATTGGACAAATGGTATGGTTAGATACAAGGTGCGTGTGTGACTTATCGTGGCAACGAATAGGTACCAATCAACAGGTAGCCAGTAAAGGTGCGCTCGTGTGAGACTGCGCGCGTGACTACTTGAGTCGACACAATACACCTGGAGACTCCAATATCTGCGGCATATCAGTCAGTTCTCTCAACCGTCAATTAACCTCGCATTTGTTTGCTCTGGTTTGGATTGCTAACTCGCAGCACTATCTGGCCGGGAGCAAAGCGATAAGGAGCAAACGAACAGAAACGAAAGTGTAAATGAACTACTAAAAGTGTGGTCACGTCAGGATCATCCTGAAAATCAGTGCAATTATCATTCGAATTATCATGGTCATCTGCATCAGGGACGAAGTTCTTGTCACTTTCTATTGGACGAGGTATATATTTCGATTTGATCTGTTTGTTTAAACCACCACTGGTCGATAATATACGTATGGAGCATAAATGTAATCTACATTCCTAAAGACTCCAAATCTATGGAATTTTTCTGATATTCAAAACCGACTGGGCTATAAGATTCACGCTTTCCAAACGGGGTGTTTTTAAATTATCGGAAATTATTTTCCATTTATTGTGTTTCCGTGGCAAAATCAATCATTTATATTGCTTGTTTTACCAACCTTCCTCGGTCTGCCGCATTTTCGGTGATGTTTAGCCTCTTGTTCACTGACGGGGCCTATACCAATTGCAATGCTTATCTGGAACGCGGTCTATCCAACACTCCGAATTACCGATATTGCCGGATCGGGTCTTTTGGAAGCGTATGGTGCGGTCGAATTGTGGCGAGATCTCGGTCTTGACGGGTACGCAAACCGCAATACTAGCGCGCGCACGTGTATGTTTTCCTTCATCCAATGTTTACCACAGAGATGCATACGTCTCTTATCACGGGGGAGAAAATCTCGAATGACCACACAAATTTGAAGATCACGTTCGGTAGATTTCGGGAACTCGACTAGTCCAATAGTTCCAAATTTTTCTTATTCAGAAAATTAGCACAAATAACAATTTTCTGGCTACGTTACCAACTACCTAGTGAGTCCGATCCAAATGTAGATGACCAGTAACAGCACATCACAATAATTCATCCATGTCTTGCATTTGTAAAACCACTACAGGACTCTTTTCATTTTCCAACCCAAAATCTCCACATCATCTTACGGACTTCACAGATATTACTTGCCAACGGGCATGAACACCGTGGACAAGTAACTTAGATGAATAAGTTACTATGACTAGTCTTTCTCAACACACTTCCTTGTTCTGTACGCCACAGTCTTCAGTAGAAACATTTAATTTAAGACGACATGAGAAATTCACCTCGATGTACTCCAGTCAACCAGTAACTAGGTGCTTCAGCTTTGTAAAAATGCCCCAGTGATTGGGGGCAATGGAACAGGTTGTTCACTTTGTTTACCCAGGAACTATGACACCCGGGAACTGCCGAATCCGCCCATATGTTTCAAACTTGACATGCAAGGGAATTCTTGAAGATTTTACTTATTTGTACAGTTCCACTGATGGCAGTGTTCAGCTGAACGATCTGTAAAAGTGTGTTTGATCTTCCGCTCCAGCGAAAGACCACGGACATCATTATTGCATTCACTGCTGCCAGTCTGGTTTCGCACCGCAATAGATTGATTGCGAACAATGAACAAATTTTTGTTGAACTGATCGAAATGGGCAAATTCGATGATCCCAGCCGGATTTGAACCCAAGTACGAACGCCACTCACACTTTAGTGCCGCGTGTATCGAACGCTCCACGAGGCCATGCCACACAGCTTGGGACACTTCACACATGAACTATGCTGTTCATCCGCATTAGCATACGGTGCCATCCACCAAAGAGGACTGAGACGTTGGTAACAGATTACCCCATTATATAAGTCAAAAGGCGCTGGTTCACTTTCCGAAATGTCTAGGACAGCTGATCATCATCCTATGATGGATCGTGCGGCTCCGGTTGTGGACCGCTAAGAAAATCACTTGCTTTGGCCTGCGCAACCTGGCAGTTGTGAGGGTATGGTCTGACACATCGTTCGACAAACGGTTTAGTTTCAGTGGCAGGCAATGCGTCAGCACCGGTCCTGTACCGAGCCCACGAAATTGCAAGCGACAGGACAGCCGATCGATGGAGTGGATCGATAGATGAGATACGAATCCTGCCAACTGCATTAAAGCCTCAAGGCGTGACCGTCTACACTAGTCAGACCAGTGTGCTGGGTACAGCGAGTGGGTACATGGACTGACAACCCATATATTCTGTTTTTTAAGAATGAAACGAAACAGTTCAGACAGAACCGAGCCCCCACCGGAGTTAATGGGATGGTACAAAGCAGCGGTATCGCAGCCGCAGACGAATCATGGGATTGGACTCCATCTAACCCTTGATTCCTGGTTGTATCATGTTTCGTTTGGCGCACAGCCTGAAATCAATCGGGTGATTATATATATATATATATATATATATATATATATATATATATATATATATATTCACTAGAATCTAATTTGAATCGTCTGGAGTGTGAATGGATACTCTTCATTGAAGAGCCCACAAATGAATCACAACTGTGATTTCTTATAGTTATTCGTGTCTGGGTCACTGTTAACCCAACGAACAACGAGGCTGCATGTGCAAGCGCTCATATTGATAGTAAGTAGTATGTAAACGTGCGCTTCCGGGGAAATTTTGTCCACACGTGTACATACTACTTACTATATATATATATATATATATATATATATATATATATATATATATATATATATACATATATATATATATATATATATATATATATATATATATATATATATATATGCATACATTTATAATCAAGAACCAAAAAGCTCATTAGAAGGAATTTCATCACTACTTTTGGATAGTGATTCAAGGTTAATCAGACAAACTGAAAGTGAACTTTCCCAGCTCATGATCACCGAGGAATTCACCTCGGTTGTAGATGAGACCAAGTAAAATCATCGCACGTGTTCATAAGTTTGGATAATCATTCTTGTTCGCTTTCTGCTGCCTTATGTTAAGAAGAGTTTTTCACCTTGTTATCGCCATTTTTCAAAAGCAACCGGTAAAATGAAAACAATTTGGGATACCTATGAATGTTTTTCTCTTCTTCCTACATACTCAAGTGTGAATGTCAGTTTAGCTTGTGAGCCTACATGGAATGAATTAAAAGACGCGATCGGTTCACGATCAACATATCGAGACCATCCCAAGGCTAAACAGCCTCGCGGACCTGTGCATGATATGTTTCTGGCCGCCGGTACCGCACCGGAAGGGACGGATCCATGTGAGTCTACGGTGCGTCTGCTGGTACAGAACACCTCAAAAGTGGATGCGCGTTTTGCGTTTCTTTTCCCCGAGAATTTATACGACAAACTACCCAATTGGGCAGAAAGTGGAATGTACTCAGACGAGGAGTTGCATCATGTGAGTTTGAGAGTTTGTATGCTTCACATGTCCATTCGTCTGACTACTGTGGTCTTGTCACTCCCTGCTTTTTTGACGATAATTTGTCTGCACTCTGAACTGGCCCGCTGAGGCAAGAAACAACGATTCCTTCACGAACAATTTCGTTTCAATAGCGTAAAGCACTGATTATATAGAACGCTGATCCATGTACTCAGTCGTTGGACAAAAAGTAGTGGTCCGACTGGTACAGGCGACCAAGCCTTCCAATGGGCTGGTGTTGAGGCTAAAAGATGCATGACAGGATTCACTCCTTACTCCTTACTCGGTCGATTATCTTGTCACTTGTGATCTCGTTGTCCCGGTCCTTGGGCTTGGTACAACAAAGATGCTCACGTGGGGACTCTCAACGAGGATTGGCTGTCAACCAACGGTGAGTCAGCCAATAGCCTTACAGTTGGCTTTAAACTTTTCTGGCAGTCTTTTGTCAGCTGGGTCGTACAGCATTTGTTTGAGGTGAAGCGGTCTAAATTACCACACCAGGCGTAGTGACGATCTTCGAGATCCGTAGTCAGTGATTTATCACCTTGTTGAGATGATAAGCTGTGTTACATGGGTCAATGTTGCTTCCAAGTACCGGTCTTGCCAGATAGAGTAAAACACCAAGATGGACACCAATCCGGCCGGTTAGTTGACAATATAAACGGCGGCAACTGCTCGTATACGTATCACGCAAGTGAGGATACGGAACGACAGAACGCCAGGAGTCAATTCAGGCACGGTCAGGGGCGTTATACGACATAAAACTAATATTTTGTTGCAGAATGCACGCACACGATTGTTGGTAGACCATACGGGGGTCAATTCGTTACCGTCCTTTTCTTGTTCTTCTTCGTGTTTGATCATCGGACTGTCCAGGTGATTTTGATCCGCAGAGCGAAAGGAAGAACACTTACTGATATCGCCCAAGAGATTTACGATCAAAGAGATTTCAGTCCTACCTTCAGCGATACCTCCATTCATATTATCCATTGGTATTGTGAATCCTGAGTGAAGCACATTAGCGGACATCTGACTGACATGTCACACTGAATTATTCAGTAACTTTAAAATCAATCGTTCCATGGTGGGCTCTGTTAAGAGCATTCGTAATCGTGGGAGTTCCTATAGCCATGCTTGCAACTGAAACTCAGAGACTCATTGCCTCATACTTCAACTTCTTGTCGTATATATTTGTATTCTAACTTCTGTGGAGTGGATCGAGTTTAAGAAAATTGTTCAATATGCTTAGTCAGCAAGGTCAAAGAGACGCTGGTCATCGCGATACTGGGCTACTGGCTACCGACACAGACCATAGTAGCGCTAGATAGATCGCTGAATGTCTTCTACCGAATTTCACAAAATCGCCTAATGGAAGTTTGATGGTGAATACTGCCTAAGGTCACGCGACTCAGATGGCATCACACAGACCCATCATATGTTCACAACACAGTTCGCCAAATAAGTGCAGCTTCTCCTTACGGAACAGCAACCAGACTGTGGGTAAAACGACCGAAACTAGTAAATGTGATGCGTGATGAGTCCACATAAGGCCGTCAAAACAGTGCTGACATTCTGTTTCACGACTCCACATTAATATTGTGTTGGTCATATTTGTGAAAATCATTTAATCCTTGCACATGTGTTGTATCGGCCAGATGAAAAGTTTGGAAAAGACAGATCCGTACTTGGCACTTCATGTGTCCTCAAAACCAGGCTGAACTTCATGAGAATCATTAGTTCGGCTGTTGCAGGTTGTCATTTTGTCATATCCGGTTGAGTGATACGTTCACACGATCAGAGGCATGTTGCAACGTAGCAGAGTTGTGTTGGGGTATGATGACACCATCAAAGGGAATTGTTTGCGCCCAGAATATGCTAGCATCATCACATTCGTGGTCAAGTGATTATAGTACGGTTTCATTGAAGTTGGATTCATATGTTTGAGGAGCATACTCCCATCGATATTTTACAACCCCATCTAAACTGACCTGGCCATCTCGTGAAGCAGCTCACCGGAGTGTGGCCTGTCGAAGCAGTTTATTGGAGCCATGCCAGTCGGGGATAAGAATGTGGAGGAATGATTCAGCGAAGTATGATGATGTTATTCTATCTTACATCGCATCTTTCAGAACATTTTGTAGTTCCAATCACTTTGAAGGAGGATAGGAGGAGTGAAAATAATTTGATAACTTATTCTGATGATTATTGTCCTACAGTGCAGAGAATACGGGCCATTTGAGTAACTCTCCTCAACCCCAGAAAATGGTTCTTACACTAGGATAATGGGGACTGAGACTTTGATCGAATTGGAAGGTCTTGAATAATAGGACTTTGGTGAGTAATCCATTGTGGACTGAATAAATTTGAGGACCAGGCCACTGTAAAAAAGATTAGGTTAATTCTTGAGCATTCCAGCACCGGATCACCAACAGATGATAATGGTGTTATCAGCTTCCACTGTGGCCTAATGGTGCGCACAGAAGACGTGTTTGGTTCATGCCACCAACCCCAGTGATCTGCGGGGTTAACATGAGATCCGTTTATTCATCAAGGTTCATGTTTAGGCTATTGTTCATTGCTCCGAACCTAGTCAACTGTGAGTATAGGACACATGAGAATGGTCGAATTATGAAATCCGACCTCCTTGAAGTATCGATCAGGTATGATGGAAACATGGTATCAGAAATGCTAGTCATAACCACTCGGTATTAAAAATCGTGGTAAGTCATTGGACCAAAGAATAAGTCCCATTGGATTGCGGAGGTTGGTCCATGTTTTGGGCTTGTCTTGTGCTTACCTTTCCCGGTGTGTAGAATTAAATAAAGGGATGAGGCTGCACGTTGAGTAAACGCGGTCTGTCCGTAATAACATGGCATGGTATGTAGCAGGTATCATGGTTCCTGACCGTACACTGTTTAAGGGTATGTGTTAACTCATCGTTCGTAGACAGTCGAATCACGTTAGCAGTCATTACTGGTGCGGTACCAAGCCCAAGGCTTGAGACAACGGAACCTCGAGTGTCGGGACAGCCACTTGGTGGTGTGGATCGATAGAATGAGTGATGAATCCTGTCAGCCGTGCTTAAATCTCGAGGTTTGGTTTCCCATTGCAGTCGGACCAGCACACTGCATGCATCGACTGGATACATGGACCAGCATCCTAAATAGTCATTGTGGTTTGCCCTTGTAACTGAGATGATTGCTAGAGAGACGTTTTCTCACTAGAGCTATCGGAGTGGTTTAAAACAGGGGTTCTCTAACTTACCTCAAATGAAAATGAACTTTCACTTCATCTACCTCATACGTCCTCGTCGAGGAATCTTACTGATTGGTGGGTCAGAGAAACATTTTCGCCAATAAAATTGCGTGAGTAACCAAAGCCAAGTACGGTCAGCGAGTCAGACTTCCGAGTATGGGGACATAGCTCTGGTCAACCACAGCAAAGTTTACGAGTGGTGAATGTCCATCATTGGGACTGATGACTCGCAGCATCGCCTCACCCTTTGGATGAACCTTATCACCGTTTCACCCAAGGCTTCTCTTCTGTGATGCTGTCGATACAGTACTAGACGGAGCGTCCATAGGCACGATGTTCGCCGATGCTCCCGTGTCCAGTCGGAAATTCACTTCTTCACCGTTCAACATCATTTCGTCTAAAATTCGCTTTCGTTTTTCCGGCATCTACACTCCATTCAATCCATCTGCGTTGTGAATGTTTCGTTCTCTGTCCACTGTTTCCTCAGGAAAACGTTTTGACGCGAAATGGTTACGCTTCTTGCAGCTATCAAAAGTTTTCTCTTAGGCCGAACAGTTATCTCTTCCCGCGAATTGTAGTCTGTCACAAAACCCACACTCCGCCTTTGGCACCGTGCGTGTCTCTGATATTATTTTTTTACAGACCACGCGATTCTGACGTACTCGGCATCTTTATGCGTGTCGGGACTGCTTTCTCACCCCGGCAGACGTCGACGCACTGTTCTGGTGATAATTTCGAAATCTTTAGCAACCTTTCAGTCGCCGTGGGGTAGCATAATCAAATCACTACCCGGTATTACAAGAGGCTGTCTTCTAGGAAGGTGCGAAAATTGCATGATCGTGCCAGTGTTCTCGACAACACAACAAAAGAGTCAAAGGATTCAACCGGCTTCTGTGTCCGTTGGTTAAGAACAGAACGCTCGTTTGTTTCGTTGCACACATCAAGACAATATCATTCGGGTTCAGGTGCAACCAACGTCCGGTAGCCCCTGTCCTCATCGGAATCATGTGAAAAGTCATTGATGATTTAAAGTGCTACTCTTATTATCTGGACACAGCGATGGAACAAAAACTCAGGTCTGGATAGACAAGTGGATAACAGTTCGTTGCTCAAAATGTCTGATATCTAAACTTACTCTTCTAAATTATCTACGCAGAAGTAGGAATCAGCTCGTTTGCACGGAAAGATGCTGGAGAGTTTTGGTCAGTTATTCGTCCACCAGAGCCCAAATCAAAATCAGTCTATGATTTTAGCTATTTTTTACTTGAATACCACAGTTACCTTCGGTTGTACTTGTCCATTTTTGCCATTGTAACCGTGCGGGACGGTTAGCCTGCAGCTACCGACTAGAACCAACGCGGGTATTCTTAGATAGACCACGTATGCAGCCATTCGTTCGAGGAAAGTGATTTTGTATAATGATCAAATAGTCATCGCGACGGACTGCAGACCTTGCGCTCCGGAGTTTGAAGCTTTCAGTTTCCAATCCTATTCCCGTTCGGCATTTACTAGTTACCCATGGCCCCCTTTCAGAAATACCATGCATTTATTGCATAGCAAATCCAGGAACTTATAATATTGAATTCGCGTATTGGTTTCCATTTTTCCTTATATGGGACACAGATGTATGTACAGAACAATCTTTTGTTCAAAATTCAACCCCGGCGGGTCAAATTGAAATCTGGTGAGCATGTGGAGATTCAGATCACATACAATCATCGTATGACCGGAGCAAATCATCTTCCAGTTCTGTGGAAAATTGACGGTGGACGGGAGATTCAGGTTGGTTTGTGATTGGTTTGCTACATCAGTTCATGTCTGATGACCTCGTTCCTAATCGATTATTATACATTTGTACTCACTGGAATTAGTCATAGCCAGAATATGAACTTCCGCTTGCAATGCGATCATTCTTCATGTTGGCCTTGCGTTCACGAGACGATAAGGATGAGTAGGTGCTTGCCTTTCTGGCCTGGATCCCACATAATCCGTCATCAGTATATTGGTGACCAAATCGTGAACAACGATAGTTTTCCGACATGAGTAGTATGATATTGGATCTGGATGACTGGACAAAATATCCCCGGAATCACAAGATCGGTTTTGCGGTTGTTGCCACTTATCAGGTATGCGTACCCGATACTCTCCTGCCTAATCATCCCTATACTTGAGCAATCCACCAATTTGGAAGACTCGCCGCGAGATTTTAAAAATGGACTCTCCGTCCACCCACGCTCCGTACGATTCAATGGAGATTACGGTTGTAAATCAACTGTAGAGTGTTCAAGTATGGGGATGTTTGAGCAGAACAGTACCGGGTACGCATACCTGATGAGCGGCAACAACCGCGAGACCGGTCGCGTGCTTTCGGGGAAATCTTGCCTTGTCATCTAGATACAATAACATACTACTTGCATCAAAAATCGAAACTTGGGATCATTTGTTCTCGTTCTGAAGGTTAGCCGTGTTAACCGAAGAAATTACTTTGAAGGAATCACCTCGTGATTGCAAATATGGACTCTCCTTCCATGCAAGCTCCATACGATTAAAATGAGATTATTGCAATAGTCTTGTTTTCAATTTTCTTCCCGTTGTACTGTTCGTAGACTAGTATATGGGAGCATGGTCTGATTGTCTTTTGTCGTTTTTTGACCAAAGTGGCATTAGCCATCTTCTCACTTCTGAGTCCATACCCTGTCCATGCGATACCATCATTCTTCATTTATATCATTGATATGAAGGTAGCTTTTATTGAGTTACGCTTGACTCTCACTCACTCTCTCTCTCTCTCTCTCTCTCTCTCTCTCTCTCTCTCGCTTCGGTGAAAACGGTGAAGGGATTTGAAAATAGTTGCAGTCCTACAAAAATTACTTGCCTAATTGTGTTCTGTGTACCTTACTGCAATATGTCGTCGGGTGTAGGTGCCACTAGACTGATGGGTTCTCAGATATACATGAAGGCTTATGTCACTGAATGAGCAAAAATCAAATCCCGTTGATAACTTACGCTATCCCTATTTACAGAAAGTTTTTTGGTATATGAATTATCACTAATTTGATGATAGCATTTTTATTGTTCAATGACACAACGTAGTCGAAATCGTTGGTAGTTTGTCGACGTTTCGGTCACCCCGGATAACCTTTTTCAAGACTGGTTTTACAAGCTAATGAAACTGGGACTAATTTTCCAAAGAGACTCTCCTTGTAGTGTAAACCGGGCAGTTTCATCACTAAGCTAATCCTGTAAATCTAGTTGTGATCCTGCATTATTGATTTGCTGAACTTTCCCATCCATTTGCTTCATTTTGTTTTCTCCGCCCAATCTTACCAGTCATTCCTTCTGTCTTTCTCCACTGTAGCTAAACTTACTCGGCATCACCTTACCATTGCATCAACCCTATTTGCACTTTGCTCAAAGACGATACACTTTTCCGGCTGTCCCACTGTCTACTGGGGACAGCCGTCTGGGCTATCTGTTTCGCATGCAGCTGCGAAATCCAAGCGCTCGTGCTGTTCAGTATCAGGTCTGGCCGCTACAATGGCCACCGGATTCCACACATCCGAATCGACTGCTTCGACAGAACGCGGATGAACCCACGGCTGTCGGAGGTTGTGAATACGATATGCCCGTACTATATTGTTCTAACCAGATCGGTGTGGTGGATGCATATGGATTCGGTCATTTGGAATGGCGTTTCCGTCCGTTCGAGGCTAAATCTTATTTGGTACGGCATCCCTGTTGACTGGATATGACTTCCAACTGAGTTTTATCATATTTTATCACCCGAGTGTTTGAATAAGACTTTAGTAGTCCTTAAGTGGGAAGATATTGTGAAAAATTGCGAGCAGTACGATGCACTTAATTGTTATCTGTCTGCCGAGGGGGATTCATATTTTTCCCGCTCCGATGAAAGAAGATCGAACAGCGAACACTGGTCAACAAATAATTTCCAGTACGGCATTTCGGCTACTTATGCAGTTGATATGAAACTGAGTTTGGTGCAGTAAACCAGATAGTTTCTTTAAACAGAACTCGGAATTCGTGCCGGGAAAGCGAGGAATAATGTGTTCGAATATGGGAAGGGACATTCACTCACCAAAAAACTATCCAATAATAATAAAACAATCGTTAATAAGGATTAGATCAGTTTTTCTAAACAGATTCAAAGTGAGAAGGTGGTATTCAAAACTACTCAACTGTGATGGGTAAATTTCCTTGGATTGAAGCTTTGAACGACTCAACGAGGAGTTATCACTGTTGCAGCTACTTCCGTTTTTGTTGTTGTTGTTGTCGTCATGATTGCATCTGCAGTTAGTTTTATTGTTAATTACACTGGATGTACTCCGTTTTACCACGTCAATGGCGTTTCCTGGTCGGTTTGCAGGAGAACTTTGTTTGGCACATTCTAAATCGAACGACCTGATTGGTGCAAAAGGTTTCATAAACCACTGAGGAATGGGCAACACTTGAGATTTCCTTGTTACATGCTGTAACAATAAACTGGTTGTTTTCCCTGGATTAGCAACCGTTGACACTATTTCTCACCACAGTTACCACTGTCGTAGAGTTTAATCTCGGTACTTGAACCTGTATCAGATACAAAGAAAATCTCATTTGCACAATGTTGGACACCACTGAAATCAAACTCGATTGCCTACAACTCTCCTGCTATCAGGGAAACGTTTCGTGTGAACGATTGGTTCAACATCTTTCGTCGCTTGGCTAGGCTGACCTGTTATGGACTGCATGGAGATATCCGGTTCGATTCTGTAAAAGGGCAGGTCGTCTGTAGTATGCTTCTTTCTGACTACCAGGGAACGAAGAAATAACTGTGCAGTGTCACCGATGGGCTTTTGTAGCGAGTGATGTGTTGAGACTACCGAAAGCATCGTTTCGCTGTTGTACATTGTTCAGTATTCAAGATTTGCCCTCGAATAGGACAGTCATACAATAAAGCCAGCCGCTGTCAGTGCGAAGTGAAAATTCCACTTTGACATTTAGGCTGAAAACAAGAAATATTTACTGGTAAATAGGTCAAAATCACATTTCTTGGTGCAGCGCAATCAACCCTTGGTAGGAATTACTGTTTGGATGTTTTATTTGACTTGGTAGAAATTGTCAACTGCAGTGCACAGCCAAATCGAGGACGTGGAAGTCGATCACCGTTTTTGGGGGCTAATGGGTGTCACACAAAGTTAGTCAGACGGACGCAGCGTTGAATTCAAACAAACGGCTGGGATTCATCTCAACTGAACAGCCTGAAGAATAATCTGAGTGACTCGCAGTCCTTTATTGTGGATTAGGATCGAAGATAGGACTCAACAGCTACAAACCGTTGGTGATTTCTCAGTCGCCTCATGAGACAGGTGTGTATGGTGTGCCTTCATCGTCTCGGATAATGGGGCAACCGTTGATGCTGTGCAACAAATTGTTTCATAAGCAGTTTGCACATCCGACTACTGAAACAAATGGGTTTCAACCCCGGTTTTTCCCTCATGTAGACTAAATTCTATGACTGAGGAATACCACATCTCTGAATGAAGTTTTACTGTACCATGTTTGCGATTAAGCACGCTGGTAGGGGCCTCTTCCGCAGCCACTGCGACTCACTGAACTGTTGGAGCCAACTGATAACCAGCACGGAGAATTCAAGTAAAGATACACCCAAGATTCACATGTGTTAGACATCAGAACCAATCGCGCGATGACAGAGCTATATTAGACCAAAGTTGGGCTGCGAACCTCGTAACTCAGGCCAACCGAACAATGTCTGTCGGTTCGCGGGTTGTAGAGAAGTTTCACAAACTACAAAATGCACAGCTAAGATTGGATTATTAGTTATCCTAGTGAAACGGTCATTTCGATGCTTGGAACAATATTCATCCGACTCTCGTATTTGTCTTTCCCATTATTTAACTGTCTCATTCAGGCCTATTGCCCCATTCGCATTCGTGATGCTCTGGGCGTGCCGAATTCGGAGAGGGACAGCAGCCGAGAAAAATACAATGATACAATTTTGTTGGAGTTGGTCGCTATCGCCTATGATCCACGTCAACTCGGATCTAAACGTGTTCCGGCTCATCCTCAACGTGTTCAATTGCCAAGTGCTAAAGAGGTGAGTAAAATTCAGTTTTGTCGGACAATGACAATATTCTTTGTATTGTTTACATAGCTTGAGTTGGTGTCAGACGGTAAGAACTTATTCATGCACTTAGAATTTATGGGCAGAAATTTAAGTAAAGGCAATTGGTTCTTGTATGCTTCTGACTACGCGCATGGGTGAGTCCCACACGTTATCCGTGGCATTAAATCTCAACACCTCATCAGGAACCCATGGCGTTAATGCGGATCCTTCTATTGTTGTCGTTATCAGTAGCCCAATCTGAAATCTAAACCTTAAGGAGTGATAACAATGCAGTATCTGACTGACTGCTGGTTAACTTCTTTGTTCCAGTCAATCTACGGGATTGAACTTCCGATTCATGTTTTCTCGGGTTGGTTTGTCAACATGGTTTATTTTACTCAGCTTCGCTTGCACACTCACGGAGAACGAGAAGGTTACGGCCGACTTTAGGACGAAATGTTTGGTTTGTTTGCTTTGTTTTTTGACTTCGTTTCATTCCTTGAGTGCACAATTTTGAATAGGGAGTGAGCTCTCGAATGGAATCTTTCGTCACAACAACATAATTGCATGATCAGTCATCCGTGCCCATCCATGGTCTGGAAAGTCACTCTCATAAAGATCGACTCTTATGGTCAGAGTGTTCCTTATTATTAGGGACCTAGAAGATTCGAAGATATTCGAAGTGCACAGTCTGCTTTGGTGTGAACACTTGTGGAATTCTGCACCACAGTACGTCGTATACCACATAATGTCTTTTACACGGTTTCTGGGGTAATCCATCTGAAATGTAATTTGGGCTTCTATTTTTTATCGGCTTTTACTTTTGATTTGGCAAAATGGATTTTAGCGTACCTGTGATGTTTGAGTGCGTTTGGTAGAAGGTAATGGTTCCACTAAAGTGTATCCTCTGCGCAAACTTTTAATTCGTTTTCCCTTAGTATTATTTCGAAGGATACAAAACCTACAATGTCTTTATATATATATATATATATATATATATATATATATATATATATAATTGTCCACTTTCCTTCCCGTGGGAAATCCGGCGTTTTGGTTTGGTGTGCTGAATGTGCTTAGAAGATACTCCTTTCAACATTGGCATTCATCGCACTCACGACTAGTCAATGTTGGAGTTACTCAGCTTGCACCATCAGATAATCATAACAGCTTTAGCTATTAGTGGTGTTAACAGCTCAGTTTTGTGTCGAGTTTGATATTCAAGCCGCTTTGATTTCATCCACAGACACCTCGTAAATGAAGTTCAATGTACTGAATTACAATTAGAGGTTTACCCTCAGATATGATCTTTTCCTGAAGTTGGTCACTGAAATCATACGACAATTCTTTTATGCCGACTTGATGTTCTAACCCTTCGCAATTACGTCTACCATTGGAGCTTTTCGTCCTTAAAGATTTTAAAGACTCTTGATTTTTAATAACTAAGCTCCTTAACTAGGGTAATCTTCGGCCAAGATTTTCATGGATCCATCTCAGGAGATCAATAAAAGTAGTAGTGTCGTGAGTTGTGGTAGTCATTGTTGTGTCCGTGTGCAAACCTCTGGAATATCCCCGGTCAACGATTCCTTGATTGTTCAACCCCAACGAAAAAGCAACCACGAACAAGTGCGGAAACTGTATTCAATTGCAACCAAAAATGAACACTATGTTGGATGAGGTAACGGATGCATGGGCACATATGGCGTCGTTATTGGTTATCCAGCGTGGTGCGCAGATGTGATTGGTTGAGTCGAGTGGCAGTATATCAGAAGCCTGGTTGGTTGGCGGTTTGATGTGATGGTCAGGCAATAGGTTGTCCGTCAGTAGTCGATGTGAACAGTGACGTGTGATAGACTGACTGGTTCATGGGCGATGGCTGAGTCTCGCTCCAGTTTTTCTAAGGTCGTCTCGTCAGAAGGTCTGCACACACGCAACCAAATATCCGTTGACATGCGAAAGTTCCCACAAATTTTTCATTGTAAAATTGCCTTGATAACGGTTACCCACGGTGGCCGAAACGTTGGCGAATTACATCTACCAACAACGCTGTGTTTTCAACTTTCACAACCAACATGACCAGTTTATTCACAGTGGGCAAATCCATGTTGGTTTACATACCACTAACATTCCACTCGATTTACGTAGGCAGATTCGTCCGATCACTTTGTGGCCAAAAATAACACCCTTCAAATTTCTGTATTTATCACGGTCTCAAACGAACGACGCGAAATAATTTTTCACGCAAGAAATTGGGAAAAGTGAAACCTAACTACTGCTGTTGTTTTCAGTAGTGATATCAGAAATTCAAAGCTTTTGGGATGTACCCTTTCCTGAAGAACAAGCCGTTCCTTTGTTTTATTAACTTATTCCCCTTAGGTTCTTTGCCTGAACTAACCCCGGTTAAAATGCTTGTCAAGTTTGGTTGGTAGAAGAAGATATTGACAGAATAATTGGATATATAGTACCAACGCTTAAATCGCCAGTCGAAAGTCCGAAACTTTCACTGAACAGATAGTTAGACGACTTGTTAGGAATTACCACTGTTGTATATCCAAATGTTCCCATGCGGGGTGAATGATGGTGCGTTTCAGACGTTATTCTTCGCGCTCCTAAGACTAGTTCGCAAAGCAGCTTCGTTGCTGATGTGCTTACCATACTAAGCAATTGGATTGTTTGCGTCTCACATTACCATATCTGATGATGTCAGCAGGGCCCAACTGGTATGTCATAACGCTCACATGTCTGCGCCCACTTGAGGTTATTTGTTGAACTAGCACAGTCATGTCAAACTTTCACATCAGTCTCCCACTTGAACTTCCTAATTCTACCAATAAACCAGGAAGACAGTTGAGATGATCAAAATAAATGTTCGTACCTCAAAACTATATGTCTCCTATCAACTCTGATCAACTGTACCCGGTGTCTCAGAATAATCCCAGTAAACCAAAGCTTTAAGAATAATTTTTCCTTGTCCCATCTTACCATACAGGATTAATTTTAGCCTACAACAGAATGCAGTGAATCTACACTGTCAAATATTTGTTCTCTCCCTTGTGCCATCTAACTTTCAGCGAAATGGATTCACTGTGGACGGTGACGCAGAAATTGCCGGCTTGCAAGCAGAACACACACTCAGGAGACTGGAATCGGGCGAGTCTGTTTGGGTTCAATTATCACATCATTTCCTCAGTTTGGGACGAGTGACTTTAGGCGCACGGGTTAGACGGTTATTTCACATGAACCACTGTGCTCCGAACATGTTTGAGATGCCGACTGATCAGCGAGCAGTACCAACATATCGATATTTATTTTACCCTCGATTACCTGAAGATATGGAGGTGAGAATGAGTTTTGTAATATACATCGAGACGAAATACAAGTAACGCGAGCCAGTATTATTGTCCACTTACAAAGTTCTTATTACAAATGATGATTTTGATATTTATACCAATGCAATCCATAAGATCAGATGAAACATCGAGTTAGACGACGCAGTCTTCATTGGTCTACAATACCGCGATAATGTGTTAAATAGTCTCTCAAACTTTAGGGCCAAAATTACTGGTTTACTTCGTCACGGTATGTGTCATGGGCCACGACATTGGGAAAAGGTTATAAACGGAGTAATATCCTTGTACAGACACCGGGCCCATGGCCAACTGCGGTGATCATTGGAATATTTACATGCAAACCGTTTCTTCGTCTATAGTATTTCCGTTTATAAAGTTTCTCTGCTCTTTTCCGTTCAACATGTTCTGAATCATTCCACTTCCGATCTCGTCGTGGTGCCTGGTGACAGCCGAAGCCATAACAAAGAAATTTGGTGATGTTCGTTGAAAAACTGAAATAAATCGAACAACTATAAAAATAGACCCATCCACAGCGGCAGAACCACTCTCGGAAGTGGAACAGCTTCGACCATTGAGAAAATCAATTTCATTTGCTGGTCAGATTTCAGATTGAGCATCACCGAGTATGCGTGCTTCTGGCTTTCGAAAATCCGTGGTTGTAGCAGCTTCAGTGTGACATTGGTTCGTCTGTCGAAGGTTTGACCAAATTTGCTGTATTGCAGCTGATGTATCGGGAGGGTCTGTGTTTCGTTACAGATATTCTCAAAATATTGTCATAACCTGAGAAGAACATTAAACTAGCAACACAAAATTCCGGCATAAAATCTTGGGTGCGAGAGGTAATTCGGTCTGTGTTTGAGGTGATTCGTCATCGGAAATCCATTCCGTGATAAGGAAGGAAGGCATCAAAACCCAACCGGTGCACATGACCACGTGAGACGGTTTAGGCTACCGGTGTGAGCACAAGGGACACACTCACTCACTGGTAAGAGATACCGAAGTATATGGCTGGGTGTTTCTGCTAGTGCCGTCGCGCATACAGAAGGCGCGTTTGGCTTTTTCCTACCGCAGTCATCTGTGGTGCCGGGGCGATATTCGATTTTCTGTCAATCGTCGAGTATACACTGTGGAAGTTAGATGCATTTTTTCATAGTCCTCAGACACGTGGCCGTCTCGCGTAGAAGATACGTGAGGACAGTCAGTGCTCAAACATCGATATCTTTGTAGTATTGCTCGAACATAGTGGGAACATTGTATTAACAATCTTGAAGGTAAACTTACGTTGTTGGATAACAGACGTCAGTCACTGGATTGATTACCGAATCTAAACAGGTCAGGGTGACTGGGACATGTGTTACCTATGCACTCCAATGGACTTCTTCGACTTACACTGCTCTCCGAGGCAGAAAGTGGCTGGAAGGTAGGTCAAGGTGGTCAGTACATGACATAGCAAAAACGTATGTAAACCTTGACCAATGGACTTGACCAAGTGGGACGTGCCCGACTTCCGGTTTGGTGTCCATGAGACCCACCTACCAGATAGTTGGAGACAATAAATGATTTGACCGGGTATCGCGACCAGTGGCATAGCATCATTCAGGCTCTTTTTTGTCCTCCTAACTACTTCCTTACTTTTTTCGGCTTTTTTTTACTTTCACTATTCATTTTACGCCTGACTCTAGGATGCTGCAAGGAAGCAAACAAAACCAAAACCCAGAAGTTTGAGATTGCTGAGGGAAAGAACTGAACTGAATTGGATTTGCAGTCACACTGTTTCTTCTTCTACTTGATATCGTTATCTGTAGTTAGCTCCGTATATTTTTACACTTCTGATTGCTCTAGCTTCTGGGTGTGGTTGATTCTTGGAGATGGCAACCAGAACTGTTGCACTCGGCACATGATCAGTGGTTTTCCGATCTGATTTGGGACAAGAGTTGTTTATAGAATTCCAGGATCTACCTTCAGAGATGTGCGTTATTTACCGGGCGAGTATTTTTGGAAGATGGAATATGGTGAACATTACGTTACGTGGAAACAGATACAAAATTCCATTTTTTCTGATTAAATTAAGTTAAAGACACATTTGCCGGATAATCAATGATATTATACTACACGGTCAGATATCACTGATACTTTGTGCAGAAAAAAATTTCATTCCAACCAATAATGGTCTACTCCTATCTGTCCACATATCTGTCATAAGCTGCGTATATCCATTTGAAACATCAACAATATTGTGCATGTCTGACTCGATCCGTAGCAATTAAGGTCTACGCAGTCTGGCCCTTATTACGAGAAGGTTTGCGTGCCACCTTGTGCAATCGAGTACGATCTGACGATAAACCACGTGATTGCATCTAATATATTCATTAATTGTGAACCTATATGAATTTACTGGCTATGAAAGTGGCGTGTGTTGTACATCAAGACTCAGTACACATTACTATTTAGTAGCATCGTTTAACAGCTATTTATTGCTCCATTTTTGTTCTTCTCTGCCCTTTGTGCTCATATCTGTCCTTTACTTTTGGGCTATTGTGACAGAAAGGAAAACTGATCTGAGTGCACCTAATTGGGGGGGGGGGGGTGGAGGTATAAATCTATCAACTTTAGGACTGTTTATTCTGCATGAACGTCTTTAAACAATATCTGTTTACGTAACCCCTATTACATCAGCCTTATTAAAAAAATATGTACTCACGCAAACGAAATTATTCGAATACGTACGCTCGTGCTTCCAATCGGATCGCGTTCCTTTCCGGCTGATCAACTTGGTAATATGCCACCTAATGTAATTGGTAGGATTTCGACAATTTTTGCAGATTTCTCTTCCACGGCGGACCGTGGGTTGGATCCGAGCTAGCACGTATTTTTTGCAGAAGTGGTTTGATTGGGCTGCTTGACTCAACACGAAGATTTTGAACTGAGGTCGTTGATTCACGAAGGTCGTTATAACTCTCTGACAGAAATTAGACAGCGGCTTTGAATTCAATGCGGAAAAGTATTCCGTTCATCGAGGAGGATCCTCCACAGCTGCAGTCCGCTGTTATATGTGAAGCTCAAGCGTGAATATTCTGATTTCACCTAACTTGACTAGACATAAGTCTTCTTTTTTTATTTCGACTGACTCCACAATTGGCAGTCCACCGAGCAGAACATCGAAATTTGCATATCACTGGCTATGAGCCTAATAATTGTGGCAATTATTAAGAAATATTCTGTTTGAGATGGTATTTAAGGTCTGTTTGTCTGGAACTATGCGAATACTCTGCCTTGTTTCAATACGACCTTGTTTCAAACTGAACCTACCGATGTTTTTTGCCACAATGTCCGTTTCATTAGATAGTGATGAATGGTGATATTGTACATCTGGATTTTAAAAGTTTATAATGGTCGTTGGAAATCAACGATTCTTTTCAGTGATCCGTCACACTGCACTCACCCTTAAAACGGTTCTTCTTTCAGTCACTGGAAATTCATCCCCAGTTCGGTCACATACGTCCCGGCCAGTCCATACAGATCGAAGTCACGTTTACCGCCCTCGGTATCCCGCGAATTGTGGACATTGAGCTCACCTGTGAGGTAACACTTGACGGAATTGATGGACAGAGTAGTGTGTATTGTATTCCGTTCTTTTCCATCATACTGGATGACCACGATGCTTCCTAATCCCACCGGTATTATGTTGTGGTTCCGGGTGTCAGAAACGTTAGACAAATCAGGTCGCAAATAAGCCCACACTGAGATGACTTCCATAATAAGAATCGATGTGCGTGTAGGTCATAAGATGATAGCGTCTGCAGTTGGTAGTGGATCAGTGCTTTATAACACATTGTATTTACTTGCAGAAGAAAGCCGTCCAAATCCAATTTTACCACGTTGTTTACGTAATCGAATGCACGAGCTTAATTTAGAAGCAGAGACCACAGATGAACTTTTTGATAAATCTGATCTTTTAAATGTTCAAATTACGAAACGTGTCGCAGACAAGAACGGACTACAATAACTGATGTTTTCACTGACTAGGTCCCCAATGCGGACATCCATAGATACATCACTACGACTTACGAATAATACGAACGGGCTGTGACTTGCACGGAGCATAACCAGTGCGATTGCGAATTTGAAGATACACCCGCACTAGATTACAGTTACTCGGAACATTTTTCATATCGTATTTCTTACCAGCTTCGAGATGAGGCTCTGGAACAGGCTTACGAGAATGCCATGACTGTATGGCAAGCCGATTGTGAACGACGGCAAGTGGAGTTTACGTACACGGATAAGAACCCATTGAATGAACTGAATCGGGGCGGCAGAGTAAGTTCACTTTTTGCAGCCAAACCTGATATTTTTTCTCGTCTGACAATGGTTTTAGCCAAAATCTATTGAGTATCCATATTGCATAATCAGTCCGACTTGTATGGTTACAGCAGATCGAATAAGAAAATAAGAGCAAAATGGTAAATCATTACTGCTATGGAAATCACTATTTCGAATCAGGAGCGAAATGGTGATGCAGTGGAAAGCCCCTGGGAGTACCAATGAACACTGGTAGATATCCTGTCCTAAGAATTCTGTATGGATCTACAATTGTCCGTTTGATGCATAATCCGACAAGAACAGCTTTTAGCATGGTACATCAAGAGACATGGAAACAAACTTCAATAGTCTGTCGTGATCATCAAGAATACCAAGGACGAATAAATGTCTGAGATGGGGACTACAAAGTACTTCCATTCAGATCACCAGATGGAATCTGGTCTAGTCCCATTTGCGTGGGTTTATTCGCAAGTACGTTAACATCGTGATGGACAATGACACTGTTTAAGATTTACGGTTACAAACGTCCCTATCTCTTCCCTACATGGTGTTAGTGGGATTCCTGTGACCCATTAGCAGGAGAAAACCGAACAATATTTGTTCGTTATCTATCTGTGCATTTTGCACATCTCATTTCCAAGTCTTTTGTTTTCCATCTTCAGTCAATTTTCTCTTTCTGTGATTAAACTGATATTCCCACAAAGATTTTGTGGTTCATCTTTTTCTTTTCTTTTTTTTTTGGGGGGGGGGGAGGGGCAGAAAACATGCTGTCTCAAACAATACACAATTATCATATTAAAGGCTCAATTCACTGAGAATGGACAACACGGATTACACTAGGTGTCGACATGCCGCAAACAACACAAATAATGTACAGTACAGTAGATACACAACAGAAGATGCAAGACGTATGACGCCACGTGTAACAACGATATATGAGAACATATCCTGGATACAGTATATGGTATTCGGACCCTTCAGACCTGCAACATGGAAACCAAATGGTTTTCAGTTGGCCATCATGGCACGCAGAGCTGACCCACTAGCCAGAAAGAAAAGTCGAGCACAAATACAACCAAACATGCATCAACAACCAATTGGTACAGGGCGAGTAGGCTGTCCGGTCGTCTGCGGGAACAGTGTTCTTGGGTGACCCTGTAACGGGGCAGCTATGAGCCAATGGGAAACAGAAAAATTCATTGGCGAAACTCTAATAGAGCGACATAGGAACTTATCCAAAGGCGGAAAAGAATGCAATTTGATTAGAAAAGTGGGGTTAGCTCGGGGTATTTGAGCACGAATAGTATTCCCACTGAGAACTGCAGTTTCGATTTAAGGAGCATAATATTTTCTAATTTCAACTCCACCGTGTCCCGGATTCGAAATAAACACACTTAGTGCATCTGTCTTTCCTCTTATCAATTTTTTCATACGTAATCATTTTCAACCGATTCTTACTGCCCGAAATGCAGTTCGATTGACATTTTTTTTATTAGTGGGAGAGTTCCCCGTTGGGTAGTTCAATCAATATCGGTCCGCCTAATGTGTTTGTATGTTTCTGTGCATTTGTGAGTTTCGAATTCAGGTTAATGCAAAACCTCGTTAATTGTGTCCAATCCTTACAACCCAATGACTGTTCGCTCATTTGAAGTCCTTAGACGATTCGCAATGACAAGGAATCTGTTCTCAAAGATCCTTTGAAACTGATTTCCATCGAGACACACCAAAACAGAATAAAAAATAGGCAGGGAAAAGGTGACAGTCCCAAGTGAAAACAAATTTGGCGTTGGTCTTGTTCGGCGAGCTAGGCATTATGATTGCAAATGCTGCAGCATAATCAGTGCAACAGTGGAGCTGCGAGTGCTAGCGTGCCTCTGCCTTTTCCTATTGATTTTCTATCGTTCGACCTCAGTCACTGATTGGTTACTTCGCACCAGCATCCCATGAGAGATCAGCAATTCCGGTTATGAGCTTCGTTCAATTCTGCTTGTTATCGATGCTCTGTGCGCTGCACTGGCCTTGCTCCCGTTAGTCTGTACTGATTAGTCTCCCGTTCGCTTCGATGCACAGAGTTGGTAGGTGGTAAAGGTGTACCCGCCTGTTTATGGCTCCCTCAAAAGGCGTTTGCATCTGGAAAATCTCCCCCGACGGTTTTTATTGATGGCTTGGTTGTTGATTTTCATTTTTCTCAGGATGAGTGTTTGTCGTTGCTCATCTTTGTAAATCCTTAGTGGGAAAGGTGAATTGTATCTTTTGATCATTCACTGGTGTTCGTAGAACCGCAAAGAATCTTCTCACCCGGTATGTTTACTTGAGCTTCTTATCCTCGATGTCGGTCCTTAAGGTCTCCAAAGCGATGGGATTGAAATCCTATCAGGGAACAGAGTTTCGACTTAAAATACACTGATGACATCTCCTTGTTGAGTGACAACGCAAAGGCAACATAACGTTTAGGGTAACTTAGCGACTGAGCTGTAATCTCATTTGAGTCGAATGGAGCGTGCATAGGCGAAGAGCCCATTCTTAGAATCACACGGGAATTTTTCGTCCATACAAGCTGCATAGGATTCAAATGAGATTGCACATGTAAACCAACTGTGGAGTGCTCAAGTATAGGGATGATCGGTCAGAAAAGTGTCGGATGCGCAAACCTGATGAGTGGCAAGAACCGTGGAACCGGTTATTTGCTTCCGAGGATATTTTGTCCTGTCAAGTACCGTAGTACTAAAGGCGATTGAGGTGCTCATATATGGCATTCACTTTGTACCTTCCAGGTGCAAATTGTTTTAACATGACCGCAGGATCCTGTGCCAGCATTCATCGTTTGTGGTGATCAGCTGAAGGCAGTCGATAATTTTAAGTACCTCAGAAGCTTGATTACAGCTGTAGACGGTGCTGGGGAGGGGATCATATCACGTATAGCGAGAGCCAAAACAGCCTCCGCCAACCTGCGACACTTGTGGTGCCGCCGTGGCATCCAGCTCTCTCTTTTAAAGGACGGGCGTAAATCTCGCGTTCCGTTGTGTTTTACTCTACGGCCCTAAGGCGTGCCCAGTCCCCGCTGATGGTGTACGGCGTCTTTGTGTATTCAATAGCTAATGTCTTTGAAGTATCGCTCTCGTCTGATGGGAACATGGTCGAGCCTTAGGTACGGATAGTCTCACAGTGGCAGAAGCGATCGCTCTGGATCACCTACGATGACTCGGACACAATTTGCGAATGTTTAACCACTGTCTTCCTTTCCGTGCTCCATTCACACATGCTGGTTAAAGCAGGAAGAGGCGACGCGACGGTCAGGCCACGGCTTGGTACATGCGTATGAAGAAGCTAGCATCAGCACTCGCTTCGGTTGGTGTTTCCCGTCTTCCTAGTTGGGTCTCGTAGAATAAGTATTGTCGTCAGTTGGAGAAGTTGAGACACATGTCTCAGAGTAGGAATCAGTGGCGCGAATGATGCACGGCCTGTCTGTTGCACATCCGTTCTTCTCAAATACACAAAAATTAACAACAAAAGCACCAAGATGCGTACGGTGAAAATACATTCATGTTTCTTTTATTTATTGTATACTGACCCACATTCTTTTATGTCTAATCCTTTCCGACATTTTGTTGCATTGCACCAAACTTGACTTCAATCCACCACATATATATATATATATATATATATATATATGAGCATGTTGCGCAGCCGTTTCATCCTTGTTAGGAATCATCGGTAGCGCATAGTCACCGAGCCTTCGCTGGGGCTCGAACCCGAGGTGAACAATTGCAGTTGTTCAGTTTCAGCACAGAGTAAAACAGACTTGGCAATGGTATTCCTACAACGACATGTTCTCTAACCCCTCCTCCGTCTATCAGTTAAAGCAGATTCAAGAATTTTCATACTTTTAAATATTGATATTTGTCTATTGTTTTTTTAACCAGGACCGTTGGTTCAAACGAATTACTTCCGAAGGTGATACAATTAAGAACCAGCCAATGGCACCGAAACCTCATTTCTTACATCTTACACTAGGTTTGGAGGTGGTCAGTCACGAAGAATTGCAGCTCAACTGGCCCGAGACGTGGAACACTCAGTTCATTGACAGGTACGTTCTAACTAAAATCAGAAAACTTTTGAAGTACTTGTTATTTTCATTGGGTGCGTGATTCACAACACCCATCAGGGATACGTCCACTACGATTGTGTTCCAGCTCTTTTTCAACAGGATATCTAGAGAACCGTGTCACCGACATCATCTCACAGTGAATGATGCGTAAACTACCTACACAGTGGAGTTCACCTGAATTGTCACTTGACTACGGCGAGGGGAGAATGTCATGTCGGTGGTGGCTTTGTGCAATACTCACGAGCGAAGGGAGAAAGAAAGGAAAATAATATCACTGTGCAATATCGAGATTTAACTAACTTGTGAAAATCCATAGAAGTACTTACTACACAACAGTTTTTTGCTTCTGATTAGGAATTCTCAACAAATCAAATCCACTGAACCTGTGCTCGAAACCCCAGGATGAGAATGATGAATCCCGTACATAAACCATTAGGACATACATGGTAGCTCAGAATTATGCCAAATCATCATCGTCTTTTGATAGTTATAACTTTTCACAACCACAAAACGATGAATGGCAGAATATTGGATTTTCCATAGAGGGTATGTTTATCAGTATAGGATAAACATTCGTTCGATTGTCGCTGTTGTCGCCTTGTTTTATCGGCGATTATGTTGTTCGCTGGGCCTTTATGTACGTCAAGCAATTGGGTTTTTAATCACACCAACCTACCAGCGAAAAGATTTCAGTTTGACGTAAAAGGAACATTTTTCCTGGAGACAAAAAAAAATGATGATGTTCGTCACCTCATCCTGGTGATGTATCAACTCTCTCTCCTCCCCCCTCTCTCGCGAATATCAGCACATTATTATTGCAACCGATTCACACGATGGCTCCTGTGCTGAACGGTAGTGGCCCTTTCAGTCCAGTGCAACAGCAGTGCTGTGTAGCAATGATCTCTTCCGTCGTATCCGGATTGCTACACGATCCGGATTTTGTTGAGCTGATTAAACAAGCCACCTATTCGGAATCCAACGCATCCGGAGATGACCCCGTCCCATTCTTTGTGCAGTTCCGTGACAGAAATTGTTCCGCACAAATGTCGAACATCGAGCAAAACGATCGCGATAGAACCCCGACCGTGGAGCCAGTCGGAGAGAAATCTATCCATATGGTGATGCAGACGCAACCATTCGAATTTGACACGTGGTTGACAGACACAGAACAGCACCATGACCGGCTTGTTACGGACGGCCTGAACGACTCAGGTGAAGAAGATGAGATCTGTATGAAGTACGTCCTCATTCACTAATTGAATGTGATTTGAACATGAGCACACTTAAGCTTAGAGGTAAAGTGGCAAAGGCAGGTTTATCTTTTCGGTACTTCTCTTCGGAGCAATGCAGCACATTTGCAAAGGTTAGGTGGTGCTTAGAACTATGGCCGGCGGTGGTTGAGAGTATTCACCTTTCATCTCGGAGGTCAAGGGTTCGAATCTTGCCACCACCGATCACCGGCGGTGAACAGTAGCTCACTGTCGTCCGGCTGGTTACTACAACTGACCTACTACGACTAAATTTGATTCTTCACTCAAAGTCTCAGAGTTATGTTGCTGGTTTCCCCAAATAGTGCAGTAGGCCTGTAAGACTATGGAGCATCCTCTTCCATTACACTCATGCGCAAGCATGTATTAAAAAGATTCACAACATAAAGAGGGAGAGACAAAACTGCATATGAATCCTGCAGTAATGGCTTTCGTGGACTAATGAACAGCTACGTTCACCAGTCCTATATGTGCTTATCTCACCATCTTGTAGAAGAAAATTAGTGTCTTGACGAAATATTGTCGCGGGCATCGGGCAGGACTGCGTAGTCCGATCACAACTGCCGCGGCCATAGGATTCGTTGTCTGGCCTTCATGGAGCGATATGGACACATACCATAGATAACATTGAACGACCAATCCCGCATTGATGTGTGACCCGTATTGAACACATGAGCCACGATCTGGAACTCCATTAACCTATTTTGCTCCCCGGTAACCGGAAGTCGAGTGATAAGGTTTTCAATCCTCAGTTGGAAAACGTTTTATGTGGATATACTTGCAGCTTGTTTACATAGAATGTTTTTGTTATTGTTTAAAAACAGGTAGCTTAGTGTTCTTGCAACTGAATCCCTTTTGGATCTTTTACAAGCATAGAAAAACCTTTCACAATACGGAGATGAGAAGTACCGAATAGACAAATATTCCCCACTTATAAATTAAGTTGTGGCTACCTTGACTTACAAATGTGTGCCTTATTGAGGTCGATACAGACAGAGCAGGTAGTTCAGTAATTGATTCATGCATTCACTTGGAGTTTCACCGGCCGCTATTACATTAGTGTGACGTTCAGTTTTGTAATCACACACTCAAAATAGGGTCGTATTCTTATCCGCCGATGGCCAAACTACCATCAGACACTGCGGTTTTGGGTTCCAATCATGCAACCGACGTTCACTTTCTCATTCAGCAGCTTTCCATTGGTCGCGAACTCCTTCCTCAGGTCTTGTATCACTTATACATAACAAACAAAGTGAAATCGAAATGTTATTATAATACTATGACCTGACTTAGAAACTCCCAATTTACTTCGAACTTGTAGAGCGAACCACAGCGATAAAGCGCGGAATGTTAGAAAGCTTAGACCAGCGCAATCCGGTGTGCGCTCACAATTTATACGGAGGTCAGAGCAGATACCTGATTAAACTGCATGTAGTCACGATGTGACGGATGATAAACATATCTGTGGCAGGAAGACGGCAAATCTTGATCGGGAAAATAAAACCAAGGTCAGTGCAGACAAATCGATGTGCCAAAGCAACATAAGCCCAGCAAGATACTTTCCCAGTCACGTTTAGAGTAAAACGGCTTTGGCCAAGCTTACGATGATTAATGACACCAAAAGCACGTTCGGACAATCGAAGGTGTTTAAGTTTGCTTCCCGTAGTTCAGAAACGGTCATCTTCTGTTGTGTAGGTTGCATGGAACATTGTGCTCTACGAGGGAAAATGACAAACCTAACCCCAGGGGATCTGGGTGATGAACCAAGATTGTCAAGCGAGATGATGAACTCAACCCAAAATTAGAATCCCATTGACGATGTTCTTTGAACAAATATCAGTAGTGCTTAAGAGATATCGGATGTCGAATGCAGAAAGCCGTCACGAGTCCTGATTCTTGAGTAAAGAAAGACGCCATGCGCCGCTGCGTTGAGCGATTTTCTTTCAGTGTTGGAGAACTGAGATGGTACCGAAGTTACTGTTTTAGGCTGACGATACTTGATATCCATTTACTCAGGTCTTGGATAGCAGACAACGCAGTCAGTACTCATTTCATCCCTGTTGAATAAGCTATTTGCACGGAAGCCTCGAGCGAATGAGTGCAAGCAAATGAATTACCTACACAAGAAATACTCACTTTCATAATCCAAAATATAGATTACCTACCTATGGAAAGAAGCACACAATCAATCTAAGAGAATGATTCCACGGTTTCTCAGTGTAGTCTTATCTAGATTGCTTTTAGACTCGTCACCAACTCACGCGTGAAGCCTCACGACTATCAAACAATCTTACTATTCCCACCCTACTTATTTCAGCAACCCGGGGTTTCGGAGTCTGGCTGAAACGACAATCGCACAGATATTGCGTAACATTTTGACAGAAGCCAATGTACATGAGATCGAGCTGACAAGTCGGTTCCGTGCGATTGTCCTACCGCCAAACGCCGACTTTGGTCAACTGGACAGGGAGAACGGCGACAGTTACAGCTCACGTGACGTCAGGACGCAAAGCCCGAAATAACTTTTTCTGTGATATAAATTAAAGTATCATTGGGTGTATTTTGGTATTCATGACTAGCCGAATAAATGAATCAGTCCTACGGGGTTGCATATTATTCCTCTCATCGAATCACCAAGATGGTAACAAATTCGCAATGCTTGCTTGAGTTCAACCAACTTTAAGTGGATGTATAAGACTCTCAGATGCTAAACCCGTCGCATGCCGGAGAAACGGACCACTGGATGTGTCGGAAGAGCCATAGAAGAAACTGAGTGAAAGTTATCTGAACTGTATCTGGAAGTGCTCCACTCAGCTTTCGAGACGAACCGTCAGCTTCACAGATCGTTTACTCACACGCAGTGGTTTCCAGCCGGTAACTCGAGTGGGATAGAACAACTGTCAATAATTCTTCATGATGGCCATACGGTGAGACCACCGAATTTTGCAACCTCTGAGCTAAGTTCATGTCTCCCAACGAGTCGCCTTTCGTTATGCTCACTTCAAGCTCCGATTAACTGGCATGTGTCAAGTGCCAAGATTTAGCAGTTATGGCATGTTTCACAGTAAGTAATCTATTTAAAAGGATGAAGTTCAAGCTTCCAATGCACAAACTAGACTGAACTGCCCGACCGAGTGGAGCCTTGTGTGGTTTTCCCTCTCAGTTTGCGGGATCTAATTATCTGTTATAATAGTGTATAGAGTCTTAGAGGTATTGGGGAATACTCCTTTCACTGCTCTCACGCGCAACTAATTATACTTCTTTTCGTGGTTAGGTTCGAACTGGTCTGCATCCAATGACTTCACTGGATCGGGTACGTTGTCCTCCTTTGGCTAGAGGCAAACACCGACAATCACCATACCAGAAACTGTTAGCAGTATGAACGGTCCTTGGACGATACACGAAAGTCCCCCAGAAATTGCTACATTACGTTCTTGCTGGAAATCCTGATAAAAAAGAAATCGAGGCCACTGATCACGCAGCTGCCATACACCCTAGGCTTTTCTAATCTACACTTAGACGGATCTCGAGAGTCCCATTTGAGAAACTTAACGCTGGTTTCATGACGATTATGCCATAAGCCAATCAATTCTACACGACTCAGTTGGTATGATATTCGGCATTTTGTTTTGGAAACAAAGGTCCTCCTTAGGAGTGACAGGCACACACATACAGAACGATATCGGTAGTTTCATTATTCGGATATGGATTACGGCGTCTGCGTGAACCAGTAGTCTTAACGTTCATCGTGAATGTTTCGCAGTTAACAATCACATTTTCCAGTTGACATCTTGATCCCATCTTCAAACACTGGTCATGCACCGATGCGTCATTATAAACTCGTCTCTCGGAATACGCCGCATACCACCTCTGGATTAGAATCAGTTCAATCATATTGTTATTCCTCTCTTTGAGAGGGCGTAGCTTAGAGAAGGTGAGTTCTGCGGTCTTATGATTTCACGGTCGTGTTGAACGAAGCATAGCAAATGCAAGCAACGTTTGAATCCTCGGTATTTTAAACCACACCGGCGAAACGGGACTTCGAGGCATTCTATTGCTGATAATAGTCTGCATCACAGAATCCTAAAAATTGTGGGCATGGCTGCATCACTTCACACAGGTATGCTCTTCGCGCCCAATACCTGGGATACGGGAGGAATTGAGAATGGATGTAATTTTGTGGATTATTCGACGAATAACAGAATGAAGACAACACGCATCTCGTAATAGAAATGCTGTATGAGACTGTATACGACAAGAAACTAGGTACAATGTATTAACGCTCCGGTCGGTTGTTCAGTGGCTGTAGAAATCATCAACCGAGCTTGTGGTTGGCATGAGAGGAGGAGCGGAAACCGGGTTGGAGGAGAATCGGGACAGTTTAGACCGCGGGTAGATTAATCAGCGTGTGTTGGCCGTCTGGTAGATACGTCACATTACGATTCCGCGCCAGCTGGTAAGCGATATCCTCGGCAGCTTCGATGCGGCGTAGTTCGATCAAACCCTCGCCGGATGCCCCAAACGCCTTTGCCAACAAAACCGCCGCCTCCGAGTCGCCTTCAGCGGTAATAACAGCGGCAAGTTTCTGTTGCTCAGCCTGTGGATGTGTAAGAAGGATGGGAGGGGGGAATCCACGGTGAGGAATTTTGAACATTGGAATACACTGGGAAATTTTGGGAGATAAAACTACTCCTGTCTTCTGAATTGAGCAGGATACTGGGCCCTGGAACACCCCAGGAGCATATCATTTCAGTTTCAAGAATCATCAGACGAATGGGACTTCAGGGAAACTTTTAATTAACGAACGTTACCGGTTCTTCAGCACACGAACGATAGAATGCCACCATGCGTAGTTCTCCGTCATGCACCATTGCCACAAACTGTTTACCCTACCTCAGGCTTGTCATCTGCGTAGTCAGTTGACCATCACGCGTCTTTTTCAATCATGACACGAGAATGCTGAACAGTTCACTCTGCAACTGAGGGTTTCCCGCAAAAACGGTTTCACCAAGTGAATAGATGATCTGAAGATGAAGAAAACAACAGGCGCACTACCCCGTTGTTAAATATCCAACCGCTTAGTCACATTCTTGAGAGATTTTGTAAGCATTGACAGCTGAAAGCCCTCACTCAGCGAATAGCTTCCACACAGGGTTTAAATGTAACAAACACACAGTAGAATTGATAGAACTGGAGCGACGTTCTGTGTTTACACCGTTCACATACCCTCGTTTTTGACACGCTTCGTCCGTTAATTTCTTTGTGCCTATTGATAGTGTTTACTACGGGATAGTGATCGATGTTTTTCAAAGAGAAATAAGGTTTATAAATTGGAGTTCTTGGTAGATAAAATGACACACAAATTTATTGAGGAGCTTATAAGTCAGCCTTTCAACGCGACTATTTGACAGTAAGTTTTGGCTAAACTGAAGCCCCGTGGCCAGATGCACACGAATACATCCTGATTCGTTCCACATGAATTGGATATGATTAATACATACATACGTACATACGAAGAGGACTCATCAAAATCCACCGAAAATTCTCTACGCAGACAAAATCACCCATTATAACATGAAATGAGAACCGAAAAGGATGATTGATAAGACTATTAGTCAATCTGTCCGACAAAAGTCACCCTATAGCCGATTTGTATCAGGCAAGATTCTACCCATCAAGCGAGTTCTAGTCTGTATGTACCGCAGTAAAACTCAAATGACAGTTCGCAATCACTCATGTAGTTAAGTTGACTTCGTCGGAGATGTTCCGTCAATTCATACGCCCACGTGGTAGTATTACAATAGTTGACCGAACGACATTTTTCCAAATACATTAGGGCACCATCTAGGATGACACCGACACAGAAGAGCGGCGTACCTATCAGCGTTATAACCGCTGATTCATCACAATTGTGATCCACAACTGGAGCGGAGAGTCCGTATCGTATGATGTATGCAATGTTATATAGTGCATCGAATACTGGTGTGCGCTGTCGCATTTTAAAGAGAACGGATCGATGACGTTGCTCAGCAGTGTTGTTGACCTAGGCCACTGCTTGGAACACGCAGATGTTCATCACATTCACTTCGCAATCGATGGAGTGATAGACTGAATGGCTGATCTACAGACTGTATCTATCCACCTCCGTCTTATAGCAACACAGCTCGGAAACACGTTTGCTCACACTAAGCTTTCCGATGTTGACAATGAGTCTTTTTGTTATTCTTCGAATACAATTATGTTTGCTGGGTTAACGATGTCCGAATTATTAATGCTGGCGAGAACTAGGGCATCGGTGATCCCTAGGCAGGTTAAACTGTCATATTATCACTAAGCTCGTCTTTTTCCTGCTAATATATGCTTGCGCACGAGTGGAGTAGAGTGGGATAACCCGCAGCCTTCAAGGCCTAGTGCACTGCTAGAGATAACCAATCATCTGAGCCTGAGACTTGGGATAGAGAACCGCCTGGGGTCCAGCAGGCCAGTAGGCGCAGTACCGACCCGGGCGACAGTGGGTTACTGTCCACCACTAGTGACGGGATGGAAAATGAATGCTCTAAGCCAGCAGACCACCACCGGTCTACCACGCGGTCATTGTCGTTGGGCAGGTCGCGTGGATGACTCTTCCTGGTTGAAGAGGATGTTAAGTTACCGAAACACACTTACCGATCTTTGCACGCACGAATGTTTAGTTTTCATATTGAGGGAAATCACTGTTCAGAAAATTAAGGTCAGCAGTCGCACACAGAAAGTTACAGCATGAACGCCCAGTTCTGGTTTCGACGTCCGATCTCAGTGGTTGGTAGTTATATGATAGACGCGCGGTCAAGCGGTTCGAAAATAGCTGATCAGATAATTTTATCCGTCAACTGTTGTTCACTTTCGACAACTAACCCACGGATCGAAAACGTCGCGGATTTTTTCCCGTCATGTGGACCATTAGAACATACAAAACCTAAATTTATGACAAATCAATTTGCGGTCGCCGCGGACAAAGTTATTGACAGGCAGAGAATAAATGAAAAATTTAGCGAAAAACTGTTCATTTAACCGGCACCATGAAGAAGGTGAACCACCTTTCGAGAAGGTTAAAAAACGCGAATTTTTGATCTGATAAAAAACTTTTTGTATACGTACTGCACGATTAAATCCACATACACCATGAGCCTATGAAAGAATGTGAGAGGGCAGCAACTAACCTTCTCTACTAGATAGCGGGCACGCTCGGCTTCCTGTTGCGCCACCTGTTTAGCCTCGACCGCCTCGGAGAACTCACGTCCAAATGAGATTTGGGTCTAAAACGAGGGACCGAATTCAGTTTTGTTCGCTTGAGCACGCTGGAGGAAGTGTAATTTTGATAGTTTTTAACCTATTATTTGCATCCTAGACATTGATAACTCAACCAGGGTGAAAAGCATCATGATATTGGTAAGAAGAAAAAACACATTAGATGAAAATCACTACTTATCCTGACCGGCGGCGGTCAAACGGTCATCACTGTGGAATCTGGACCGTGACGTCTCGGGTTCGATCGTGCCACTGCCGCTCATTTCTCACTTTTACTTTTATGCGGTTATCTCCACAGAGAATGGGCCGGCTTCATGGATGTCGCGCATTGCGTCTGCCCATGAACGGTGGTCAGAGGTGAGACCGGAACACAAGCAGATCACGTTTTGATTCCAGAGACCAGCACCATTAACAGGCCGGAGCCTCAGGCATCCTCGACCTCCCAGCTTTCCGATGTCCTCGACGCATAGGGGCCACGTTTCACAACCGTACGTCAGTATGGGTCGGATGGCGGCTCGGAAGAAGCAAATTTTGGTTCGGAGACTGACCTCGTTTCGCGCGCAAAGTGACTTAAGTGGCTGAAAAAACGCTCTTCTTGGCTTGGCCGTTTGGAAGGATCGTGGAGCCCAAGTATTTGAGTGCCTGCATACGCCCCATTAGCTTGCTGTTGACGTATATTGGTTGACCGGGCTGTACAGCGCAAGTCGAAAGCATCTCAGTCTTCCACGTATTGACTTCAAGTCTCATGGTTTTCATGAAGTAAACAACACGATTTAGAATTGGCTGAAGGGTAGTCGGACTGTCCCGTAGGATAACAACACAGTTTGCGAATTCCAAATCAGCGAAGACAGCGTCTGGGCTGAGCTGTACATAAGGGTAAACATTGAGCGCCTGCCGCATTATCCAGTCGATAGCGCAGTTGAGTAGGTCTGGCGACAACGGGCAATTCTGTCGGAATCCGGAGTTGACGGAGAATTCGCCGGATTCTTTTTCATAAAATCGTATTCTTGCACGCATAGTTGAGTAGTACGATTTTATGAGACTGGCAAATTTTACCGCTATGCTGTCTGCTTGCAGAACAGTTCATACCGCGTGACTGTCAACTGAGACAAATGACGTGCGAAGATCAACGAAACAGCCTGATGTCGGTTGTTGAAATTTGTAGCAATGTTCTACGGGTTTTTCGTTTCGTTTAGGAGCCTATGGCGATCGTTTAAGATCCGACGGCGACCATCAAGAGCCTTCGGTGATCGTTTAAGAGCCTTTGACAAAGTTTAGAATACCATGGCTAACATTGTGGTCCGTTGCCTTCTCGCCCATTGTGGCTCACATGTTGTAGTTGGTCTCATCTACGTAAAATCGTAAAATGGATGCTCTTGTAACCAAGTTGCGTACTGAGCTCGCTTCTCTTTGACATCAGTCCTGTTTTGCTCGATCGGATGAATGCATAGTCTCTGCGTGGTGTAACCAGGACCATTGATAAGACGGCCAATGGGAGATAAACTGGTCGATAAATTCGTGAGTATCAGTACCGTCTTTTCTCTGTCCCATTCAAAGTGAATGTAGGATTTTCCTCTACCAATGAGCAAAAATTCATTGGAGAATACACGTTTTGCGAATCCTCTTTCAAGGCTAGACTTTGTGTGCCGTTTGGCGATGGTTCTGTTGGTTTTCATGTTAATACCAAGATGGTTGGAAGGAAATATTAAATCGTCACCTTTTCTTACAGATTGGAAGATCTTTCTCTAGTCTTTATCACTGACTGGTTTCCCTTTGGGATGCGAATCTGTATTCGCCTGTTAGTACAGACCGATGAGCTCAACTTCCTCCATTAGGAATTCCGTGGATGTTGAAGCAATCGTTCAGCTGGTAACTTTGAAGTGATGGAGACCAAATCTACATCGTGCACACAGCCGTTCACGTGATGCGTATAAGGCTACCAAGTCTCAACTGGAGCCGAAGACTCGCACGTGATGTGACTTTGTGCGGTATGGGTATGTCGGCAAGGTTTGATTACCATAGACTGTGGTTGCTAAATTAACGAGTGACCCGATTGGAAGCGCCGAAAATCGCAACACGGTTACGATGGCAAGGTCGTGTGACTGAGTAGGGAAAGCGCATTATCTGCGCAGCTGAAGGCTGTGTTGTTCATTCCTGTAGACATGTTGCGCACTCACAATCCAACAAGCTGATGGTGAAAATGTGGCGGAAGTAGTGCAAATAACTGACCTTAACAAAAACAAAGAAGCGGAGGACCACGAATGACGACGATAGGAATCGAATAGTACAATGTCCAAGGAATGGTGAAAGCCTGTATCTCATAGCAAACCATCTAAGGATCAACATCAAGACCCACCGACGCATTGCCGCGAGAGAACGTGAATTCGGTCGTAAATGAGGATTCGCAAAACGAAAATTTTCAGTCGAGTATATCGCACAGATCTGTTCCATCGTTAAAGAATATACTGATCAAAAGGAAGATGAAAACCATAAATCCTGAAATTACGATCAGTTTACCGTCAACTAATCGCATGCTTGATGGTCATGGATATCCAATGAAAATGCTTACCACAACCGATCGAACGGAACAGGCATGATGTTAAAGAAAAACGCGCTGAATACACAACCTGGTCGGAAGAGCAGGGAAGTACAGTATTGCGTCTATATACAGACGAAACTAATCATAACATATGGTGCTCTCGATTGTGTGGCGTTTTCTCTCTTGAGAAACGTTCAGTAAAAGTCGATGCAGAACAGCCGTGTGCATCAGCTGTAATTTTATTTGACAACGTCCCTACTCACAGGCAGACGGAAACCGCTATGTTGGACCCGGGACATGCAACTCACCTTGTTCCACCTTACAGTCCATTTTTCAATCCCATTGAAAAAGTCTTTAGTGGTTTCGAGAACACAGTGAAGCAACTGTTAATTGCACACAAAGTGACAATTTTGCGGGTACCCGACGGACAAACCATCAGAGGCCACTGCTATAATTTGTTGGAACCCAAGCTATGCAGAGAATCACTCCAATAGTTTGTGCTTTTTACGACATACACAATTTTACTTTTAGACTTTCCTCCAAAACGTATGGTAACTTGTAGGCATAATCGCAAATCGAGAAAATATCTACATTTAAAACACATTTGCCCGACGGTCATTGTGGGCTATTTCGGCCCCGTGATATAAATAAATGCAATCGAACAGTAAACATTAGGATCGCCACGTAACTTTCTCAGTGTTATCACTTCGATCCGGCATTGTGGGTCAAAATATAACCCGTTCACCACTGGACCGATCCGTAAAATGGTATCCCAATCAGTGTGAGGTTCAAGCAATCTGCAATTTGTTCGGCTAATGCATTTAGCTTAGTGTATCAATTGTCAGACTGTTTTCCTATATGATATTATGAGTATTTCGCATGCGTGCCAATATGTCCATTCGACTAAGTTTGTTTTATAAAATATAGGTGACAGTTAGTGTCCTCACCCATCGATCAAAGTGAACGAACAGACAGCGAACCACAGTGTTAGCCATGATATTCTAAGCTTTATCGAACGCTCTCGTTGACCGCCATTCGACCATAAACGATCAAAACAGGCTCTTAAACGATCGTCATAGGCTCTCAAACGACAGGAAAGCCTGTAGTACTCGATGAAGAGTAAATGTGGTTCACGCATCCCCTACCGCAGCGGAAGCCTACTTGATATGGACGAGTGTGTGTGTCCCTCACAGTTGAGAAGCGGTTTAGTCTTTGTATTCGTGCAGTTCATGGAGGATGTATGAGCCCGGATAATTTTTTTTCGCAGCCACGTCTATCAGGCTGATCCCACGGTAGTTGTCGCACACTGTTCTATCACCTCTTTTGGGAAAGGGGGCAGGATTGAGGTTCCCCTAGTCCATCAAGAGTTTTTATTCTCCAACTGAACAAAGCAGCGTGTGGATAGGTTCTACTAGTGTTGGAAGGCAGGATTTATATACCTCCAGTCCGATGCCTTCTTCTTCCGGAGCTTTTCGCTTTTTCAAATTGTGTATCACAGCTGCAATGTCCACAAGGGACAGAGGGCTGATAATGATGTCCTAAATTTCTCTTTGGATTGTGAGGATTTGACTTTCCAAACTTGCCGTGGGATGATTTGGTAGATTGTCAACGTGCTCGGTACATCTCTGCATCATTTTCCGTTTTCCCGGGATCAGAAGCCCGGTAGCGTTGCGATGGAGTGGTTCTACTGGCTGTCGCCTGCCGGATGCACTTCGAATGAGGCGGAATTTTTGAAAAGTCACCACAATTATTTGCGACCTTGGACCAGCAGTTTTTTCGGCCTTCTCTCACCGAGCGAGTTGCTTCTCGCCAAACCTCTCGAAAGCCATGGAGGCCATTTAGGCGGACGTCTCTAGCTCTTTTAGATAAATGGAGGGTCATCTCCGGTATTCAGTTCTTCCGGCGTTGTCGTATAGTACCCAGTTCGTCGACCGCAGATTGCTTGATAGACGATTTCAGTGAATTTCATTGTTGTTTTACCGATGTTTCTTCACTAAGTAGGTGACCGGCTAGATGAGCGGTGATAGTTTGCGATATTGCTCTTCGTTTCGTCGGTGATCCTAGGGCCGCTACGTCAATCCTCCTTGAAGCATAGGATTCTTTGTGATCGGCTAAGTGGACCTTGAGGCGTGTACGGACAATAGTGTGTCTCTATACCTCTGTAGGACCAGCAGTCTTCCATCGAGGACGCCCGGCGAGATCGTACCAGTATATAGTCGATCTAGTGTGCAATGTGACCGTTGTTTGAGTACCACGTTAGCGAATTTTGTCTGGGACGTTGGGAGTGAGTGTTGAAGACGGTTAGTCTGTTGCGGTCTCCGAAAACGTCATCGCATTGTTGTCCAAAGCCATATTTCTGTAATATGTGGCTAGTTACTCGGTCAAAAAGACCAGTGCGAACATTCCAGTCCCACGCAACAAATACATTTCGATTTGCGACACTGTTGACCATTTCTCGCAACCTCTCGTAAAACTCGTCATCCGCCCCCTTCGCAAATTATTGTCGGGGCGAAGATTGCAACAACTGTTATGTTCAGAGACAAGGAACGAAAATGAGCTACAGCAATGCGAGGGGATGTCGTGCTTCACGAAAGCAGGGCCTTATTAGCACTGCTATTGAGAGCGAGCGCGACACCGTGATAATCGGAGTTGTCACTAGGTCCAGTGTGGTAGAGTTGGCAGCATTCTTCCATTCCGGGGACCTAATTATTCCGTGCGCCAATATTAGGCAGACGATTTTCGGAGACATGCAATGTCTATTTAGTATTTGTGTAACCTGTGTATCGTGTCATTGTCAAGGAGCGTCCCCACTTTCCAGCAGGCCATGTGAATGAGCCTGTGCGGATCGAAGTCACCAGTTAGCACATTTAACACCTCGGTCGCTGGGATAAAGCGAGGATCGTCGCTTCCCAGGGACGCCGTAGCATGATTAGTGTGTACTATAGCAGCGAAACCCGTGAAGAGTCTTGGGAATAATGTACAGAGTAGCGACCCCAGTGTTACTCGGCTTTTTGTTCGAGGTTGCGGGTTTAGTCCGTGCACAATCAAGTGCTACCTGTCGGGCAACAGACAGATCGTGTGTTCGGAACCGGTAACCGACCGAGCGGCTCATACGCCTTTTCAATGGTAGTCTACCAATCCAAGACACCCAACGTACCCATTGTGCATGGATGCCGGTGGCTCTCTAGGAGCTCGTTCGCCATTCGGTAGAGGTATTCATGACCCAGGGGTCCATGCGACCGTTTTGGTTGAACAGTTTTCCCTTCTGACCGTCGGGTCAAGCAGTAGATCTCGTCCTTCAGCATCTTTCCTGCAAAGGGCTTTACCAACGCCACGGGTCATTGCGGCTCTGAACAAAGTAGCAGTTCAGGAGTTGGGTTTAAATCGAATGCACTCCTTAAGCTTAAATGTCCACTTCACTTGGCTGCCTTTACCGTCCGCACACTGTCAGATAGGGCAACATGCTGCCCGCGCTAAAACTCTTGACACTTAAGGTAGATGTGTGCTGTGCCTCCGAAACGCGCACACAACACCCCATTTCTGTGATCACACTTCGCACCCCACATATAACCTCAGTCTTTCGCTTCACTTTTCGAGTGTCGGGTTATCGGGTTTCTAGTGTTCGTGGTCAGGCTGGTGTTGGGATTGGTTTGAAAACGAGGGCTGAGCAGTAGTAGTTTGTGTGCAGTTCGATTAAGCGGTTCTGTTTGTGTCAACAACAAAAAAACAGAAGCTTCAATGCAATGTTGTCGTGGCGGTCATTGCTGGGGATTTCAACACCCGAGTTGGTCGTTTGGGAGATTCCGAAAGGGACATTGAAGGCCCATTTGCTATCCCAGTCTATCGCACTGATAATGCTGATCGTCTCATTCAGCTGTGCTCTGACAACAGATTGTTTCTGGTGAGTACGAACTTCCAACAAAAGTGGAATAGACCCGCTTGGCGTCCTCCGACGTCTTCAAACGTTGGACTCAGACTGACGATATTGTGTTTAGTCGCCGATGGCGTGGATCGATTGAAGATTTTCGTTCTTTTTCGTCTACGCCCGTGGACTCAGATCACACCTTGGTACGTGCTCGTTTCTGTTTACGTCTCGTACGTGGTCGCACCAAAGTAAATGCCCCGAACTGTGCAGTTGCTTCTGAACGACAACCGGAGATCTGCTTTTCAGGCGGAGCTGCGTACATGGTTATCGATGCAGCCGGATGTGCACGGCCCAGATGAACGCTGGCAACATATCAAGGAAACCTTGTATGCCGCGTCTATTGCTTCATAGGACTGTGGTTCAAGTAAGCCTTACATGCAATGGTTTATTTCTCTTCTCCAATGCGTGTACTCGAACAGCCGAAGCCGTGTTCACCCAAGTTCACCACGGAGAGGTGTTCGTCAGGGTTGCCCTCCTTCGCGTTTCATCTGCAATTTTGTAGTTGAACTGATTCTTCAGATAGCTCTTTCTTCGTGTGAGAGTAGTGGCATCGATCTTCACTCATGCAGAAACTGACTGTGCGGATGATTTTGTTCCTCTGAGTGAAGATCCAGGTAGGTTGCATGCTTCCTCAGATAGCCTTAACAACAGTTTGGGATGTGTTTTGCACCTTCAAAGTGTAAGCTGTTGCTGGAGGACTGGGTTTGCGTCACATCAAACCTCTTCTTGACAGGGGGAGCTCTAGTTGAAGTGGATAAATTTTGTTACCTGGGCAGTTACATCTCACCAGGTGAACGGATATCGGATGAAGTGTCATCGTGTATACAGAAGCAGCACTTGGTTTTCACCAACCTCAGCCATTCGTGGCGTCGCCGTGACATCTAGTTATCTCTCGGCGGTCGAGTGTACCATTTGGCGGTTGGGTCCGTTCTTCTATACGGCTCAGAAACATGGTCTTAAGGGAAGAAGATAGACGAAAACTGTTAGTGTTCGAGCATTGATATCCCCGTACCGTTGCCCGAATATGGCGGGAACACGGTATTAGCAATGCTGAGGTTAGACGTAAGGTGTTGGGACCTAGAGGTCCGTCTCTGGATTAAGTACCGAATCAAAACAGATTAAGGTGGTTGGGACATGTGTTACGCATGTCCACCGATCGGCTTCCTCGGCGTACGCTGTTCTCTGAGGCACGTAGTGATTGGAAGGTAGGTCACGGTGGATAGTTCATGACATGGCAAGGAGGTATGAAAACCTTGACCAGTGGACTTGGTCGAGTAGGACGTGTTAGACTTCCTGGTTGGGGTCCACGCTACCCACCTACCAAATGGTTGGAGACATTAAGTGATATGGCCAGGTGTCGCGGCCAATGGCGTAGTTGCATTCGGACTCTTTCTTTGTTCTCTTGGTTTCCGCTTATTACTTCGGTTTTTTTTTGGAACTTTGTCCCTTCATGCTTCTATTCTTTTTGCTTCGGACCGGTCGTTACTGGAAGGTAGAAACCGAAACCAGGGCACCGAAGTGCGAGGTTAGTGGTTGTATAAACTGAAATTGAACTGAGATTCCGTCCGGCCATTCAGGAGCAGCTTTCTCTTCATGCTGAGTACCGTTTACCCGAGGTTTTTAGGCCTCGGCTACGCTCCAACCTGGTTTAGCCCGACTGTCGAGCGGTTTACCGAAGTGTGGTTTCTGATTCAAGCTTCAGCTTCGTGGAGCCACAGATGAGAGTTGGGTAACCAAGGAGATGGAAGATGTCTGAAGGGGCACGACAGTCTACCAAATCAGAAATGCTACTTCTCTCGGTCTCATCATACACATGCGATCACTTCCCCATTCGGCAGTCTTTGATTGGTGGCGGCAAGAATAAATGTACGTTGTACGTCGAACTGAGTGAAAACGAGAACTCAAGGACTTCGTCGATCATGCATCAGGGTTCCACTCTCATCTTCACTCGTACAAACAACGGGGGATGTGTTTCCGGCAAACATCCAGAAGCTGTAGCTGCGCCTTACTTGTTATGCACCTTAAAGATGCATGGCATCACTTCATCGTAAAATGTCAGACCCCTATTCTTGGGACTCATTATTGGTCAACAAAGTTATGCATGCGGACAACCTCCGGTAGCACAAAACAGAAAAAAACCAGCTGGGGATTGACCCTAGAAATTGACTTTCCGTTCCGCTGAAAGCGATTAATTCGGAACTAAGTGACGGCGTTGTTCGATTACCACGGTTGAGTACACGTATTAATCGAATAAGTAGTAATATTAGGGGTTAAACCACGGACACAAATGCTCATTGTGAGTTGGTCTTTTGATTTGGAGCGGTACGGAAAAGAGTACGGTATTATGCTCTTTGACTACTACTCCACAAACGATCAGCAGTGAGGAAGTTTAGAGAACGAATTGCTAGTTTCACTAACAAGTTATACAAATCGCAAACCACCGGTTAAATACTAGGGTGATCGTCATTGAATGGAGTAAGTAGAAGATATCCGACTGAGAGTGGTTAGGTGAGAACCCGTCAAAAAACCCTATCGGCAAACGGATTGTGAACTCTCATAACGGCTTACCAGAGCAATGTCATCCAAAAGGATTCCGAATGATGAGGCGCGTTCGGTTAAATCCTCGTTCACTCGTTGACTGACAAGTTCTCGCTGAGTGATCAATTCACTTGCATCAAACTGGGCAACAACCGCCTTGAGCACCTCGGTAGTGATGGAGGGAAGCACACGCTCTTCGTAGTCAAAACCCAAATTCTGGTAGATTTTTGGCAGCAAAGCCGGTTCAGGTCGGAACAAGATACGCAAAGTGATGTTCACAGTTTGCAAATCTACCATAAAAAATCGATCAAAGAGGAAATCGCGTCAAACAATTATACAGCGGATCGACTCCATCAACGCAGAGAACAATGTGAGAGAAAAATCAAGTTGAACGCAAAATTACCATACACTAGGTGCGCCGGCACAGGTGGCTACGACATACCGGAAATAATGAAATGATCACATCTGAAACGAGAGCATCAAGCAGACACCGACGCCATCAAGTAGAAAAACAAGGTTCCGAATAAAACAGCCTCACCGCAGGCAGAACAACAACAGAAGAATGCAACGCAGCCAACCCACTCAAGGTTTACAAAACTGAAATTCCATCGTGCAAGTTCAGCACATCAGACACGGGAAGGTTTCTTCAAACAACTCAAGATAAAATATACAACATAGATGAGAACTTCACAATCAAACCAATCGAACAAACAGACAATCAATCACCAACACATTCATATTTATTAGACCAAAAAGGCTCATAAACATCTCATCTCGAACGTAACAGCACCAACACGAAACGCTACAGCAAAAATAATGTAAAAAAAAACTCCCACCTAAAATCTCATTCCTACTCCTACTCCCAGTTCGACTTCTACTTGCACTTGTAGTCCCTACAACATTCTCCCCGTTCAAAAGCCGCACAAAATCATCAACAAATTGCCACTAATCAACATAACAACACAAAACCGTAAAAAAAAAAGACCGAAATACATGAATCAATCGACATGGAGTATGTTTTTTATTACATATTCGCGCATCAATGCAGTGGAAGGGGCATTTACCCCATAGCCACGAAAACCCACTACACTACTGGGGATAAGGAACAACCAGACCCTGAGATTTCGAGTGGCCAACAACCACATATAGTCCCGATAGGTCAGGTGTGTGTCAATCAAACAATAAATGGGATCACAAACAAAGTAATCGTACACCATCACTCATTGCCAAACAAACCAGTATCTATCGAGCCGAACAACTCCACATCACACTACAAAACATCTCATCAAAACAAAACAACACAACTAAACAACACTACAAAACACAACACATCATATCACAAAACATAGCGTCTTATCATATCACAGCTCTGCCCATGCTCCTCCACGTCATCCATTCACATTTACAATCACATTATCATCCACATCACATCCACACCCACATCCACACCCACAAACACACACACACACACACACACATCAAAAACACTCCCTAACATTCAAACTAATACACGTACAATTTCTCACCAATCAACATCACATCAAATTCAATAACGACCACAAAAACAACTAGATTTGAGAAATATCACCTACAAAAACAATGATCACTTTTGTCCGGAAACGATTGCCAAATAAAACACGAAAACATAGCACGCACGCAAATGCACGCCACACACGTGTTCCCGTGTCACAATCGCACCAGTCGAGCCACAAACGACTCAACATATTCATCTCGCACCGAGCCCTTGTCGCACGTGCAATTCACGATTCGCACATCCGATTACACAATGGTGCTCGCTCATTCGAACAACATACAACGCAAACAACCACATACACTCACTCGCCCACCAACACACATCCACATACAAAATTATAATGAAAAATTAAAAAAAACTAAACATACAAATAAATATGCAAAGCGAACAACAATGCACAAAGTAAAAGACAGACAACAAAGAATGAGAACTAGACAGACAGACGAACAGACAAACAAATAAACAAACAAACATGAGGATCGACAGACACACACACACACACACAGACAGTCTCAAACACTGGAACAAAATGGACAATTTCACTGACAATTCAAAACAAAAACTATACAAGTGATGTGAGAATCACGAACAACTTCATTCATCAAGCGAATAAAGTCATCTGTTCGCTCGCCCCCTTCATATGGCATTCTTCTGGAGCTCAGAAACGAATTAGACGCCACGAGCACTTCAGAATGCTAGCACAACATGCATCATCAACACACATTCACAACCACGCTCACGTTCTTAACCTAATTTATCAGTTGTTCTCGAGAAGAAGAGAAACCTTTCTCACAAACACCTCATCTCTACTGTAACAGCACCAACACGAAACACTACAGCAAATAAAATGTTTAAAAAAACTCCCACCTAAAATCTCATTCCTACTCCTACTCCCAGTTCGACTTCTACTTGCACTTGTAGTCCTTACAACATTCTCCCCGTTCAAAAGCCGCACAAAAACATCAACAAATTGCCACTAATCAACATAACAACACAAAACCGTAAAAAAAGACCGAAATACATGAATCAATCGACATGGAGTCATCATCATCATCGTACAGCGTTAAACAGTAGGGCAAGCCCCACTGACCACTGCCTTTCTCACCATCTTGCTCGTTGAATTAAAAAGTATGAATATACAGGATGGACAGGGACTGGACCTACATGGGTGGGAAAAGGAAAGAATGCCCTATAGCCAACAAACGGAATACACAGTCTAACTGCACAAAGAAACATCGATCAATCATTCTGATTCGATGGAAAGTGACAACACGATCGCCACTGCTCGCAGTTCGCTGCCATATCCTTCAGTGTCTCCAGCCAACTGGTAGACGGATCTTTCGGACCCCAACCACGAAGACGTGAAGCACTTACTTCCCCCAAGTCTGCTGTACATTTTCTCATTCCTCGCTGCCACGTCATCTGTTGACCTCCATGTGGTCTCTTCCACTCCCTAGGAGGAACGGAGAATAGGACACGGTACGGTAGACGTGTTTGACATACGTAACACGTGTCCCAACCAACGAAGTCTACTAAGTTGGATACGCTGTGACAAAACGTTCTCTGAATTAGTACCCAATACTCGCTTTCTTACCTCATCGTTGCTTACTCGGCTATTCCACCCAATCCTAGCGATACTACGTAAACATCGATGGTCGAAAACCTCAAGACGACGAATATCTTCAGCACGCAGACTCCAAGTTTTGCAACCATACAACAAAACTGAACGCACAGTGGCACAGTATACACGACCTTTCAACTTCAGTGAAATATCGGATCGGCGCCACAAGTGCTTCAGCCCAGCGTACGCCGCTCGTGCTTTGGATATCCGCGTACTCACCTCTACTACTGTGCTCCCATCCGTCGTCACGCAGCTACCGAGGTAGGTGAAGTGATCGACAACTGCCAGCACCTCCCCATCGAGCATCAAGCTCGGAATTGTTGACGTCCAGTCTTGTAACATCACTTTACACTTTGAAGGTGAAAAGCGCATGCCGAATGGAGCTACCGCTCTTGCGAGATTATCTAGTGCACGCTGAGCATGTTCCATGCATTCGAACAAGCAGACAACGTCGTCCGCGTAATCTAGGTCACATAGCTTTTCACTATCTCCTAGTTCGACGCCTACATCCTGAAGATTTTGCAGCGCACTCTCCATTATTTCGTCCATGACGAAGTTAAAAAGGAATAGAGACAAAGGGCATCCCTGCCGAACACCACTGGTCGTTTCGAACCGACCGGATAGTTCACCGTAAACCCTTACGCGGCCAGAAGTATGAGAATACAATGATCTCATTAGGTTCACGAACTTCTGGGGCATACCTTTTCGATGAAGAACACTGAAAAGCGATGTTCGATCAACTGAATCGAAGGCGCCTTTCAGGTCTAAGAAAACCATTATCGTCGGTCGGCGGTGCATGTAACGCGGTTCAAGTAGTCGGCGAAGAGTAAAAATCTGGTCGATGCATCCTCGACCTGGGCGGAATCCAGCCTGCTGTTCGCGGACATTCCTCTCGCGAGCCGGTGTAAGACGATGCAGCAAAATCGAAGCTAATACTTTGATGACTATCGGGATTAAGCTAATCCCACGATGATTACTGCAGTCATTGCGTATTCCCTTCTTGAAGATGGGAACAATCAATGACTCGCTCCATATTAACGGACTACGCTCCTCCTTCCAAATGTCACGAAGCAAGGCGGTTAGTGATTTTATCAACGCCTCACTACCCAGTTTGAAAAGAACTGGAGGAAGTTCGTCGGGACCTGCCGCTTTCCCCCGCCTTAGTAATCGAATACATGACTCTACTTCTACTTCTGATGGGGGCTCAAGTGATACCACCCAAGAAGTCACAGTTGTTGACACGGGAGTAACTACACTAGCGTGCGGCCAGCTAAACTGTTCCTTGAAGTACTCGGCCCATCGGTCAAGCCTTTGCTGTTTGTTATGGATGGGTTCTCCATTCCTTTTGCAAATCGTTTCACTGACCTGAGTTCGCCGTCCACCGGTGTCACGAATAAGTTTGAACAGTCTTTGACTGTTACCTGAAGCAGCTGCCACTTCCATTTCTTCGGCTACATTGACCCACCAATTTTCGCGATCCTTCTTAAGGCTTCGCGTAACTTGTCTTTGCAGCTTTCTCCGCATGTTATTCATCTCCTTACGGTTCGAAAGCTGACGCTTTTGCTCCATTATACTCAGCGACTCTTGCGAGATCCAGTGTCTCTGATGGACAACGGATCGAGGACCACAGGCGAATTCTGCTGCAACGTGCATCGCCTGTTTGATATGAGCCCAATGCGCATCTACATTACTGTTCTCCGTGGATCCTAGCTCATGTGCTAACTTCTGCTCATAACGGGTGCAAACGTCTGGATCACACAAACGTTGCACGGCTAATCCGGTTTGCGGTTTGCGACGATGGCCATGGAGCTGGAGAGATAATCGCATTAAAACTAAGGCATGGTCCGACTCTACGTACGTGGACCAGTAAGATCTACAGTTCTGAACAGAACTGCGCCACCGGTAGCTTACGGCGATATGGTCAATTTGACTAAAAGTACCTGTAGAGTTAGAGCGCCATGTCGCTGTGCGACGCGAGCTGTGTCGGAAATTTGTGCTAGACAAGAACAATCGATTGTCTGCACAAAATTGGAGAAGCCTATCCCCGTTATCTGTGCGCTCAGTGGGTAAAGCACAACGCCCACCTAAACAGGCTTCTGACACACTGAGTTTACCAATTTGTGCATTGAAGTCACCAGCTAG